GAGGAAAAGAACACAGAAAGTTAAGCATAGAATTCTTTAATAATACCAGAAAAATGTTTCAGTGCTTTAACCAAAGCAAAATCAACTACAGGAAAAATCAGACCTTTGCACTAACAGCTCTCACTGTTCAACTGAAGCATCAATCATCACAGTTGATAAACATTTATCCTCTTCAACAAGAAGACATGTATTTCCACCAATGTAGAAGTAAAATCAAGTGAACCTCGAATATAATAATAGTGGGAAAACATAGTACAATACTTGCGATGGTTTGACTGCAAAGTTCTAAGTCTATTCTGTTATACACAGTGCTGAAGACTGAAGTGCTTTGAGTTGCAATCAAAAGTGATACTGCAGCTTCTTTATCAGCCAAGTGCATGTTGGAGCAAACAAAGACCCTCAGATTCTCGTCGACGGAATGAAGTACACATAAAAACAATTATTTATGTTCAGTTCCTTGCAAACAATCCCCATATCTAACCACAACAATCTATCACCGACACCTGATACTCATGATATATAAAGAAAGAAGATACAGTTTTACGAACAAGTTGGACAAAACATGGAAACTTTTCCCTCAAAACGAATATTTGCAGGTTACTTGGTGAGTACTTGTGCCACCAACTACCAAGCTTAGGCTACAGACATTGTTATTTTTGTGTATTGAACACAAAGAAAAACATTAAGCGTTCTAAAGATCCTTACACGCCTTCTATGGCCGAGCAAAGGAAGTATAAGACAATGTACAAATGCAGAAATAGTCAGTCACAAGAAATAAGAATGAAGCTTCAAATTGATAGGCTGCAATGAACTGACACTACACTCTAATCAAATACAGTGAACACATAGGACTCCTTATCTAACCTTCAATATTGCAGGTGTAGGCAAATCCACAGAATCCATTGCATCACCCATGTAGGAGCACAAAAGTGAGAATGTTGCTCGGTCATAGAATGTATCCCTTCTTGTTATGAGAAATGCAGTTGTCAAAAAATCTTGAGTGGAAGCAACTAAAATCTCCCCATTTTTTGGTGTGCACAAATTGTTTTGCACCTGAGAATCAATAAATTTATAAGTCGTAACAATTAGATACCTGAGAAGCAACTCTAAAAGGACAACATTTCAAATAATGGACATATTCAAAGAAATAACACCAAGCCAATTATCAATGTTCAGAAACTGCTGTAAATCATAATGTCAATATCTTCACATAGATGGTTTTCGTTTGACACATAGCACAATACCATGCCCAGTGCCGAACATAGAATCTTAAGTTGAGCAAATCCACCACACCAAGTCAGTACAAACTCTCCAATTTATTCACATCCATCACATGAAAATATAGCTCCAAGTTCATTTACAGTTCTGAAAAATCTAAAGCCAAGATTATTATACAGGCATGGTTCATATTTCTGAACACCAGGAGGAATATGGATTCTGTTAAAAAGCTACACCCAGTGACCAGGAGTCAAACTGACCTAAGGACAAGGAATGTTTCCACAGCAGAGATAAATATAGGACATGAATCTTACCCCCAGCAGTGTCAGAGCCTCTGTACGAGCCTCTTCTGTTTGTGGGACATGCATATTCATCTCATCACCATCAAAATCGGCATTATATGGATTGCAAACTGATTCGTTAAATCTCAATGTCCTCCAGGGCATAACTCTAACCTGAAAGCACAAAAAATGGACCAGATGAATATGTCGAAAAGATCGTGTGATTAATGCTGCACTATGAATCATTTTAATTACCCTATGGCACATAATAGACATTCGATGCAAGCTTGGTTGTCTGTTGAAAAGAACAACATCACCATCTTCCAAATGGCGATCTACAATACAACCAATTGTAAGCTCCTCAGCAACACGTTTTCGGTAGTTGCCTTGTAACATCCTGCAACATAGAACAATTGATTTAATCTCAGACACAAAGAAACATCTTAACAGGAAAGTTTATGGGTACATACTTTGACGTGCCGTCAGGATATCTGACCATCTTTGCACCAGGATATGTCAGTGGGCCATTCCTGACACACTGCTTCAACTTCTCAATATTATGATGAGTAACACGCTCCGGAAAAGTTAAAATTAGTGCCATACGGATTGGGACTGCTACCTATACCAATAGAATAACCAGAAAGTGTTAAACGCCAAGTGGGAGGAAACAAGATAAAAATTACCACAGGAAAGCTAGTCTGTGAAGACTCGAGACCTCGTTTATTTTCAGATTAGGGTCTGGAGATATAACCGTTCTGGCAGTATATTCAGAACGCTTTGCTGATAAGTTGCACCGAAACCGCCCATGTTTCCCATTTAGGCGATGAGTCATTCCACTTAAGGGTTTGCCAACTTCAATTAGAACATTACTTGGGATGCGAGTGTCACTATTTACATAGAGTGAAACCATAGCTTGAAGGTAATCCCATTTATCCTAAACCAAACAGCAAAATTATAACAGTTCTAGCGTTAGAGTTGGGTAGAAAGGAATTCCAAGAAGCTTGAAACACACTAACTCGAACCAAAACACTGTCCCAGGAACATAGAACTACGAACCAGACGTTTGTTCATTCCTTCCAGCATCACATTCCGGAGTGCGGCATTTGCAACCATAATTAGTCTCAATCTCTCTGAGATATCATCTTCATTGCTGCAAAAGAGATGCACTCAGAGATCTGCACTGCTACAAGAGAAGCCAAAACAAATGTAGTGGAAGTACTCGTCAATAGAAACCTGTTTGTTCCGTCCACAGGAACTGATGGTCTTATAGCAACAGGTGGCACAGCAATCTTTTCAAAAATGAGCTTTTCAGGTCTATCACCAAGATAAAGCAATTCACAATCCTGTTATCATCAACCAGGAAAAAAAAATTACTGTGGTATCAAGACTAAGAAATAATCGGAGGTTTGAAACAAAAGAAAGAGGACTACGAACTACACCTTATCCGATATATGCTTGAATATCTTGAGCACTTTGGCAGGGTTGAGATAGTAAGTTGAACGATTAATGTGAGTCCTTGAATCCTTGGTGTGTGAAATTGCAGATTGACAATCATTGGGAAAGTCATTGCCTGACTTTGTCTGGTCATGAACTAGACAACCTCCCTCCTTTTTTACCATTCCTGAAAGTCAAAGCACGTAAAGGAAGTCTCACAGTCTGAAGTGTGTTTCCAGTTGAATGTAAACTCTAAGAGACATCAAATATAGTAGCCATGGGAAATTTTCTTTTTTTCTCCTCTATGGCTGTACGTCTACAGAATATTTTCAAGACATTCATCACAGTCCCATTCCAAGAGGGAACAAAAAAGAACTGTTAAAATACTTGTTATACAAGTATCACAGGTAAAGAAAACACCTCATCATCCAAGTAAAATAATGCACAAGCAGAGGAAAACGCCAAACCATTCATTTCTCCACATCTGGGGCACTTGATAGATTTTCCACTCGCCATTGTGCTGCATTTCTTGACAATAGTCTTCATCAGAGCAGTCTTCTTCAGAGGACTGAGCTTGGGATTTCGCATCTTCCTTAGATAGTCGTCACGTAACTCCTTATCCAGAAGCATACGGGAACAAGACTGTAAAAAGGAGGAAAACAGAAAAGAAGAGGAGGACATTGCTCAATAGGATATTCAAAAGTGTGAAAGTTCATGTCCTTTATAAAGATTGAAGGACATTGCTCGAGTTAAAACAAAGAAAACTTCGACCAATTGCTTGCAAGTAGCAACAAGGAACGGAACCAGTAAAAAACCTTTACCAAAGATCAAGGATATCTACAGAGGAACTGTACTAGCAACTGATATAACTGATACAGAAGAAGAAAAAAAAGTATTCAACTGACCTTACAAACACACTTCAAAATGTCCAGAACAGTACTCAGGTATCCAACATTGAACACTGGAAGCTCAAGCGATATGTACCCAAAGTGCCCAGGACAATCGTTGAAGCTACCACCACATGTCTCACACGCCATACCAAATTTCTTTGCAGGACCCTGTTAAAAATGCATCAACAAGAAGGCGAAACCCTCAAACATCAACATTAGCAAAACTCAATGTAGCAATGGAAGCATACACAGAATGAAAAAATGGGGGGAAGCAAAGTATTGTACCATTCTGGGATCCAACAAGCCACCTCGGACGGGATTCCCGTGATCGTAGTATTCATTTTCCTTTCTAGGGTATTCACCGCCGTCGTGCAATTGCACTTGGCATTCAGCCGCATTTAGCACATCAGACTGCGACATGGTGGAAAATTGCATGCTTTCGCTGTATACAGAAAGACACAACCACCGTGATCATTATTCAGCTACACAGTTTTGGCCACAACATGATTGAAATGGAAACGAAAGAGAAAGCAATGAAGCGTGCTGGAAGTTTATGATTCTTCATCGCATAAAGCAATTGAAGAAACCTGCAACCCATTTGCTTTAAAAATCCATAGCTTGAACCAAAATCAGAGTTTTGAAAACGCTCGTTGAACTCACATTCTGCGATGATCCGCATCTTCAACGTAGAGCGGCTTAGTGTAGGTTAAGTCTAGGGTTTTCTGCTGCGAGGTCTGCATATCTTCCCGCCGACGAAGCTGCGCCGCCGCCGGAGCAGCACAAGGAGAGGCGTGAAGATGGCGGGAATTTGCTGAAGAAGATCGAAAAGCAACGGCTACTCGGCGGGCACCGGCGATCAGGAGAGCGAAAAGGAAGAAGAGACAAAAACCCTAGGGCTGGGTTTCGAAACAGGGACGTCTTGAGCAAAGTAAGAAGCACTCGACCAATGGACTACAAGGGTTTATGTAACCGTCTGCACTCGTCAAATTTATTTATTTGTTAAAGGAAGCTTTGGATTTTCAGTAACCGGCTCATTAAAAAGTTCAAATTTATAGATGAAACCTTCTTTCTTCGGATTTTGAGCTCTATTTTTTCAATCGGATCCAACATCGATATGTAAAAATTAACGGTTCACGATTTCCTAGTTATAAATATTTTTTTTACAGTACTCTCTGTTTTCCCCTTTCTTTTCAGTTTAATGCATTACTCACCCTTATTAAAAAAAAAAAAAAACAAGTGAAGCAAGACTAAACAAACATTTGAAACAATATTGTCATTGATATTCAGATTGTTGAACATGTGTGTCAACGATAAACCATAAAATATTAGATTAGTATGAAAATTTAATTTATAAAATTTGAAAGTGATATAGAATTTATAATTTCACTTTTTTTTATAGTGAATCAAGATGACTTTTCATATGTATTCTCTCTTATGTAATGAATCAAACCTTATTTATAAATGCAACTAAACAATTATTCATATATTGGTTACTCATCGATTTCAATAACCATTGAATACGTTTCTTCGGCTTGAGTTGGGTTAAAAGTGAAGTTTAACGCCTCCTTCGGTCTATGCTCTACTTATGTCTTTCAGCCCAGCAAAAGGATTGATCTTATCAGCAACTGTGTCTCGACCGGGTGCAATGGGTTTTGGTATCACCTATGGAAAGCTCATAGGATACTTACTTGGTGACTCAGCGTGGAATAGAGATGGATCCCTTAAAAGATGGACGAGATATCATTTTTTTGTCGAAAAACAAAGAGGACACTCTTGATTAACTTCGTAGCTCAAAAGGATCTTTCGCAACTCTTCCGTCCGATCAAGAAGCTCTGCAAGGTCCAAAAATCCCAGTCAATACCAACCTCAACGACAGAGAAGGCGTTGAAGCTGCTCGAGTCGGTTTCATTGTGCCTTGAAGGGATTACAGACATGTTCAAAGACTCCACATACATGGAGGCGGTGGTGAGGAAGGCGATGGTGGTGAGGAATGGATGGCAGACATGTTCATACTTCTTCCGGTCTCATATTCTTTATTTTATTCCTCTTCTTCCACCAAATCCTTTTTTTGCTGAAATTTGGTGAATTCATTTTATCCTAACAACGAGTTGATTAGAGATTGTCTCAAATTAAATAAAACTCATTAACTTTTTAGAACCATGGTCATTGAAAGAAGTAACTTAACATTATTGCTACGTACCTAAGCCTTCACTCCAAGTATTGAAAATACATTAGCAATGAGTAACGTTAAAACTACTAGCTAGTTAGCATAAATTAAATGAATGACAAAATCATGAATGATTATTTTATTTGATAAAATATATTGAGATTATTATTACATGTTTACATCTTACAAGTTTTACGAAATTCGAGAACCTGTTTTAAACACGATAAATATATTGTTTAAAATCCAACCTACTTATTATAAAATTCTAGATAAACCACTACCCCTGCAGATCATAGCACATCATCTTGTTGGGAGAGCAATTCAACCATTCGCTAATCAATGTTGGGACATAACTTTGCTTGGTGCTATTAATAGGGCAACCATCCTTCAATCTCGTCCAAACCTCCTTAATATAAACTAGCTTTGTACCCGATCTGTTGGCCGAGAACTATTTTAGATTTTTTAATTCGTAGTTTGAATGTTATTTCTTAACCAAAATCGTAATCCCCCATTCAATAATTTCATATCTTTAATATAAACAACATATATTTCTTAGATAGAAGTGTCTAACATGAATAGAGGAATAATGATTATTGGCTCAATTTGAATTCGAATAGGGATTTGCTTAATATGAAAATTTCTAATGTTTATCACACTCACTTAAGATGTCATAATTCTAAAATGGTAACTCATGTTGTGGAAGGTTATGATTTCCTACATGTATTTTATGTTAACATTTTCAAAATAAGACATCCAAATTTATTATCTCTATCTATGAATCTAAGATTCTCTGAGTTTGAACAAACTCTCAGTTACTAATTGTTTTTCGAATTCCCACATCCTATAAATTCTTAGTGAAAATGCTTGATACTTGGAGAAATGTTGCTCATTCTAGTTGAAACTTTACACACATCATACTCACTTGTGATAACTCAATTCTCTAATTTCAAGCTCATTCCATTATGGATGTTCACGTAGTCTTGATGCATGAACTTTGTACCGCCTTCATTTTAAACCCAAATTATGATTTTTTGAAACAGTGGATGTAATTTTGAGGAGTACGATTAATTTATTTTTTGTGTAAAAAAAAAATTAAATTCAAACGAAAAATATATATTTTGCGAAATTAAATTGAAAAAGAAAACAAAACTTAAAAGAAATGAATCTCGTTCCCCAAATAGAACAGTTTAAAACAAAAAGGTTAGAAGCCATTCTCGGTTTGTAAAAAAGATATGTATGTAAATTTTAAAATGAATGAAACGGTTGAAAATAAAGTTTAATGAAAAAGTTAAATAAAGGCTAAAAACATAGATAGCGGTTAGAAGTCGGGACTCGGGAGAAAAGGAAGAAAAAAAAATTAAAAGAGAGCAATTAGCGAAACTTGGAGATGCAGAGAGCCTATGAAGGCTTACGTGTCAATGGGCTTATTTAGAAAGTGCTTTAAGTATCTTATAGATAGATAGATAGATAGATAGATAGATAGATAAATGCAATGAATGAATAGATGATTATCATCATCTTCCTCCTGCAAACATTAGACCACCCACAATGATGGAAGGGAAAAAAGAGTGAAAAGGGTGGGGAAACAGGGAAAAAAAGGTGGAGGAGAGGAATTTGTCACAATGGGTGGGAGGGAAAAAAAAGTAACGGGGAGGGGATCTTTTCTTCAAAAGGGTGGGGAAAAAAAAGAAAAAGAGGGCACCAGCCGCGTGGCCCAATCATCTTCTTCCACCAGCAACCCACTTTTTCCTCCTTCTTTTGTCTTTTTCAGAAGGGTAAACCCTCGCTCAATAGCCTTCTTTTCCTTTTTAGCCTTTTTATCCTCCCCTATTGTAGGCTTTCCCCTCCTTTTTTTCCTTTTTTCCCTTTTTTCAATGTTTGCTGTGGGTGGTCAGTAGCAACAGCTCGGAAATGTCTAGCTCTTTTTTCTTAAATTATCATGAACCAGCGTGGGCCCCGGCCATTTGGCCGGAGGAAGGTGAGATATGAAATTTGATAATATAATGGAGTGTATAGCTTCTTGTTGTATAGTTTTTTTTTTGGGAAACACGTGATAAAAATAGTGAATTTTAGTAGGAAAGAGACATGAATGATGCAACGAATCAAAAATCAGCCTTATGAACCAAAATCAAGTACCTGTTACCTTGTGAAACAATATTGTTTCTGGTAATATGATGAGGTGGAGTAAGTTTTATAGAAACCGAATTCCAGAAAATCGAATAAAAAATCGCCTATCCCACTGGTTCTCGGGAAATGAGCATTTCACAATCGTTGCTAACTTTCACTCAGCCTGTTGGCCGATTAATTTGCTTTATAAAACTTTCATCTTGTCATCATTGTGCTTTCTGGTTTTTTGCCAAGCCATGATCAAATCTAAAGAAATCAAGAATGAACAACACGATTTGGGATAGGAACCACCGTTCCTGTATCCCTAGAAAATGGTGGTAATCACGGACTCACCTGCCAAACTGGTTTGGATTGAGATTTTTATCGGGTATCAGGAACCATGTGATTATAAATTAGACTTAATCAAAACGGGCCAAAACTTGAAATTCGGCCTGTTTGACCGACCCATGCCAAACTCTAATTATTCTTTACTTTTAAACTTTCTATTTGAAAATAAAAAATAATGAAAGAAAAGAGATGACTGCAATTCGCCATTTGCACATCACTGATTCGGGAATAAAACTATAGAATTTCAAAAGGAAACTGAAAATGTTTAGGATCGTTTTAATGTTAAAAATAACCAAATAGATCTTTATGTTTAGTTTTTTACTAACAAATACCAAACGATTTCCTATAATATACACTATCATTTAATCATTACGATATCAAATAATTACATAATATATATTTGAAATGATAAAAATTGGACTAATTGGGTTGGTCGAGGTTGAACCATTGAATAACTTTAAAATATATTATTTTTAGCCACTAAGATATAAAATAATAGCATAATATATATTATGCTAGAGAAAATAGCTTGTTTTAGAATGACAAACCCATGATGTTCATTTTTTTTACTTGATGGGCAAATCCCGTGTAGGTCAGGCCATTCAACTCTTTTATTTTATGATTAGCGGTTAGTCCATTAGAATCCATGCATTAGTTTATTGTTAATTTCTTTTCTTTTTAGCAATAAAAAGGAGTATTGTTTTTGCCTTTTCATATATATGTTACCACCATGGAGAAACAAAAGGACTTAAAGAAAAAAATTGACACTCCTGAACCCGTTTAAATCCGCATATGTACGGTAAGTTGGCCCGTTCCACAGAGGAAAAAGAGAAAAATTGACAATCCCTATTCTACCATTCCTACCAAGGCTCCTGGAGCATGGAATTCGAAATGGGGGAAGGATTTTTTCCTCTCTGCGATTATATGTTTTTAATTTAAAAAGATACAACAAATGTACTTAGTGTGATTGGTTATGATCTTTGCTTTTCTTTAAAGTGGTCATGGTTCGAATCCTAGTAAGTGTCTTTTTAATGAATACAAAAAAGTAATTGTGAAGACCAAAATGTCCTTCCTACTTTCACTCTGGATGCAGGAAATTTGAAATAAGGCTTCAAGTTTTCTCATTTGACTTTTATTTACTGTATAGATTAACAACTTCCGCTGAAATAAAACCATACACACATGGATAAGGATTTGATCTAGTGGTAATACCACTAATATTGAACTTGGAGGTCTCAGGTTCAAATCTCTTTAATAGTACCTAATTGCAAAACTAAACCTATATCACCCGTATCTAAAAAAAAAGAAATAAACCATACACACATAATCTTAGGTGTCGTTTGGCAGTTGTGTTTATTGAATACATGTATTGTGCACAATACAATGTTTTAGGTAGGTCTCACCAACAATCACAAGAAATGATACATTATACAATCTGAACTTTTAGATTTGTGTCCACTTTTTCTTTCCATTTATATCCCTAATAGTTTTTGTCTCATACTAAAAGCTGACGTTAAATGTGGGATTTTACCATAAAGTAACTCTATGCAAATCAATACATAAAATACTTCATAATTTTTTTATACATAAAGTATAATCTCAACAACCAAACAGTGTATTATTAAAATGCATCCATTGTATCAATACATTACGGGTCGTTTGGAAGTTGCGAATGTTAAATCGTTGAATTGTAATGAATCACCATAATATAAATGCATGTATTGATACAATGGATGCATTTTACCGATACATTGTTTGGTTGTCGAAATTCTACTTTATACATTGATTTACATAAAGTTATTTTTATGGAAAAATGACACATTTACCCTCAACTTTTAGACTAAGACAAAAACTATTAACCATATAAATGGAAAGAAAAATGTGACACAAATCTAAACCAACAATCACAACAACGATGATATTCGATCAACTTATTGAAATGCATATAAGTTTCCACAATGGCAGGCACGCAAGGGTGATTTGCCGACCGATCAAACCAGGTCTAACCGGTACCGGCACCTAGGGTGCAAATGAGCCAAGCCGCTCGCGAGCAACTCGGCGTTCGAATCAAAAAATACTCGTTCGACACTCGACTCGTTGTTTAACAAGTCGGTTCGCGAGCCGACTCGTTAGTAAACGAGCCAAGCTTGAGCTAGACCATGCTCAGTTTGATAAGCTCGTGAGCTAGCTTGACTCGGTGGCTTGTTGAGCTAAGATCGCGAGCTGGCTTGTTTAGAGCTCGTCGAAGGATTAATTACTCTTTTGAACATGAAAATTATCATGTTAATAAGGATGTGTATGAAAGTTAGATGTTATTTTTAGTTTCTAGTATTCTTTTAATCATTTTTAGTTTCTAATATTCTTATTTGTACACATTTTTCCAGCAAAGAATGGTTTCAAATCGAGCTCATCTTGAGCCGAGCTTGTACCCAGCTTGACAAGCTGTGTTAATGAGCATTTATCGAGCTCTATCGAGCCGAGCTCGAGCTGGATTATTTTTAATCGAGTCGAGCTCAAACTCGAGCTGGATGATCAAAATTCGAGTTCGAGCCAAGCTCGAGCTGAAAAACTTATAAATGAGCCGAGCTCAAGCTGAGCAAAAACTCGACTCGACTCGACTCGTTTGCAGCCCTACCGGCACCAATATGATACAACTGGCATGCAGTATCGGTCAAAACAAAAAATTTCGGTTGGTTCAACCGGCATTTAGCATTCCGATCTTTTAATTCGCTCGCTCGGCTCGTTCATTCAGCATCACGAGGGAACCCGGTCCACCCGATTTCTCTCTGCCTTTTCTTATTCCTCGGAACAACCCTAGGTCAGCAGACAAAACCTTGGCGGCGGCTTGAGTTCAAGTCCTTAAGTCTCATTTTTTAAGGAGAATCTTAAAGCCTTCCTATTGGTTGATAGTGGATTAGGTAGTTAATGGGGGTTAGTAGTTAATAGGTAGTTAAGGATAAATGAGGTTATGCAAATATAATTATTATAATTAATTAATGATTCTCTTTCTCTCTCCTCCCATGATTTTCTCCACAACCCTCTCTCTACATTATAATTAAAAAGAAATATGAAATTAATTTATTTAATATTTGATAAAATTCGAATTTAATAATTTTCTTTTTCTAAAATGGAAATTTGAAATTTAAAATATATGCCTCTCTCTCATCTTGGCAACTTCCGATTAGTATTAAGTATTAACATTTTGTAATGACACTATCAATATTTATAAATTGTATCATCATTAGTGTTTTTCATTGCATGGGTTTGGGAATTTTTGTTGTTAGGTATTCGTTTGTGTTATTATTAATGTTGTTCGACATGTTTTTTAATAATTTTATATGACATTATTAACTTTTTATGTTATGTTTTGTTTGTAAAATTAGCAAAAGTGAAATTGTGTTTTCAATTTGTTGATACTTGAAGTTTATTTACTATTACATCGTATTATCAATTTGGTTCACAATGATTTATAATCATTTGAAGTGCTATTATCAATATTTTTTTTCAAGCACAATACAACCATTAGCAAAAATTTATTTCATATGTAAGATTGCTTATGTTTAGTGATTTGAATTATTAATATTTTTTCGTTTATGTTTGTAACTTTGTCAAATGTCATTATCAAGAAGCATACTTGTTAGGTATTCGTTTGTTTATGACATTAGCAAAAGTGAATTTAAGTTTAATGATATAACTATGGTTATTAATCTTTCAATCTAAGTTAGTAACGTAGTTGGTGTCATTATTAATAGGTGTGTATAAGCATTATCAATGTTTGAAAAATAAGATATTAATAATATCTAATAAGGTACTTAACAATCATTAGTTTATAGCATTATCAAAGTTTTTGAATGCATTATCTATTAAACACATGTTACTTATTAATGCATTTTTAGTGCTATTTGACATTAAACATTGCATCTGAATATTATTAATATTTTTTATTACAAAAATCTATTTCCTTATCAGTGACTTGATCATTCGATATTAATGGTTTTTAATATCTTTATTCAGATTCGTCCCATGATATTTGGAGGCCCTGCTCGAAAATTTAACATGTGACCCCTAATTTTTTCTCAATAAATTTATTAAAAATAAAATTTATTAAATAATTATAAAGTACATAAGTTCAGAAAATGATTTCAAAATGAATAAACAATCTCACTTCCTGTTTGACCAAGAAACCAAGACCAAATTCTCACTCCTAGCAGGGAGGGAGAAAAGTAAATCTGGAGGGAACAGAAAATGGATATATAGCAAAAATTGAATGAGGAAATGAAAATAATATAAATTGATCGAGAGGTGGGTGCAGGTCTATCTAATGGATCGTGTAGGCCCTATTCCAAAATTGAGAAATGATCCAAATTGACTTTTAACTATAATAAAACTAAAATGATTATAATACCATTATTCAAAATGTAATATATTTCTTTATTGTTTAAATTAAAATTATCTATTATCTCTCTGATTTTCGTATTCTCCATGAGATCCTTTTCAATTGTTATTATAGCTAAAATTATCTATTAAATTCGTCATCATATTCATAATCTATCAATCATACACTAAAAAAACAACCTGCAATATTCGATCGGTAACTAACGAATCTAAGTGGAGGCCCTGTGCCGGAGGGCGGGCCGGCACACCCTCTTGGCCGGCCCTGTCTTTATTAAAAGTTTGATGTCATTTATAATGTTGAAGTCGGACATTTTTACATTGATGTTTTGTGTTTATTTTCAACGAAGTACTTTTCGTTATCAATGATTTATTGTATTGTTATTAAAAGTTTGGTGTTGAGGCGTGAATGTTGGTTTGCTTGAGCTAATATTTTTCTGGACAATGTTTGTTTGACTGAATCACAAAGGTGCACTATGTCACTAGTACCCAAGATGTTGAAAATCAGTATTGTGCTTTATGATCATTGAGAATGATATTGTAAAACAATATTAATTGATCATAAAACGTTAATAATGTCATTAGAAATCATTGGAAGATGCCATGACTAGATAGTTATAAACATGATGTGAAAATGTGAATCATTAGTATAAAACTGTTAATGACCATGTTACCTAACTTTAATGATTCATTCATAGGCGTTGATGACAAAACTATAAAACAATAACAATTGATCCAAAATTGTTAATAATGTAATTGTAAGGAATTGATAAGTATATTGAAGTCGTTAATAATGATGAAGTATAATAATAACGATTCATTTCATAAATGTTGATAATGTCATTGCAAAATGTTAATACTGTATTGCAAGTTGCCACGAAGTGAGAGAGAGAGCATATATTTTTAATTTTCATTTTAAAAAATATTAAGTTGAATTTATTAAATAATAATATTTAATTAAATTAGTTTCGAATTTTCTTTTAATTGTAGTGGAGAGAGAGGGTTATGGAGAAGATCAAGGGGAGAGAGAAAGAGAATCATTAATGAGTAATATTAATTATATTTTTATAATATCTTATTTATTCCAACTAACTATGAACTACTAACCCCTAATTAACTACCTAATCTAGTATCAGCCAATAAAAATGGTTTAAGAACCTCCTTAAACAATGAGGCTTAAGGACCGGATCCAACCCGCTTGGCGGCGAGGCAGGTGAGCTTCTTCTTCGTCATGTTAGGGATCGTTCCTGTTATTGAGAGATTGTTAATGGAGGGGTACGGTTCAATGTAGTTAAAATAGCGGTTTAGAACTTAAAAGATTGTGCATTTACAACACCAAAACGCTTCTATGTAGAATTGAGCTTTTTTACTTGCAATTTGTAGTTAAATCTCGACTTTAAATTTTAAAAGTTTACGTTTTTTTCGCTTCTAACTCACCAAGACATTAACTGCGGGTTAGTGGTTTGATGGAGATTGTTGATTGGAAAAGAAAGGGATGCTGGTTTCGGATTGTAAATGGAGATATTGTCCATGGCCTTCTCTCGAGTCTGTATTCTTTTCTGGTTTCTTAACAGAGAGGAAGGGAGTGGGGTTGATTTCTTTTGAGCTCCTTATGATCGGATTAGATGGAATAATTTACTTGTGAGATTTTTTTTTTAATGGTTGTAATTATTAACTAATCACTTTATTTGACGGTTCATAGTTGTTATTTCAATTCTTTTGTTTTATAGTCATTAGGATTTAAATACGAATTTTCGTCGTCAAATAGCAATCAAATGATCGAGATTTCCATCGAAATGAGTTATCATGAATAGTACTGACTAACATATATTGTGAATATGTCTTGCATTTGTCACGACACTTTCCAAGTGATGTGTAAATACGTGATTTTATTATCACCCAAAATACAAACAAAGTACAAATCAACTTATTTTCCCAGCTTGGCCAACACTTTCCAAGTGAAACGGGGTGACGCCGATTTCTTATTCTTTTCTTTTTTTCTTCTTCTTTCACCCCTAGTTAATTACCGTTTCCTCTTGTGCACGTCGGCATTTAGAACTTGCTGCAAAACAAAACCATTCAAACCAAGCTACAAACGATCATCAAACCACGAAATCTTGCATGTAACAGGGCAAACCATGCAATTCAATCACCTTAAAGCACGAAATCGTGTACTGCACATCACTCTCCGAGATCTGATGGTGAATGACAATCCTTATGCTGCAAGGAATGCAAAAAAAAAATGATCAATTACAATGCGTTTGATAATGGCTAGACAAAGAACTTGGTGCGATCGAGGAGCTTGATTTAAAATGTTCATACCTGTACGGACCTCCTAACATCACCACAACCACACCATGTTGCTGCAACTTCTTGTACAGCTTTTCTGCTGTGAGGCAGGAGGTCTCCTCTAAATGGACATAAATCTGTCGATGCAAAAACGATGGAGCGGCAAAGTGATTCAACCATGGGAAAAAAACCCAACATCAGAAATAACTTGTTAGTCAGTTTGTGTAGAATGTCAGGTTAGGATTGAGTTTTTTTTTTTCCCACTCTGTAAGAGTTGGATAGAGTCGGGTCAATTTAGGATTGTGTAGACTATGATCCAGAACAAGAATTAATGATTTGAAATTGGGAGAGGATATGGTATCAAGTAGACAAGTACCAACATATTGAACCTGTTTGTAAAATTTTAAGAGTTCAGGTACTATAATACGAGACAACAATATATAGGTAATAAAATGTAAATTTACCACCACAACTTTTGGAAGTATTTGTAAAAAAAAATAATGTTTAGGTTCTAAAATCGTAAGAAAACCAAATTTGGATACCAAAATGCAAATTTTACAAAATTGATTTGAACTGATGACTTCTGCGTTGACTCGTCCGATTAAGTCGATCCAAACAGGTTAGATAAGGTCGAGAAGGAAACATGCACGAACATGACGCGGGTCAGGAGGGAGATAGAAAAGACTACTCAGTACTCACGATGTTTGTTTCTACCGTGGCAACATTCACTTTCAGTCCTTTGATTTCATTAAGCCCAACTGATAAGGAAAGAAAACACAAGAAAAAAAAAATCATAATCCCGTAAGTATTTCAAGAGACAGATCGAAGAAGATATATACGAATGGGTTTTAGTATGAAAAAAGATCAAATCGGAGTATGCACCGGCTAGTGTCTTGGCATTCTTGTGATCGTTCTCCAGCTTTGCCGCATTGTTTTGCACCGCCAGCAATGCGGCGGAGCAAAGGATGCCGACCTGTCTCATCCCGCCGCCCAGAGCTTTCCTCAGGATCTTAGCCTGATGAAAACAACATGTGACAGCAGTGGCGGAGGGAGGTAAGGAGGAGAGGGGTCCTACTTGGCAAATAATTGGGCAACAAAACCCTTTAAATACATAGGTTTTAGTACGATAATTCAAGTTTAGGATCCCATACTCTCAACGATATTAGGTCACCAAGGACCCCGGTTAACTCAAAATTCATTAGATACACAAGCATTTATGTTAGTAAAATTTTAAGGACCTCAGTAGACTCGATATCTGGCTACGCCCTGTGTGACAGTACTCTGATTTAATGTTTCCATGACTATATACTACTCAAAGCTAGCTTTGTGGCGATGAGGGTAATATATATAATATACCTTTGCAATGAAGCTTTCTGAACCTACAATCACAGACCCAACTGGTGCACCCAAACCCTTTGACAGGCAAACCTATATATATAGTTCAATGCACAGCAGCAAGATATTAGTCGATCAGCAGAGAAATCTAATCTAATCTAATCAATGGCAGATTAAAAAAAAAAAGGGATTTTTTTTTCTTTCTTTTACTGTTCATCATACCGAAACAGAGTCTGCTGCTTGTACAAGCCTATGAACAGGAACCCCAAGAGCCTTCAAAAGCGAATCATATACACCAAGGGTTAGGAAGAAGTGGTATATATAGTCCGTATAGATCCATAAACATTTCTAAATAATTTGAGTTATTGAAACAAGTTTGTTTATAATACGACATCAGATCAATCGAGCTGATTCAACATGTTCAAGTCCCCACGCGGTTCTTAATATTAAAAGTAGTTGATTAAAACATGTGGTATATTCTTCTATTTGTGCAAATTTTAAGCCCGTATGTATAAATTGACCAGTTTTGTTTAAAAACACACGTAAAATTCTCCAAAACAACTTGAATTATTGGGACCAGCAGCTGGTTGATTTATAACATAAGGAAACCAAGTTAGCCGGCCACCATGATTATACTTACAACTGCAGCATTAAAAATACGAGCCCCGTCAATGTGAAGCTTCAGACCATGCTTCTTAGCCAATTCGCCAACTCGATCCGTGTAGTCGACAGACAGACACCTTCCACCCGAGCTGCAAGGCATAAATCCCAACATAAGTTTTTTATATCTCGATCTCACACGCCCTTTCAAACGAAAGCCCCACGAGCGAGTAAAAAAAACAAGCAGCAGCTTACTTGGCATGTGAATTCTCCAAACAGATGAGCCTGGTATTCGGATACAGAAGCTCCAACCTCGGGTCCCTTATCTTCGCCTCAATCTCATCCAAATCCATAGTTCCGTCCTCGTTGTTCTTCACCGTCCTCGAATGCACGCCTCCAATGGCGGCGATGCCGCCGTTCTCGTACACGTGGATGTGAGAACCGTCTCCCAAAATGACCTCACTGCCCCTGGTGTCGCAGTGAACCAGCACGCTGATGAGGTTGCCCATCGTCCCCGACGGAACGAACAGTGCGGCTTCCTTCCCCGTGATTCTCGCCATCTCGGCCTCAAGCCTCAGGGCTGTCGGGTCGTTGCCCAAAACGTCGTCGTCTACCTCCGCGGCCGCCATTGCTGCTCTCATCGCGGTGCAGGGCTTGGTGACGGTGTCTGATCGGAGGTCGACTCTTTTTGTTGTTACCATTGTTTTGGGGTCCTGACAAAAAAAAAAAGGAAATTAAACTGATTCTCAGAGGAAGGAATCGCGTTGTTAACCATCTCTCGCGAATTTGCACCCTCCTTGTTGCCAAACAGATTGTTATATATATTCATTATTACATGTACGTCGAAAATTATTTAGCCCTTTCATTTCACCTTTTATAGGAAGACACTGCATAATTGGTACTTGCATGATTGCAATGGAAATAGAAAGGAAACAATAATCTGAAAATTAAACAACAAATCACAACAATTGAAAAAAAAAAGACAAGAATGATTAATGTCAACTATCACGTCATTTTAGAGATGATAAATAAATTAGATTCATGAACATGTTTTTTTTATAATTTAGTACCTGGATTTTTTTTTCAAGCAAGTCTAATAAAATTAGATTTTAATATCTAAATACTTTTTTATTAAATTTAATACCAAAAAATTTATAGAAGGCTGAACTTTTTATGTGTAGTTATAATAATAAAAAATGGATAAAATTACTACCCAATTAGAATATAATAACTACTCTCTATACCCTTCTCAAGCCAATCTAACAAAGGTCCAAACTCATATCTGCTTGACCCATATTCTACCTATAATTAATGGATTTTCTTGAGTTTGAAATTTGCATAAAAATTATCCTATAAATGGTGATTATCATTCCTAATCAAAACAACGAGTAATCCACTCTTAAAAGAAAAACTAAAACGATATCTGGGGAACACACCTTAATATGGAGAATGGAGAGAGTAGATCTTTTTTTCCTTTTCTGGAAAAAGAGAGAGTAGCTGAGGTTGAGGGTTATGGTTTTTGTTAGCCTCCACTTATATATATACACGAACATAGGATGCTTGGTCAAACAATGTTTGGCTTCTCATTCGAATGTTGTCCTTGCCTCTCTTTTTCCCAATTTTGATTTGATTAGTTTTATTCAATTCGTTATTATTTTTATATTTATTTTGTTAACTATTTATTTTTCTTTAAGTTTATATTTCTTTGAGATGCATATCAAGGTGGATCGATTATCATTAAGGTAGTCATTCCGATCGACCTGTCACATTATGTGATAGAATTATGATTGAGAAACGGTGTGATTTAGCGCAAACCATACTTGTATGGTTTGGTCCTATATGATCAAGACCAACCAAACCATTTGAAGTATAAAAAAAAATGAACAATTGTTTGATCCACCAAACAAAAATCGACCGAGAAACGCCACAGTTTTAGCCTTGAAACCTAAATTCCAGCATTCATGTGCAATCTCAAAAATTGACATAATATTATACGAGACATGATCGTCTCGGCTCTCTGGTGTAGTATTGTTGTTTCGGAGGAAGAATGAGATTAGATTCACGAAATTAGTGTGGAGACATCATCCCAAGTTGAGAGAATACCGAGTAATTGGTGATACGGGGTCAAAAAATGAGTTGTGTCCATGGTCTGGTCCAGCGCGTACCAGGATCTGGGTCTGATCGGACCAACAGGTCAAAACGACCCATCATGAATCAAACAAAATCTTTATAGCAACCTACTGTCCGAACCGAATGTAGGATAATGGATTGGTTTAACATATTTTATCCAGAAGTTAGTAAAAAACTCTGACAAAAGCAAAGGTAGTGAAAAACTCCGGTTCATGTTGTTGTGGACAGAAACCACATGAGATCACATGTCAATCATTTGGGATATAAATAAACCAAAGTCTGTTCTTAAATTAGTGATAGCAAAATAGTACACAATCGTGGAAAATTACTCAATTGAGAACGTGAGTATTATTATCTAAAAGCTAGAACATAAAACTAACAATAAAGACTGAACTCGACCCAATATTAGAAACAATAATAAAGACTCAATTATGAAAAAAAAGGAATAAATTACATATTTTAAGGGCTCACATTGGCAGTATTATCGCACTAACAAACATTAACTCGAAATTCACGAGGTCTCCTAAATATTTGATAATTTGGTATGCCAACCTCCAAAGGCATAAACGTGGAATGGGAGAGAAACTTCCTCATCCACTACATAGCATGCGAGGATGTTGCAGTTACACATTTTAATTAATAAATTCAAGTTTCATTAATAATTTGATAGAATTATAAATCATGGTTTAGAGGGTGGAAATTATTATTATTATTATAATTATAATAATAATAATAATTATTATTATTATTTGTCTGATGGAGGCCAACAGCTAAGAACGTGAGGGGTTATGTAGGAAATACCTAGGAAAATATAGAAGACTCACATAATGTAAGAATCATATGTGTTTCTTGCCATAATTGTACTTATGACTTATTTATTTTTCAACTACTAACATACTCGAAAATTTGAAGATTGGAATTTATTTTGGCTAGGTTCCAATACAAAACCATTCCTATTTCTAATGCTAAAAAATCATATCTAATGGTTGTAATTTGAGAAAGAGCTAGAGATCTAATGGTCCATATCATAAAGGATAATGAAAGAAATAAGGGATTTAGGGGATTGCTAACGGGAGTTTTGGGGGTTGGATTTCTAGGCGTGTAGTTAAAGCATTTTTCAAATCTTCTTCGAAAATCCAACGGGCCATAGCTAATTCATTTTACATCATATTGAAAAAAAAAATTATAAAATTATCAGATTTTTTGGGTTAATTGCATGGTTGGTCACTGGGATTACAGAAAACATTTCAGTTTGATCACTCGAAATATTTAAATCCATTGGTGGTACTTCAGTTTATTGAAACCGTTCACATTTGGTTACTCTCCGTCCAACTCCGTTAACTTTGGCTGATGTGGCAGTCAACTCAAAGTTCACCATCACTTGAGGTATTGGATCTCTCCATCAACAATTTCACCACCAGCTTCCCCAGGTTGGATTTTGGGTGGTGTGGAAACTTGACCCAACTCATTATTTCACGGAATCATTTTTCGGGTGTCAGGTTCCCAATCGAGTTTTGTAATTGCTCCCTTTTGGAAACCCTCGATTTGACTCAGAACGACCTTTGAGTTTCCTATTCCGGGATCGTTGTAGGCTGAAGAAATTAAAGCGGCTAACTTTGTCACACAATAGCTTCTCCAGCAGAATCCCGATCGAGCTCGATGGTCTCTATGGAACTTTACAAGAGCTCGACCTCTCCCACCCTCATTTGTACAGTCGAGATCTGGTCGACGGCTCCGCCAGCTTCGTCTGTTGGTTGTGGAAAACCCCGCTCTTTCAGCTGTTGCGGTGGGATGGGATTTTCTTTGAAATCTTCGTCCATCGCCCACGAAAACCTGAAAGGCCAATGGTTCTGATCGAGAAACCAACGCCTGCTGAAAATCTGGTTGGAGCCAGCCAAATAACCACCACCGGACTGGCATATTTCGGACCAGAAAGTCGGCCCGGTGGCTAATCGTGCAACCGAGGAAGAACCCATCGACGAGCTCTATTGTTCAGCGTAAAAATGGGGAAGGCGAAGAAGAGGATGGAGGGGAAGGTGAGGATACTCCTGTGCAGTCTAATTGTCTTTTTTTTTTGTTTGGTTCTTTTAAATTGCCATCTCATTAAGTTAACAGTCCATTCATAAGTTCTGTTTGCCACATCATCAAAAAACTAACGGAGTTAATGGAGACTAACGGTGAAACAATTTGTAAAGTTAGTGACGAATAAGAAAGAAAAGTGATTCAGATGGTAAATATGAAAATTTTATGTAATTTGAGTGACCAAACATGTAATTTAGCCGTTATCTATTGTTGTAACTTTACGACACAAAAATTATTGCAGCGTATTAAAAAGGGCATTGCTATTCGTCGCCCTAAAATTTCTTATTCGTTGCCCTAATTCAGTCAAATTTACTTTAATGTCCTTAAATCATTTATTTATCTTTCAAACACTTATCTCAACTTAAACTCATATATTGCACCAAAATTAACAAAATATAAGGAAAGAAACAACAAAATAAACCTCAAAATAAACTCAGCGACGGTGACAACCTTTCTATGGCCATATGATCAATGCCCTTGACCTCAGTTCCACCCTTGCTAGAATGCTGTGTTTTTTTTTTTTTAGTGTATTGCTGATATATATAAACTGGGTTCAACTGAAATTAGCAACTTGACTTTGAATCAGTGAGAATAAGAAATATATTGGTACTCTTAAATTCATTGAGCAAATTTGAGTAGTCAAAAAGCACCAAGTCACCAACTTTATCCACTAATCGAGTAGGAACTCTTCCTTCCTCTGCAGCCACGGTGGCGACGGGAGGCAGATCGGCGTCGGGCAGGAGCAGGGCAGTCGGCTTCCTCCATCCCTCCGCACTCGAGTAGTAGCAGCTGGAGCAGGTGGCAGGGTTAGAATTATAATTGAGTTTTATCCACTAATCGAGTAGGAACTCTTCCTTCCTCTGCAGCCACGGTGGCGACGGGAGGCAGATCGGCGTCGGGCAGGAGCAGGGCAGCCGGCTTCCTCCATCCCTCCGCACTCGAGTAGTAGCAGCTGGAGCAGGTGGCAGGGTTAGAATTATAATTGAGTTGAGGGTATATATGTCAATTTGTTGTGTTTTAGGGCTATAAAATTTGAATTTTAGGGCGACAAATAGCAATTCAGATTAAAAATGTGTCCGAACTCCCAAATTTATATTTTTTGTACCGACGAAATATAGTTCTCCCACAAAATTTCCCGCTATTTTCACTTTTCAGTGCGGACGGTACAAGGTCCTTCTGTAGAACGGAAACCTGCTATTCAAAGCACAGGAAGATAAGACAAGCCCCGTAACAGAAACAGCTAGCTACCGACGAGCCTTACTATCCGTCTCATAGTTTTCCGGCAAAGTGACATAATAAGAGTTTCAGTAATCAGAAACAGCCACCGCTAGCTACCGATCGAATCAAGTCACTGTCTTTTAAGTAATAAAAGTTTCCTGCATTCACATTCATAAACACCAAACATTCTGTGTGTCTGAATCAGGCCGCTGTACCATGGAGCTTTAACGACGGCAGAATCTCTGCTTGCAGTTGGAGAACGGATCCCGCCGATCAATTCCCGCAGCCGTTTTATGAGAAACATAAACGACGACAGAATCTTCTTACCCTTACAAGTAACTGGATGATAATGCCATGATGGTGAATTGGTGATGATACCATTCTGAGAGCAGAGCAAATTCTGGAAAGGAAAAAAAAATGGGGAGTTCACCGCAGAATGTGCTCCCTGAATCTCAATTTCTCGACCGAGATGATAGCCTCAAACTCGGTATGTATAGTAACAAACTAACTCTCTTGATGTCACTTGATTCCCCTGCCTGCCTGCATTGCATCAACTCCTTGTTGCATTTGTTTTCTGTAGGAGATGGGTTACAAGAAGTGAACGACAACCCGATTGAGGAAGTGAGGCTGACAGTACCAATCACCGACGATCCCACGACACCGGTCCTCACATTTCGAACATGGGTTCTCGGGCTGTCGTTCTGCGTCTTCCTCTCCGTCATGAACCAGTTCTTCGGGTACCGTTACAACGGTCTCGGCATCGGCTCTACTTCGGCCCAGATCATCATGCTCCCACTCGGCAAATTGATGGCTGCTTCCCTCCCCGCAAGGCGATTCAGAGTGCCCCTGACGAGTTGGTCCTTCACATTGAACCCCGGGCCGTTCAACATGAAGGAACATGCATTGATCACAATCCTCACCAATTGTGGGTCCGGTGGGGTTCAGGCGATCGCCATTATCATCGCGGTCCGAGCTTTCTACCACCGGAACATCCACATTGTCGCGGCTCTGCTTCTAGTCCTTACCACTCAGTTGCTTGGGTATGGATGGGCTGGAATGTTTCGCAAAATTCTGGTGGATTCGCCTCATATGTGGTGGCCAGGAAACATGCCACAAATCTCACTTTTCAGGTACTCTGTTTTCCCCTGTTTTCCTCTCTGCCTGTTAATGGGATTTGGCTCCCTCTGGCAAGTGCTGAAATTGGTGGAATCTGCAGGGCGTTACATGAAACAGAGGAGAGGCCAAAAGGAGGACAAACCCGGCTGCAGTTTTTCCTCCTGGTGTCCATATCAAGCTTTGCTTACTACATAGTTCCGGGATACTTCTTCCCATCAATATCGGCACTGTCGTTCGTGTGTTGGATTTGGAAGGACTCCATCACTGCACAACAGCTTGGTTCGGGGCTGAACGGGCTTGGACTCGGTGCATTCGGTCTCGACTGGTCTACCATCTCCGGGTTCGTGGGGAGCCCTCTAGCCACACCATCGTTTGCAATTTTCAACACCATGGCTGGGTTCATCCTGTTTGTCTATTTCATCCTGCCGATCGCTTACTGGAAAAATGCGTACAACGCGAGGAGATTCCCAATGCTTTCTGAGCAGACATTTGACAGCTCCGGTCAGCCGTACAACACTACCAGGATTCTGAACGAGAGGGAGTTCAGAATGGACCTGAGCGAATACGAAAACTACAGCAAGCTGTACCTCAGCATCACTTTTGCATTCAACTATGGGATCAGTTTTGCAGCTTTCATGGCTACAATAGTGCACGTTGCGCTTTTCGATGGGAAGTAAGTTGCGAATTTTCCTCGAAGTAGCAGGAAGGAAGTAGACTATCTTAAACACTACAATTTCACATATGCATTTTTCAATGTTGTAGGTCAATTTGGAAAATGTGGAAGACGGCATCAAGTGGAATTAAAGACCAATTCAGCGATGTCCACACAAGAATGATGAAGAAGAACTACGAAGAAGTTCCTCAATGGTGGTTTCTAGTTATAATGGTCGTATCACTAGCACTTTCTTTCGTTGCCATTGAAGGGTTTAACAAACAACTGCAACTTCCATGGTGGGGACTCATTCTATCATGTGCAATTGCATTTGCTGTCACCTTACCGTCCGGGATACTCGTTGCCTCTGCAAACCAGGTATCGTACTACATTCTAGCGCGTTCGTAATCGTAAAATCGTGTTAATCTGTTGACTAATGAGCTCAATTACCTGTAGGGCATCGGGTTAAACATAATCACAGAGCTGATCATAGGATACTTGTACCCAGGCAGGCCTGTGGCAAATGTGGCATTCAAGACCTATGGCACAATTAGCATTTGGCAAGCGCTTACCTTCTTATCAGACTTCAAACTCGGCCACTACATGAAAGTCCCGCCGAAATCAATGTTCCTGGTCCAACTAGTAGGCACAATAGTTGCTTCCACCGTCCAACTCGGAACCACTTGGTGGATCCTCTCTAGCATCAAGGGCATATGTGACTCAACTAAGCTCCCCAAGGGAAGTCCATGGACCTGCCCCGGGTACGATGTCTTCTACAGCGCTTCGGTCATTTGGGGAGTCATTGGGCCGCTCAGGATCTTCAACGATCGTGGCGTTTACCCTCAGATGAACTGGTTCTTCCTGATAGGTACCTTTGCACCAGTTCCGGTGTGGCTGTTGTCGAGGAAGTTCCCGGAGAAGAAGTGGATCAGGATGGTTTACATGCCCATCATATTGTCGGGAATGGGAGGCCTGCTGCCGGCGAAGCCGATTCACTATTGGTCTTGGGGAGTTGTGGGAGTGTTCTTCAACTACTACATATACAAAAAACACAAGGGATGGTGGGCTAGGCACACATACATCCTGTCAGCTGCTCTGGATGTTGGGATTGCCTTCATGGGTCTGTTTCTCTACGTTGCTCTTCAGAGGAAGGAGATATACGGCCCACAATGGTGGGGACTCCAGGCTGATGACCATTGTCCATTGGCAAAGTGCCCTACAGTTCCTGGTGTTTATGTCAAAGGATGCCCTGCCATTCAATGATATGCAGGAGTTGTGGCCTTGTGGTCGAATAATTCTCGGACCTTGAATTAATCGGGTTTATAAGCATGATACTATACCATAATCCTTGATGGGTGAACGCTATGGATTAGCTATCTAAATTATAGAGCATAAACCCTAAGATTGTACTTGTAATGTGTTGCATATATTTCGATGAATTATGATCGTCGATTTTTTTTTTTTCATTAAATTGATCTTAGTGTATGAGATTTATAAAACTAAGATATAGATTTTAATCTTTAAGGGTTTGGGAATAGTACCAGATGTCAAACTCCGGTCAATTCAAGGTCTAGATATCATTTTCTTACTCAAAGTATGTCATACCTTTGATTTTATCTAAGGTACGATAGAACCACCGATATCTATTGGTTAAGGCTAGCATACATTTTATGGTGATATGTCGAAGTAAATGTTGTGATGTGGTTTTTTTATAAGAGTTGTGGTTTACTTTAAAAGATTTGTGGTGTGCCTTTATAAACTTGCGGTGAGACTTGTGGTGTGTTTTAATAAACTTGTGGTGTATTTTATGAGACTTGTGTTATGCTTCATTGGATTAGTGGTTTGCTTTAGAAACTTGTGGTGTGTTTTGATAAAATTGTGGTGTGTTTTATAAGATTTTGTGGCATATTTAATAATCTTGTGATGTGTTTTAATGAATCTTGTGATATACTTCCTTTTTTCGTGAGCCTTGTGGTTTGTTTCATAAGTTTGTGGTGTGATTTATTATTTTTGTGGTGTAGTGAGTTTGTGTAGTCTTTTCTAAAGTTTGTTGTTTTTTTGTGGTGGTGTTTCTAGTATTTGACTAGCCTATTACCCGGCCCGTTGGCCGGATTAGTGTATGTTACCCACTTGTGGAATAGGAGAAAAAGCAAGTGAGAGTAGAAGGAATTGGGATTCCACTTGCTTAGGACCGACCCACTAATCCGATTCTTCCCGACCCGCCCCAACCTAAAGGGTCAGAAAGAGTCAATAAGAAAATACGAACGGAGAGGATTAGTCATATATCTTGAATCTTCATAAGTGGGTCAAACAGGATCAAGGTTGGGTGAGGGGAATTTTTAGCGCTAAGCAGAGTTCTGGTTGAATAACTTTACTTAGGCCTAGAAATTGGTGTTGATGCAGACTGCAGTTTTTATTATACCATCATCAATCATCATTGAATTAGTCCTGGGCATCCCTCCCCGTTGTCGGTCTGAATTCTAATGATGGCTTCGTTCCTTGCACCAGCCATATCGGCGAGTTGTCATCTCGAGCATGATTTGCCTATGTACAAATGATACAATTAGAGTATGAAACTGAATTCAAAGAAAGGAAAAGAGAATTCTATCACATGCCAATAAATACACGCATAATAGTGAAGCTAAGTGAAAGTCATTACTCGCAAATCAATTCTCAAAAATTACAGACTAAACAATGGCTAGAATGGCACTGAAACTACCAAGAATCATGGACGAAACAACTTGTCAAATTAAATAATCCTTATACTCAAAACTACCTTCTAACTTGAAATAGGACATGATCACAGTTCATAGCTCTCTTCTCACTATGAATTGGTTGCAGCTCGTCCTTATCACTGCCTCCCAAGCTCAATTCCAACAGAATAGAGACAGTTATGTAAGATAACCATATCCTTACTGATCATAATTCCTTTCTTCACTCCATTTTTGTCAGAGAAAAGAGTTAACCCCCTCTCCTGCATTTCCCTTTCCCCCTCTCTTCTCCCTCTTCTTCACAAACCGATCCCTAAACCAGCAACAACAACACAAAAATAGCCTTTGCCTCTGCCATCTCCATCTACTGAACGCGTTGGTGGCAAGACAGGACTGCAGAAGCAAAATTTTCTAAAATCAAACTAAATTTTTTGAAGGAGACCTAACCACGAAAAAAGAGTAAAGCAACAATGCTAATAGTTCAGATGGTTGGTTTTGATGTTATACATTGCTTTTGTTCTGGTCTCCAGTATATCAACTGCACGATTTAGAAGCAAGTCCTCCTGTTTGTGTCAAACGGAAACATTCATGGGTTCTTAACTCCCCTGTTAGTGTAAAAGCAGCAGCAGCGGCAAAGAAGTTTGACAACACAGCAAGCACCCAGGCAAAATGATACAATGCAGTAGGTGATATGTGTCTCGAAGGTTTTGAGTTACTAAAGTTCATGTTAAAAATAAACATGAATTAAAATGGATTATTCTATTAATCAAACATCCCCTCTAATCATACAAAGATCATATATCCAATTCACAAACAATTAAGCCATAAAAAATATCATACATCCACCACCTTTGATTGCCTAAATTTGGTTTTTCGCAAAGTTATGGACTCTTAAGGGTAACGTTCATGGGTAGTCTGTTTCATAACTCTAGAGAGCACAGTAAGCAGCCACCAGCCAGACACAGTGCGGTAGGCGAATATGATTCTCAATTCACAATTTCTCACCACCGGAAGTAAGAACAGACCATAATAAGCGTAACATTCATGGGTGGTCTGTTTCATAGCACTACCACACAATTTGTTAAAAAGGAAAGAAAGGTATTTAGCACCACGGTGGAACAACTTTTACAGGCCAACAACGACAACATGCTGCAACCACCAGAACTGGTATCACAACTCATAGGGAAAATCAAAAGAGCAATCGTCAAGCACATACACCATCACAAAAATCACGGAACCTGATTCACAAAGCATTCAAACATTTGAGGACATTTCTGCAAAGGTACAACTTATATGTCTTTTTTCCAAGCCATTTCCATCAACATGCTAATAAATTTGCAATGCATAAAACAAACGGGCCAAAACTTGAAATTCAGCCTGTTCGATCGACCCATGCCAAATTCTAATTATTCTTTACTTTTAAACTTTCTATTTGAAAATAAAAAAATAGTGAAAGAAAAGAGACGACTACAATTCGCCATTTGCACATCACTTAATCGAGATTAAAACCATGGAAATTCAAAAGGAACTGAAAATGTTTAGGATCGTTATAATGTTTAAAATAACCAAATAGATCGTTATGTTTAGTTTTTTACTAACAAATACCAAACGATTCCCTATAAAATACACTATAATTTGATCATTATGATATCAAATAATTATAAAATATATATTTGAAATGATAAAAATTGGACTAATTGTGTTGGTCGAGGTTGAACCATTGAATAACTTTAAAATACATTATATTTTAGCCACTAAGATATAAAATAATAGCATAATAGAAAACAGCTTGTTTTAGAATGACAAACCAATGATGTTCATTTGTTTTACTTGATGGCCAGATCCCATGTAGGTCATGCCCATTCAACTCTTTTATTTTATGGTTAGCGGTTAGCCCATTAGATACCATGCATTAGTTTATTGTTAAATTTTTTATTTTTAACAATAAAAAGGAGTATTAGTTTTTCCTTTTCATATATATTTTATCACCACGGAGAAATAAAAGGGTTTAAAGAAAAAAAAATTGACACTCCTGGACCCGTTTAAATTCGCATGTGTACGGTAAGTTGGCCCGTTACACAGAGGAAAGAGAAAAAAATTGACACTTCCTATTCTACCCTTCCTACAAACACTCATGGAGCAGGGAATTTGAAATGGGGGAAGGGTTTTTTCCTCCCTGCTATTATATGTTTTTAATTTAAAAAGATACAACAAATGTGCTTAGTGTGATTGGTTATTATCCTTGCTTTTCTTTAAAATGGTCATGGTTCGAATCCCAGTACGTGTCTTTTTAATGAATAAAAAAAAGTAATTGTGAAGACCAAAATGTCCTTCCTACTTTCACTCTCGTTGCAGGAAATTTGAAATGGAGCTCCCGTTTTTCCCTTCGGCGTATTATATTATGTGTAGATGGTTCCCCCACCCATTTAACCAATTAAAGGATTGCTTCCTCAAATTAAAAACACAAAATAAGTGAGTTCCCCCTTCCCAATTTTTAAATAATGATCAGCATGCCCCTAGGTGGTCTTCCCCTATTAATTTATGTCAATTTATTTATACCAGATAATTAGCCCGAGCGTTGTATCGGGATTTTGTATAAATTTGTTTTTGAGATTTTTGAGATACTGTGACATAGTTTGTTTTGTAGATACTTTTAATATATTGGAGAGCAATTATAGTGCTACATTTTAAATTCGAATGCATTGAACCAAATAATTTATTTACAAATATGACATCAACTTTCAAATATACCAAAGCAAAAACACCATATATAGTTTTTTAAACTAGTATTATTTTCGTATCTAAACCGCAAAAATTAGAAGAAGAGTTCTACTACTATGCCATACGCAACAATGTTTTCATTAAAAAAAATCTTTTAATGTACAAACTAAACATGTACTTTTAATGTTATGTTACAAATTTCTCTTGTACATATAACTTTTCGTACAAATCTCTTTATAACATGATTTATTATTAAAAGAGGAACTCCGCAAAATGACTTTAATATCAAATTAAGTTTTGTGATTAGTAAATATACACCATTGAGATCTATTATTGTTGTTGGGCATGTGACTCGGGCCTAGCCGCCCCAAAAGAACGCACCGACACTACCCCAAATGCCGCCAAACCCTGCAGGACGCGGCGCGACCGGAGACCCCCGGCGCGGCCGAGCGCGAAGGCCTCAAGCGCGACACTGTGAGCGTGACACTGTGAAGGCAGACTAGCGCGAAGCTCTCGAGCGCGACACAGGCTACCCGCACGTGGAAGGATCAAGGCGTTGACCACACCAAAGAGCCGCAGAAAGCGTCCTCTCGCTTCCCGAGGGGTAGTCACATCAGGGTCCTAAACACAGTCATAGGAAGGCCTCTGACATGTCCTAGGTATAAGCATGGCCTAAATCTCTAACATGTCAGTGGTCATGTCATTGTACCCACTTGTAACTCAACCACTCACCCACCACCTTGTAGCTTATAAATATGGCATTTACTCCGGTGGGTGAGGGGATCGGATTTTTGGGGTCCTATCTCTAAAATCATCAACTTCTCTCTCTAAAGATTTTCCCTCTCAACTCTAATCGTAATTTCCCCAGTTCTTCCATCAACGGTTATTCTCCCTTTGCTTGCTCTCCTTGACCCATCTTCCCGAGTCTCACTCCTACACCCAGTTAGGCTCAAACAATTGTCATTTTAAGTAACTCAGTAAATTAAAAAATTTAAAAAGAACCTATGATTCTGATAAATTTATATTGTTATTCCCGAATTGTTATACATATAAGCTGTAAATATGTTATGTATTTTTTTATTAACGAGGAACCTCAGCCCCACGTGCCACTTTGTGACAGTAGGTCCTACTAAACCTGGGGTGTAAATATGTTATGTAAATGCTGAACAATGAGAGTTATTTTTCTCAAAGACTCTACTTACATATTTACATAATGAGTTGATACTTTAGCTAACTTCACATTGATATATTTGATAAACGATGATCTATTACTTAAATTTTTGGATAACATGTACCACTGTATTGTACCACTATTACCTCATTCTTTTCTGAATCCACAAATCCTCTTTCTAATGGCATAAATGCATAACTTCCCTTCCCTTCCATTGTTCACCAAGAGCCATGACTTCCCTCTACACGTGGCGGAGGTGAATATATGGGATTCTACGGGATCTCTGATGATGCAGCAATTGTCGCAAAGACAACTATGGCTATTATGAAGCCCATCTTCACCAAGGAGAATCGTCGGCGACTCCTACAACCGGCGACTTGCCTAGCTGCCATCCGATCAACGCAGGGAGATCAGAGGAATTGAAAGGGGGGAAACGTGGAGGAGATTGCATCGACGGAAAGGCGATTTGCTGCTTGCCCAGCCGGCAAGTCTATCATCGCAGGGGATGAAAAAAATAACGGGAAGGAGAAAACTCGGCCAATCGTCAGGGAAACGACGGAGGGGGTAAATTAGGTTAATATGGGAAAGAGGTGCACGAAATTGGGTTAATTGGGGAAAGAGGTGCACGAAATCTAGGGTGGACATGCCCATATTTGCCCAGACCCCCTTAAGTATGTTTGCCGATTAATTATACTAACTAGAAAATTGACCCGCGCTCTGTAGCGGGTACTAAAAAATAAATCTACCAATTAGGAGTGAAAAATAATAATTTTAAATCAAGGTGAATGTCGACGTTTGTGGTCAAAAAAGAATCATGTATTAACTTGAAGCGGGTGCGAATAGGACCATAACCAATTGTTTAATCTCTTTAGCCTTCATGCACTTGTATATGATTTCGAAGTAGATAGATGGATTTCCAATTATACTACATGGTTTTGGATGGAGTAATTGAATGTATGATAATTGAGCGTGATATTCCCTAATCTTATGAAGAGGCAAGAAAATAATTTTATGATGAAGAATAAATGAAACTTTACAATGTGGGCTATGAATATTATTATCTTCCACGATAAATATTATTATCGAATCATAATAATGGTTCAATCCTTGAAATTTCAAAAAGTATTTTGAAATAGTGCTATGTTCGAATTGAGTAACTCACAATTTCACATATAGTTTCCTATATGGATTATAGTAGACTGATAAAATAATGACTTATTCAGAAAGTTTTTTAATTTTGACAATGAATCTTCTTTGAAGCACACTATCTAATTATTATGTAATTACATGATCCTTCCTTATCACAAACATAGTAACATCATACATTTTATCCACTATGTGAATTTTATGTTATACATGCTTCTTACTAACACCCAAACATACCAAGCTTGACGAAATAATTGAAATGAGTGGGACCTATAAGAATGTGGTTAGGTATATGATGGATTTTAACAAATCAAACAAATGATAAAAGGAGATCGATCATGAGGCCAATAGAGATGAACAGGTGACATGTTTTCATTCGCAGGGAGATCATGAGGCCAAGAATCTATCGGAGGAAAACAGAGTGGACAATGATCCGGGAGGATTGGCGGCTAGTCCAAAGTTATTTGCAGGGGATTTATGGTGAAATCTCCAATTAGAAGATGGGAGGAGTAGCGGCTATAGAAAATCTGGCGAGAGGATCCAACTTGGCCAATCTCCAATGAATCGTCGGAGGGAAGAAACAGGATGGCTAGGCATGGTGACTCGCCAACTTGGCCAATCGCCAAAAAATCGTCGCGGGGAAGATAGGGGCCGGGAAAGAACAGTTTATGGGGGAATAAAAGGGGTCCACAAATCCTAGTGTGAGCTCGCAAATAGGGTTGACGTAGGTGCGGAGAGGGGTTGGGCGGCAGAACAGTGAGTTCTTGGGAAACATCAACATCAAAAGGGTCGGCCAGCCGCCAAAGTCCAAAGAGATCGTCCAAGCGGAAGAAAATGGGGAGGGAAAAAGGGGTGTATAGAACTTATGGTACACCGACTAACAGGGTACTCGAACCCTTAAGTATACTCGCCATTTAATTATACTAATTAAAAATCATCTAAACGAGATGATTTTATTGGTTGAAACTAATATCAACACCATAACCTTTTCCATTATTTTGTCTCTTGTAAAGCACTGCTTTTGTCTCTTGTAGGGCTAGAATCTTTTGATTTCTTGGGGTGGTTTCTTTAGAGTCTCTTAAGGGTCCTGGGTAGAATTGGAAAAAAATCCCAAAATACTCATGTTTTTAAAAAAAATTCCCAAAATACACACGTTATAAATTTTTTTCCTAAAATACACATGTTTGGGCATCACCGCTGTTGCAACCGCAGTGAATGCATTCACCGCGGCAGACCAAAGCGGTGAATGCATCACCGCGGTTGACGGCCGCGGTGAATGAATGACGTAACACTGAAACTTCAAACAAACGTAACTTTGCGGTCGGTTATCCGATTGTAGCGATTTTTTTTATTCCACATAACTTTTCAAGATCTTTCAATATGAAAAAAGACTTCATCCCAACAAAAATCATTTGCTACCCCGAACGAGCAATTTTTTGATTTTGACAAACTTTGGAAGATCATAACTTTGTGCTCCACAATCCGAATGTCATGAAACTTTTTTTGATTTTGCATAACTTTTGAAGTACTACAACTTTGATTATAACCATAATTTTGGTAAGTATGTGGATTTGTGAAAAGTAAAGGCAAAGTTATTCCCAAAATCCCGTATACCCAAAAATACTTCTTTTTTAAAAAATTATTTCCTAGTCAAAGTTGTAGTTCTTAAAAATTTATGCGCAATCAAAAAAAACTTTACGATGTTCGGATTGAGGAGCTATAAGTTATGTCCTTCCAAAGTTTGGCAAAATTGAAAAATTGCTCGTTCGGGGTAACAAACGACATTTTTTCTAGATGAAGTCTTGTTGCAGATTGAAATATCTTGAAAAGTTATATGGAATAAAAAAAAATTCGCTACAATCGGATAACCGAGCGCAAAGTTACGTTTGTTTGAAGTTTCAGTGTTAAGCCGGGCACTCACCGCGACCGTCAACCGCGGTGATGCATTCACCGCTTTGGTCTGTCGCGGTGAATGCATTCACTGCGGTTGACAACAGCGGTCAAACATGTGTATTTTGGGGAAAAAAATTATAACGTGTATTTTGAGAATTTTTTTTAAAACATATGTACTTTTGGAATTCGTCCGTAGAATTGTAAGCTTAACTATGATTTCTCATTGATATCACTCATAAATAAATAAATAAATAAATAAAACTTTTTCCATTATTTGAAGTGAATATGTATTCTGACAAAAAAAAATCCCACTTCAAATTCCGACCTAGGTTTCAAAGCAACTAAGCAAGAGACCCTAACAAAGGAAACGACAATATCAGATTTCCCGTTGTTTTCAGTGCGGACGGTACAGAGTCCTCTGTACAACGGAACGTGCTATTCAAAGCACAACAAGATAAAAGAAAACCCTCTGTTACAGAAAAAAAGCTACCGACGAGCCTTCCCCTGCGTCTCATAGTTTTCCGGCAAAGTGACATAACAGTTTTCAGTAATCAGAAAAATGCCACCGCTAGCTACCGATCCAATTAGGTCACTGTCTTAAGTAATTAAAGGTTCATGCACAGACAACCCAAAACTTGAATCAGGCCGATGTACCGTGAAGACAACCAACTAATTCGCGTCTTATAACACTTCAAAAACTGCATATCACCATCGTTTGTCAGTATCTCTGCTTTGCAGTTGGAGAGCGGATCCCGCCGCTTCATGCCGGCTGCCGTTTTACAAGAAAGCATATACACGACGGCGGATTCTCCTTTACCATATCCTTATTCCTCTCTTCCTCTTCTGATAGTGAAAGATTGGAGCTTGCCCCTTATAAGTAACCTGATGATGATACCATTCCGAGAGCAGAGCAATTTCAGAAAGAAAGAAAAAAAAAATGGGGAGTTTACAACAGAATGTGCTCTCTGAATCTCAAGTTCACGACCAAGATCACAGCCTTAATCTCACGAAACTCGGTATGTAAATGTAACGGATTAATTTGATTCCCCTGTCTGCATTGCATCAAGTCCTTATGAAATTGTTTATGTAGGAGAGGAAGAAGTGAACGACAACCCGATTGAGGAAGTGAGGCTGACAGTACCGATCACCGACGATCCAACACTGCCCGTTCTGACATTCCGAACATGGGTTCTCGGGCTGTCTTCCTGCGTCTTCCTCTCCGTCATGAACCAGTTCTTCGGGTACCGTTACAACGGTCTCTACGTCGGCTCTACTTCGGCACAGATCATGATGCTCCCGCTTGGCAAATTGATGGCTGCTTCACTCCCCACTAGGCGCTTCAGAGTGCCCCTGACGAGTTGGTCCTTCACATTGAACCCCGGACCGTTCAATGTGAAGGAACATGTCCTGATAACCATATTGGCCAATTGTGGGGCTGATGGGGTTTTGGCGCTCGCCATCATCACTGCAGTCAGAGCTTTCTACCATCGGAGCATCCACGTTGTCGCGGCGCTGCTCCTCGTACTCACCACTCAGTTGCTTGGGTATGGATGGGCCGGAATGTTCCGCAAAATTCTGGTGGATTCGCCTCATATGTGGTGGCCTGGAAGCTTGCCGCAAGTCTCACTTTTCAGGTAACTCTGTTTTCCCCTGTTTTTCCTCTCTGCCTGTTAATGGAGTTCGCTGAAGTAGTGGAATCTGCAGGGCGTTGCATGAAACAGAGAAGAGGCCGAAAGGAGGACAAACCCGGCTGCAGTTTTTCCTCCTGGTGTGCATATCAAGCTTTGCTTACTACATAGTCCCGGGCTACTTGTTCCCATCCATATCGGCGCTGTCGTTCGTGTGTTGGATTTGGAAGGACTCCATCACTGCACAACAGCTTGGTTCGGGGCTGAACGGGCTTGGACTCGGTGCATTCGGTCTGGACTGGTCCACGATTGCGGGGTTCGTGGGGAGCCCTCTAGCCACACCATTGTTTGCAATTCTCAACACCATGGGCGGGTTCATCCTGTTTGTCTATTTCATCTTGCCGATCGCTTACTGGAAGAATGCGTACAACGCGAGGAGATTCCCAATGCTTTCTCAGGGGACTTTTGATAGCTCCGGTCAGCAGTACAACATTACCAGGATTCTGAATGAGAGAGAGTTCAGCATCAACCTTGGCGAATACGAAAACTACAGCAAGTTGTACCTGAGCTTCACTTTCGCATTCAACTATGGGATCAGTTTTGCAGCTTTTATGGCTACCATAGTGCACGTTGCGCTTTTCGATGGGAAGTAAGTTGCGGCTTTCCTTGAAGTAGCAGGAAGGAAGTAGACCATCTTATACACTACCATTTCTCATCTGCATTTTTTGACATGTTGTAGGTCGATTTGGGAATTGTGGAAGAGGGCATCAAGTGGAATGAAAGACCAATTCAGCGATGTCCACACACGTATGATGAAGAAGAACTACGAAGAAGTTCCGCAATGGTGGTTTCTGGCGATAATGGTCGTATCACTAGCACTTGCCTTCGTTGCCATTGAAGGGTTCAACAAACAACTGCAACTTCCATGGTGGGGACTCATTCTATCATGTGCAATTGCATTTGCTGTCACCTTACCAACTGGGATACTCGTCGCCTCTGCAAACCAGGTACGTATTACTACGTTCCAGCACTCGTTTCGCAGTTACAGAATTGTGCTGTCGTTCATATCGACTAATCGCATCTCAACCGTGTGTAGGGAATCGGGATAAACATAATCACGGAGCTGATCATAGGGTACTTGTACCCTGGCAGGCCGGTCGCAAATGTGGCTTTCAAGACCTATGGCACAATTAGCATGTGGCAAGCGCTTACCTTCTTATCGGACTTCAAACTCGGCCACTACATGAAAGTCCCGCCGAAATCAATGTTCCTGGTCCAGCTAGTAGGCACCATAGTTGGTTCCACCGTCCAATTCGGAACAACATGGTGGATCCTTTCTAGCATCAAGGGCATTTGTGACCCAACTAAGCTCCCCAAGGGAAGTCCATGGACATGCCCCGGGTACGATGTCTTCTACAGCGCTTCGATCATCTGGGGGGTCGTGGGGCCGCTCAGGATCTTCAACATTCGCGGCGTATACCCTCAGATGAACTGGTTCTTCCTGATCGGGACCTTTGCACCGGTACCGGTGTGGCTGTTGTCGAGGAAGTACCCGGAGAAGAAGTGGATCAGGATGGTTTACATGCCCGTCATATTGTCCGGAATGGGCGGCCTGCTTCCTGCGAAGCCGATTCACTTCTGGTCTTGGGGAGTCGTGGGAGTGTTCTTCAACTACTACATATACAAGAAGCATAAAGGATGGTGGGCTAGGCACACGTACATTCTGTCAGCTGCTCTGGATGTTGGGATTGCTTTCATGGGTTTGCTGCTCTACGTTGCTCTTCAGAGGAAGGAGATATACGGCCCGCAATGGTGGGGACTCCAGGCTGATGACCATTGTCCACTGGCAAAATGTCCTACTGTCCCTGGTGTTTTTGTCAAAGGGTGCCCTGCCATTCAGTGACATGGAGGAGGAGTTGTGGCCTTGTGGTCTGAGTAATGCCGTTGCATATGTTCTGTATTCTTGGCTTCTATGATAGCTTTCGATTTCGATTTTGTAGTCATGGTTCTATGCAGTTAGTTCAAGTATGATCTCTGGTAATCTGGTTTGGCCGTCAATCAAATGTACAATTTATTCACTTAAGACAATAGTCATTGCTCCTTGGTACTAAGTTATGTGAAGGAATATGGATATTAGTAAAAGCCGAATAAGAATCACATTTGTGAGTTACAGAGGAATCATACAGGATTAAAGTAAAATGAGGTCAAGAGATATTGAGTAAGGATCTTTCTCAATTCAACCCTCGCACCAAAGCGTGGTATCAAATGTAAAAGGATGAGATAATGGTTGCGTATCAAGTTGATCCAAGTTCAACTCCGAGAGGATCCAACTATAACTCATCTGATAAATTATATACACTCGTCACGTAATCTTTGAAGTTTGATGTATTATTTAGTTTGAGTGTTATTAGCCAAATATTTCAAGCTTTCTTTTTTATTAGCGAAATCTATTGAATTGGTAATAATTAGCAATTTTGTTAGTAATTGACTTGGCAACATGATACTAACTTGGAAGAGACACATAGAGGTTAACATTCCAAAATTTTAGTATTTTAACTATTAAAAAAACTTGCAAAATCATTAACAGCAACATAAAAATGGCTAATATTTTGATGCATTGCAAAAGATTTAGCTATTTATTAGTAATTCAATAGGTTTGGCTAATAAAAAGAAAGCGGAAAAGGTTTGGCTCGTGATTAGTGTTTACCCTTGTTTTTAAGTCCTTTCTATTTTTTACTGTGTACTTTGAATTTACCTTGATGTGTGATCTACTTTAATTGTTTTCCGATTAATAATAATACCAAGAATATTCTCGATTAACAAGTGTCTAGATATTGTTTTCGTCAATGAAATATATCAAAAATGATTTTTTAAATCAGATGAATGATTAGTGATTGAACGACACCTTGATGACATATATTGAACAAGGTTTGTGTGCTAGTTTGGACAAAAAAGAATGACTTCTAGAATGATTTAAAATATGAAATATCTTCCCAGTTCGGTGTAAACTGTGCACATCAAACTACTATTCTATAATTGTATAAACTTTGAGTATTGTGTTGTTGATTTTTTATTTAATTTGAAGTTAAACTTTTTTTATTAATATAGTTAATTTTTTATGTTATGAAAAAGACACTCTTCTGATCAATTTTCTGGCTCCACCACAGCTGCAGACCCTGTTAAGTTTTGCTCTTCTTTTCTCTTATGTCTGTCCTTAATAATTCCACTGCTGTGTCGCTCATGTTTGTTTGGTTACTTATGTTGTAACTTTCACTCCCGTCGATTCCAACCCACCGTCGACGAAGACAAAAACAGAGCAACAAACAGAGCTTCCAAGGTCAAGGGTCGTCATTTTCAAAGGTTAACGTATTAACAGGAGACGACCATGACTGGGAAATCGTTTTCATTTGCGTTCTTTTGCACATTTCAGAACTTAAACTTATCACTGATGTCGTGCGAGTAGAATAATCATGCCAATCTCCATCGTCCCAAAGTCAGAACTCAGAAGTCACTGTTAGCACATTGAACTCGTCGCCTTGTTCTTGTGGACTATACAATCGTCCTTAACCCTTGTACGTATGCGTTTGTTGATTCTGATGATGTTGTGTTAAAAAAACAGATTGATAAACCAAAAACAGAGACAGATTTATCTGGTAGTGTAGTTACATTCTTGCTGTAAACAATAGACAGCGTTGAATAGTAGTGTTGGAGTCAATATTTGAGTAGACATGGGCTCAAGGCCCACAGTCGGCCTAGACCGAAAAATTGTTTCAGGCCCATAACATGATTACCGTCCAAGCCCAATTACTTTAAGCTTTTTAGGCTTTCCTTTGTTGTAATCGGAAGGCAAAATTCATTTGTATAGCCAAAATTTTGACGTCTGTGATAATAATAATAGCCGCTTTTGGAGAAATACCAATAATCGCCGGAATTTTGAAGGTTTCATGAGAAATTTAGTCATTTCTGTTATATAATTTGACGGCGTTAGTCAAATTAACAGAATGCTTACATGGCTGTCAACTCACCGGACACATCATCGACAACTCAACAACACTTTTCACATGGATGTCATGTCATATATTAATTTAAAAATAATAAAAAAATCAGAAAATGTTCACATCCTCTCTCCTCTCCCACCACTCGATGGCGTCGGTGGCCGCCTCCCTTATCTCCAACTCTTCCTCTTCTGCGAGTCTGCGACCCCAACCGGAACGCCTTCCTCCTTCTTCGCAACCGTCGGCCTTCTCTCCAACTCTTCCTCTTTCCCTATTTCTCACCACCTCTTCCTTCCCTTCTTCGATCCCCTCTCTTCTCCAACTTCTACGCCCGCCTTCGATTCGACTCACCGCCCCCTCACCTATCCAATTGCCTCCTCCGCCCCCTCAGTGTTGTCGTCTCCTCCGTTTGTCGCCCAATCTTCACCTCCTCGTAGTCAAGACATCCATCTCTTTCACCCCGCACAAGTGCAAGCCGCCTTCCCGCTCCGTCGAGACCAGTCCCGAGGAGCTCCCCACCTTCTTCCGCGACAGGCGGTGGTGAGAACGAGAAGGGGGGAGAAATCCGACTCATTTTCCGACCACCGCACTTCTCACTCTGCCTCTGCTCAAATATGAACATCTAGAATCCAATCTGGAGGCCGCTAGGGAAATCGGCCAGTCCGCCAAGAAGATTCCAAAGCGGTCACCATCGCTAAATCGACAGCTCTGTCTCCCAATCGCACCCATCACCATCTCTCTCCAAATTGAAATCGGATCCGCCGATGATTTTGAAGCGGGGGCAGCTTGAGAAAATTATTCGTGGCTTTTGTATGGATTGGACGCAACTGTTGAAGATGGTGGTGGTAATGGAGAAAGGATGAATTGAGGGCAAAGAGGAGCACTCTTCGTTTACCAGAGCTTGAGAAGGAAGAGGAAGAAAAAATTTGGCCATGGACAGAGGGAAAGAACGCGATGAAGATGAACGTCAGTTGGAGGAAAGAGAAGGGGAAAGAATCGAGAAGCGAGAGAAAAAATAAAGAATAAAGATTTTTTTCAGTTAATTCCATCTCATATTTTTATTGACTAAAAGATTGACATGTCAGTTTTTTTTGTTAGTACAGTCAGCACGTTAACTAACACCGTCAAACAATTGGACGAAAGTGGCTATTTTTGGTATTTCGTCAAATATGGCTAGGGGTGTTCAAATGGTTACCGTGGTAATAACCAACCCAATTAAGCCTAATTTTCATTAACCATGGAATAAAATGTCTTAACCAAACCGTCCAAATTAACGCGAAAACCAAATTAACCAAACCAAAGTTTAATTGGTTTGGTTAATCGGATAATCGGATTAACCAAATAACATTACATTACATGAAAACAATTATCCTGTTAATGAATAAAACATAACCATATGTTGTTACTATGATAAACTATCATTATATATAAGCAATAATAATAAAACTAACCATCTATGATTATCATCATCGTTCGAGTTAATACATCATTCATCATCTTTGCATCTACTATAGTTAGCTTACAACAAACCCTTAACATAAATATTAAATACACACAAATACCACACGTGAGGAAGTTAAAGCTCTCCTACAAAACACTCAAACTATACATAGTTTAAGGTGGTTGTCATGGTATTGTAAGTAATTCTAAAGTCTAGTAGCTGTCCAAAATATTTTGGTTTAGTAAATAGGCAGACCCATTTAATTTTTGACCCATAATGTTTTGGTTTGTTGTGCACATGGAAATAAAATAGGGAATCGCGAAAGTTTGGTTTGGTTGGTTGCATGGAAGTATAAATAATTTTGTATATTAGGTGTATCATTAATTGGTTAATTGGTTAGCAGTGTTGAAACCAAACCAAACCACATAAACCAAATAAGCTAAATTGTTTAACCAAACCAAACCAATTATCCAAATTAACCAAATCAAATTAACCGAATACTATTGGTTAATATGGTTACCACGGTAACCAATCCGTTGAACACTCCTAAATATGGCTATATTTGGCCAAAGCGAAGTTTATATAGGTGTATTCGGCCTAATCGGAAACGTGCAACAACTTTCTTTTTCCCTTCCTTCTTTGTATATTTTCTTCCTTTACTCGTCCACCTCTTTGGATTGCTTCTGGCGATCCATGTACTATTTGTGTTTGATTTCCTTTCCTTTTTATTAATAAATCTTTTTACCACTATAAAAAAAATAGTAATTCAACACAACTGAGCAATTAGTGATTGTGACTATCTCAAAAGAATGATGATCTTGTCGATCATGTATGAAGAAAATGATCATGAATTCATGATGATCAATTGATCATACATCAAGCGACGGTTTAACATATATGTTCACCAAGTCACTTTCGAAGACACTATTTGTTAAATGACTTGCTGAACATCTAAATGTCAATTTGATATGCTTTTCAGCATTCATAAAATTCATGAACCAAGAACCAGGCATATTATACTCGGCCCGGTATTACCCGATCCAAATATTGGTTTAGTCTTGTGCGAACCAACCTGTTGCACTCGACCCAAGCACTAAGTCAGAATCATAGTTAGTAAAATACGGTACAGAAAAGTTACGTATAAAATACATATGGGTATTTTACTTCGTCTTTAAGTTAAGATTACGTTTAATAGTACGTTAATAGTCATAAATATATAAATTTAATTATTTTTAAAAATAAATAAATATATAAAAATAGTAAAGTTAATAATTTAATTGATTAAATACGGATATTAAACATGTTATACGGGTTTTATACGTATTTAGTACGGGAGCCGTCAAATGAATGAAAAAAAACGGCTTGACAATAATACGAATACGTAAGTTTTAAACGGATAAAATACGTACTGAGTACATATATTAAACAGAGTATTTACTAAGGGAGAAATATACCCCATGCCACTAAACTTTGACAATTGGGGGAAGGATACCACTAAATTAAATTTAGTGCACCAGATACCATGTATGTCCACTAAATGTGCACTTTTTTGTTTTCCGTCCGTTAAACTAACAGAGAGAAAAAAAGAAGCCAAATCAGCGTACAATACGCCACCTAGACTGCTGAGTTGGTGGAAAGTTTACTAACAAAAGAATTCTTACTAGTGTCAGAGCCCTATCAAATCCCAACCCCATTATATTTCCTAGCACGCAAAACATCTCTTTTCTAGCTTTCTCCACTAGCTTTGTCCACACTTGGTTTTTGTTTTCTAGCCATCAGAACAACTTCAATGGCTTTTTCCAGTGTGCTTGTTCATTCCCATTAAAGCAAACTAATGACACGTTTACAATTTAACTATGCATAATACTGATAAAATGCTTACACTAAGTCATGAAGCAATCTGTAATGTGTTTATGCAAAATATCAATAAAATTCTTGTTGAAATTCTAGCTCAAGCCAAATCCCTTGACTACTAATTCAAACCGTACTCTCATAATAAGTGGCACCAGGGGTAAAAACACCAACTAACCTACAAACTAAGAAATAGTCTATAAAAGCAAACATCATAAGCTTCTATTCCCCATTCTCCTTTCCTTTAACGATGGCTGCTCCCCCCTCCACTTGAGGTTCCTCTTCTAGGTACAAAAGGTTTCCTTCCATTTCCTGGTCTAGCCCATACTCTTTCTCCTTGATGGACCTGAAGAAGAATTGTGGAAACAAAACAACGAAGTTGTTATTACAAAAATCATACATGGTTATTACTTGAAAAGAAAATTAGTTACAAGCTGAATTTGTATACCCGAAACCCCAAATTAGTTGGTGCTGAGGAGACAACATTACTTGTTTGCTCAATATGGAGTTGATTCACACCAGAAGCAGGTTGTGTCGAGGGATGGTTTTGGTTAATTCCCTACACAAACCAAAACCACAACATATACTGTAAAGTTATGCAAATAAAAAAGGAGCAACATTTAAACTTAACATACAGCCAACATTTGGCTAGCTCCTTGTGAAAACCACATCCATTATAGATATTTGAGAGAAAATCAAAGAGAAAGAGAAATATACACTGCAAATCGATTTCATTTATTGAAAAGAAATTTTAAAATTAAACTTACTGTGAATCTTGGTGGAGGATTGTTAATACTTTCAGCTTCAGATGTTTCAAAAGGAGTAAGCAAGCGTGCTGCCATTTCAGCTAGATTCGAGTGTCGTCCTTCAGATATATTGATTTCTTCTCCAGAATACCAAACATCAGTTGTGTCGGGTGCCATTGCTACTGATTGTGACCCTCCAATGATTCCAACTCCAGCTGGTTCGTTTGCAACACGATGGGCACTTTTGTTATGACCCTCTTCACCGCATTGACTGCAATGGATTTTTCCTTTTTTCTTGTTCATTCTTTGATTTTTGGGCTTCTGTTTTCTTGCTCGCTTTTGTGAGTCTTCCAATATCTCCTCCGAGCCTTTTCTCCTATTCATCCTACGTCTCCCCCTTGTTGTCTTAGCATCAATGCTAACATATGGTGGTATTACGGGGTCTTGGTTGCTATCTCTCCATGATTCGGGCCCAACCATAGATGCCAATTTGTAGTTATAAATATTAACATAGGTGGCCACCTCATAACACTTATCCACATAAGGTTCAACCTTCTCCTTCTTTGAAAATATGCAGCAAACAGCGTGAGCACATGGTATTCCCGTCAACTCCCATTTTCTACATGTGCAGCTACGTTTGTTCAAGTCTACTACCACTTGCCCATCAAGATATCGAACCTGAAATGTGTTAGCACCATTGGGTAGGGCTCTACAGCCGAAGCTACCCTCTTTAGCTGCATTTATCTTCTTCACGATCTTTGGGCAGAATTGTCCTTTGAAATTATTCTCAGCAAATGTCTTTTTCTTTGCAAACCTAACCATAAGCTGACATCTTATAGTCTCAAACATACTAATGATTGGTTTGATTCTAGCACCTAATAGGGACCTATTCCAGGATTCACAGTGGTTATTCAGCAACACATCAGTCTTGCAATTAGTCTGGAAGTATGCTCGACACCATTGATTCAAAGGTTTTTCTAACAACCACTCGCATGCATTCTCATTATACTCCCTAAGTTCACTGACAGTTCTTTTGAACTCAGCCTCATATGAAGACCTAGCAATTGCCCATAACATGTCTTTCGTGGTTTTGGTACCTGATTGAGCTCGTTGTAGGTTGGACTAAAGGTGTCTAACACAAAATCGATGCTCTGCATATGGTACCAGTTGTAAAAGAGCATTGACCAAACCCTGCATCAATTTAATAAAAGTCTAAATCAGATTTTGTAATAAATCCATGACACGTAGAGAAATAAAGCTATTTTTCCTAGATAGCATTAACAAATGCAAAGAAATAAAACTAGTTCATAAATCAGATTTTTATATTACACGAAGAGATATAAAGCCATTATTATATTTGAACTTCAAGGCTTACAAAACTAATGCATTCCCTAATCATCCTTCGAATGACAGAAACAAAAAAGTCCACAATCATTATTATAACAACAAAAATAGAAAAACAAACTAAAAACCATGTCCAGTTCACTCATCAAAATTGGTGATTACCTTTTGTTTATCGCTCATGAATGTCCACTCGTCAGAAACTTCAGGAACATTTAAGTCTTGGAGTACATGAGCCAAAAACCATGTCCAATTCTCTTGATTCTCTACCCCCACCATTGCATAAGCTATAGGAAAAATTCCATCATTGGCATCAATACCAACAGCGGAAAGAAGTTGCCCTCCATGAAGTGTCTTCAAGATGCACCTCTGCACAGTAGTCATGAAGTCGTGCATACTGATCTTCTGTCTTTCCTCGAATCAAATCAACCGCAAACTCACGAGCCCTTCTTGCTGTCCATCTTGACACAGTATAATGAAAGTCTTCTTCAACCGTTTGCATTATCGAATCATTCCCCCATTTAGGGTCAATTTCAAACCTAAGCATGTACTTCTTGGCAATGAATTTGTAAGTAAACCACTTGTGTCGAGATATGAGAACACATCCATTATGTTCCAAGTAGGCTGTCTTAATGTGAACTTTCCTCCCATCTGCCGAAGGTGACGCCCAAATGTTCCAATCGCAATTCTTGTCGCATAAAACTTGAACTCTTGTTGGGTCACTATGTGCAAATCTCAAAGGGAACTTGTTTTTTATTGAGTAAGCTCTGATAGCCTCTTTGAAAGTCTTCAAGTCCCTAAAAATTTGTCCCACGGAGAATTGTGGATTTTCCATATCCCTTGCCGGATTAAACTCTTCAAACCTATTTCTAGTATAACTTTCTTCATCACTCGAGTAGGAGCTTCCCACGTCATCCGAATCGCCGCAATCTGTGTCTGCATCACCACCAATGTTATCATCAATGATCAAATTATTTTCCCCCCCTCTACCTTCAAAGTCTTCCAAATCAAAGTCGTTATCACTAACTTCATTTTCGTCATCTTCGAATCCACTTTCTGTTTCAGATTCAACTTCTCCTGAAATAGTACATATATAACAATTTAGATTTCAGCCTTCAATTTCTTTTTCGTTTATTCAAAGCATATTATTATAACTAAACAAAAGGAAGAAACAGAGACCAACGATAAGCTAAACAGGGGATGCACACAGAAGTTTTTATTAGGCAACATGGAAGTACTTATATATATTTTATTAGAACACCAACAAACAAAAAGCTTGGAAAGGGGTCTGATACCCTACATAAATTTATAAACCAACAAAAGTAGGGACCACTAAGCTTACACAAGCAAAGAAAGAAACCAAATATTAAACCCATTCTTTCCACCATTCATGCAAGATGCAACCCTTACACTTACATATGCACCACGAAACAGAGGCCAACTTACCTCCATCACTTCATCCTAGATCCTAATTCAAACTTAAATAAAAAAACAATATGAAGTTGGAAAATAAAGAACCCTTACCATACAACGGTAGAGAATCAAGACAGGTGGGCACTCTCATAATTGAAGCCTTCTTTGGTGGAAAGTAATTGTAGGCTCCACAACCCTTGTCGTCGTTCCTATTGTTTGTTCTTTGCCGATAAGGGTCGGCGGTTTGCGAGAGGAAGATGAAGAGAGTGGAATGGGACGTATTTTGGGAGAAGGGTTTTAAGATGGTTTCTTTTTTCCTTTTTTGCGTATAGATAGGGAAAATAATTAGATGACTCAACCGTCTAGGTGGCGAGTTGTTTGCTGATTTGGCGTCTTTTTTTTTCTCTCTGTTAGTTTAACGGACGGAAAACAAAAAATGCACATTTAGTGAACTTACATGGTATCAGGTGCACTAAATTTAGTTTAGTGGTATCCTTCCCCCAATTGTCAAAGTTTAGTGGCATGGGATGTATTTCTCCCTATTTACTAACAATAGTTCTAAATAATAAATAATACAGAGAGCTTTCTGCGCCCCAAATCCAAACCCTGAGTGCCTAATCTGCAATCAATCGCCTCCCAGAAACCACCGGAGCGCTGCAAAGTTTTCTCTTCTTCCTCTGATCTGATGTCCGTCTTCAATTTGTCCCAACTCTGCCTCTCTTGTTCGGTTATGGCGGAATGTGGGTTTATTGGGAGTTCTACACCTGTCGAATCCCAAACCACCATCGACGGCGCTGATTCTTCCCCCAGGCTGTTTATTGGCAGACAAAGCCGGCGTACCAATCAAACAGAGAACCCAAGGTTTAAGGGTTCTCGATTCCAGCTTGGGCCCAAGACTACGCATAGTGGCGGGGAAATCTTGACCAGAACTGTCAGGTATTCATTTTACGCATTTGCCTTCTTTTGCATAGATTCAGAACTTAACCGATTCCCTGATGATGGATGAGTAGAATATGTATCCAGTTCCGTCGTCTAGCATAGAACTCGTCGCCTTGTGGATTATACAATTGTCCTTACCCAGAAGATTGGAACAAACTTAGGATCGCAGTATGGTAAACAAAGAAGATTATAGAAAATCAAAGCATCGGCAAGTTGTGGTACTACAGACAAGGACTACTTACGTGAAAACAAGCTTTCCCTAGCTGCTTGTTTCGAGCCCCACTTACTCAAAACTCTTGCACTCAACTGTAGTTGGCAGCTTCTATATTTGGCCTATACTTGTATGTTTGCTGGTGCTGATGATGTTGTGTTAACAAATCAAAGAAAACTAGATTGGAGAACAATAAAGATGGGAGATTTATCTGAGACTGTAATTGCTCAATCCAAGATTCATGATTTAAATAATGGTGTTGATGTTGTTCGAGTGGGTAATGTTTGCAGATATATCAACTCGTAAAGTTTCTTGTTCTTGGGGTAGCCGGTCATGGCCGCTGATAAAAATGTGTTATGTTTTTCTTTTTTTTTTTTCTGTTTTGCAGGAGAAGTAAAAGAAGAGGAAGTATTGGTTAATGACCATCCGATCGAGGAAGTGAGGCTGACAGTTCCAATCACCGACGATCCAACCTTACCGGTGTTGACATTCCAAACATGGGTTCTGGGGCTGGCTTCATGTGTGTTTCTGTCCGTGTTGAACCAGTTCTTTAGTTTCCGCTACAATGGTCTCTGGGTTGGAGCGACTGCAGCCCAGATTCTGGTGCTGCCACTTGGAAAGTTGATGGCTGCTTTCCTTCCAAGAACAAGGTTCAGGGTGCCTTTCACAAACTGGTCGTTTTCACTGAATCCGGGGCCGTTCAATCTCAAGGAACATGTGTTGATCACCGTATTCGCCAGCTGTGGAGCTGATGGAACTTATGCCCTCTCTATCATTGTTGCTATTAGGGCCTTCTACCACAGAGGCATCCATATTGTTGCAGCACTGTTGTTGGTTCAAACCACTCAGGTCATTAGCTCTTCATATGCTGTTTGTTTCTGTCCACTAGTAAATTAAGGACGCTTCATAATGTCTTGATTTTCTTTTTAATGATAATTTTCAGCTGCTTGGATATGGATGGGCTGGAATCTTCAGGAGAATTTTGGTGGATTCACCTTATATGTGGTGGCCTGGAAATATGCCCCAAGTCTCACTTTTCAGGTAATCTATGAATCTCAAACTCTCTGCTCAGGGCAATGAATTGGGTTGGGACTCTTTTGTGATATCTTTTTTTGCACTTGGAAACTCAAGGGCCTTGCATGAAAAGGAGAAGAGGCCATCAGGGGAGCAAACGAGGCTGCAATTTTCACCCTTGCTTGTGTATCAAGCTTTGCTTACTACATAGTTCCTGGCTACTTATTCCCTTCCATATCAGCACTTTCATTTGTTTGTTGGATATGGAAGGACTCGATCACAGCTCAACAGCTCGGTTCAGGGCTGAATGGGCTTGGAATTGGCTCGTTTGGGTTGGATTGGTCCACTGTTGCCGGGTTCGTGGGAAGTCCTCTAGCCACCCCATTGTTTGCCATTCTCAATACCATGGCTGGATTCTTCATTTTCGTTTATGTCATTTTGCCTATTGCTTACTGGAACAATGCATACGAAGCGAGGAGGTTCCCCATGCTTTCACAAGAGACTTCTGACAGTTCTGGTCAAACTTACAACATCACGAGGATTCTTAACGAAAAAGAATTTGACATCAATCTCGGTGAATATGAAAGATACAGCAAACTCTATCTCAGCTTCACTTTTGCTTTCAACTTTGGAATCAGTTTTGCAGCTCTAATGGCGACTTTCACACATGTGGCACTTTTCGACGGAAAGTAATTAAGCACCTATCTAACTTAAACTCTTAACTTCATTTTTTCTTGAACTGAAAAATTACCCTTGTACTTTTAGCACTATTATGATGTTATTGTTTGAAATGATTGGCTCGCAGATCAATTTGGGAGCAGTGGCAAACCACTTCAATTGGAATGAGTGAGAATTTCACCGACATTCATACAAGAAATATGAAAAAGAACTATGAAGCTGTTCCTCAATGGTGGTTCTTGGTGATAATGGTTATATCTCTGTCCCTCTCTTTCGTAACAATCGAAGGGTTTGGCAAACAATTGCAGCTTCCATGGTGGGGCCTCATTATGGCATGTAGCATCGCCTTAGTAGCCACTTTGCCCATAGGGGATACTTGTGGCCACAACAAACCAGGTTCGGCAACAAAAATGATGTTATTTTCTCGTTGTCCATTCTGACTAGCGATCAATGTGAGCCTCAGTTACTTTTGTTCTCTACTTTTGTAGGGAGTTGGGTTAGACGTACTGACGTCGTTAATCCTTGGATATTTATACCCTGGAAGGCCTCTTGCTAATGTGACCTTCCAGACCTATGGCACTATTAGCTTGGGACATGCTCGGAATTTTCTACAGGACTTCAAACTAGGACATTATATGAAAATTCCTCCTAAATCCATGTTCTTCATTCAGGTAACAGAAATAGCTTGCTTAATATGTGCCCCATGATTTTACCTAGAGTGAAATAGTAATCGTTATGGGTGCTTTTTCTCTGTCAAATTAATTACAGTTAATAGGTACCATTGTTACCACTACAGTTCAATTTGCAACAACATGGTGGATTCTGTCGAGCATTAAGAGCATATGTGATCCAAAGAAGCTACCAGTGGGAAGTCCGTGGACATGTCCTGGATATGATGTCTTCTACAGCTCTTCGATCATCTGGGGAGTGGTTGGCCCACTCAGGATTTTCAACGATCGTGGAGTGTCTACCCTCAAATGAACTGGTTCTTCCTACTTGGAACGCTTGCTCCAGTTCCTATATGGCTGCTGTCACGTAAGTACCATGAGAAGAAGTGGATTAGGCAAATCTACATGCCGGTTTTCATTTCGAGTATGGGGGGGTTACTGCCTGCAAAGCCAATTCACTACTTGTCATGGGGGTGCTGTTGGAGTTTTCTTCAACTACTACATATTTAGGAAGCACAAAGGATGGTGGGCTAGGCACACTTACATTCTGTCAGCGGCTCTTGATGTCGGGATTGCGTTGTTGGGTTTGTTGCTGTACGTTGCCCTTCAGAGCAGAGAAATTTTTGGGCTGCAATGGTGGGGTTTAGAAGCAGATGATCATTGTCCATTAGCGAAATGTCCAACGGTTCCGGGTATTGAGGTTCAAGGATGCCCTAAGATTCACTGATAAATTCTCAGATATAGAATGCGGAAAGAGCATGTGTATTATTTGGGGGATAGCTCTTTAGAAATTGTGATGATGAAGAATCATTTGTATATTTGACTTTCTGCAGGAAAAGGAAATAGAGGTTTATGTTAGAGCTCAGAAACTGGGATTACAAGAAGTTTGTCCAGTATTGTACTTTCGGATGGAATACTTCACTGCCCTTGTATGATGTTAGTAGTCAAAAGAAAGCTTTATACATATGCTCAGATATGGCTCTTTCACAGAACGTTAATCGTGCTGGGAATGGCCACTGTCATTATAAACTAGACAGGGCTCTCGAATTACAGATCAACCAGTCTGAACGAGTCTGATTTGACATCATAGATGGCAAGTACTAATGAGGTAAGAAGGACCATAATTTCATCGTTTCGCACAATGATCGATTCAATTCATTGATGAACCATTACACATATTGGCACCTTTCAGCGACCTGCCATCAACATTCCATACCAAATGCATTCAAGAGATGAACAATGTATACATACAGCAGCTACAAGAAGCGCTGTGGGGGCTCATCTGCCTTTTATTCCACAATTCTGGTGTTTAGGTGGTATAACTTTCCTCGGAACAATAATGAAACCCACAATGAATATCAATCTATCGAGAGCGTTAGTTATATAATTAGTCCTCGGTAACTGGACTTCAAACATTGAATCCCTCAGCACGAAGGCACAAACGATGAGCCTCAATCCATTTTGCACAAGCTGACTCACCGTACTCCACCATGCATTCATCTCGCAGCCTCTTGGTCTCTGGGCAAGCACAGCAGATCTTCTTCTTTGGCTTCGACTCTTGAACAGGTTTCGCAGGTTCGACACCCTGTGTTGAACCTGACAAGGCCTGGGCAGGTGTAGAATTCTGGAATAGAAACCCAGCCATGGTTGGCAACAAGAGGATTGAGTCAACCTGAAAATAGGCGCAAGGGAGTCCAATGAGGGGATGGGAAATTAGGTTGCAAGACACGCAAGAAACGTGCTTTTCCCTTCTAACACGGGAACAACACAAACTGAATATGAAAAAAGAACATATTAGTGCCCAAATAAACAGAGACTTGGGTGAAATGTAACAACTTTAATCATCTTTCTGTTGATATCTAATTATATATATTTTACAGACAACTGAAAAGAAGCTCATCCCCTGAAACCAGTTCTCAGCCCTAGTTCAATTGCATATTTAGTTCGCAGGAAAACTAAGAAGTTATATTTGTAATATTATGGGTGTTTCCTCAACAAGCAGCAAGCGGAGAGACAGATTCAGGGGAATACATTTACCAACCACAATTAACAGCTCACCAGACCTTGAATCTAAGTTTGGTCGAGTCTGACTATCCACCAGAACTCATAATTGGAAGAAAAAAAAAATCCTCTATACCATAATATGCTTGTCCACAAGAGACAGAGAAAAGGGACTGCTTTCGTGTAAGATTTTAAGAAAAACAACAAGAATAACCTTGGAAATCAAGGATTTGATGATACCAAAGTAGTTAGTGAACAAATATAGAGGAACTAAATTCTGTGGCATGGCATTATGGATTCCCGAAGTCCGAAAATGAAAGGAAGTTGCAAATGCCATAATAAAATCTAAAAGTTCATAGGAACACCTTAACAGCAATAATTGAGCTTGATTTCTGAATCCCTAATAACATAAACACAAATCAGAACTAAGCTTTCTGTAGACAAAAGGTCACTCCAAATTGGCTAACCATCCAAATCAGAAAGATCCAATTCGGCTTATTACACAAATTCCAAAACCCTAGAATTAACTTTCCAAGCTAAGTAATAAATACTACAGAATCATGCTTGCTAAATTCTGGGTTCAATTAACGAGCGACCATCCCAAAATAATGAGTCAGTCCCCAGAATGGAAACAGAACAAGGCGATGAGCAAACTCTGTTCGTAGTCGTAGAGAATGAACTGAAGCGTAAAGTTTAACCAAACCTGGAAGAGGTGGTGACGAGACGAGGAGGAGCTGATGGCGGCGACTAGATTATGAGGCAGCTATCCCAATTTGGGGGAGAAGAAAGAGGCAACGTCGGCGACGATATACGGAGCTGGCGGCGGAGCAGGATCGAGGGCGAGAGAGGTTTTGGGGGGTTAGGGGCTGGGCTTGTGACAAATCAATAGTGAAAAGTGAAAACAGAGCAAACGAACCTCGTTAATCAACCCAACACTTAACCAACCGGAACTGAGTCGGTTTGAAGATGTTGGAAATGGTTCAACTTTTTGTTGATGGTTGGACCAAGGCTGTATTAGATATTTTCATTTTCACATTAGGGTCAATTTTATTGTGCTTAAATTATTCAACTTCTTAGTCATGATTTTTTTCATGGCTTCTTTCTTTCGGTACTAATTAGTAAAATACAATATGAGTAAGTAAGGTACGTATAAAATATTCTAGATACTTTATTTAGTATCTAAAATACTGATACATCTAATAATATGTCAATAACTATAATACAAGTGAAATTAATCATCTTAAAAATAAAATAAATATCTAAATTATCGATTTAATTTATTAAATAAAGATATTAAACATTGTATACATATTTTATACTTGTTTAATAAGGAATCATAGAATGGAGGAAAAAACAAAACAGTTTAACAATAATACGAGAAATTAAAGTTTTAAAGGCATAAAATATGTATGTCGGTGACTACTTCGCCGCACTCACAAAAATGAGTGCGTTCAATGCACCCAACTCAAAAACTAGTCTTAAGGAGTCGGATTTTGAATTTTAATTTGTAGAATTAGTATAATATAATGATATAACATATGATAACAACTAATTAGCGGATTACCCTAAGCCCTAGACCTCCAATTTTGAGTTTATACCGAAACCCCACACTGTAAACCCTAACCCTAACCCCTAGATCTTTAAACTCTAAATCCTTCAAATTAAAGCAAATCTTTCATTGTTTTTGTGCAAATTCATGTGCGTTATTGTTCACCACATCATAAGTGATGATTGACATCATTTTGACATAAATCTCATGTTTAAAATGACGATTATGAAGCGAGTGCACTGAATGCACCCAAAAAAGTGAGTGCACCGAAGACGCCACTATATCAATATATACGCTTATTAAATGGAGTATTGTGATTTCGCTTATGAATCTTTGTGATTTTGAATCGACAAAAAGGAACATTTGTATGATAAGAACGTGCTTACAACCGTGTCCATTCAACGATCATGAAGAGTCCAACCATCAGTCCAACAATTTGGACTATGAGGATGGTAACAAAATTGATCAAGACATCCCCTAACTTATATATAACAAAGTTAGAATGAGTCTCCACTTCCCAGCCTTACCACAAAGGACAATTTAAGGAGGTAGGATGAAGAAGGAAGGACCATTAACTTCCATTAACATATCTTGGCAGCTTTCGTGGACAGGAATTTAGCCGCCGATTGCATTAAACAACAAATCAAAGAACCCATTTGTCCCTCTCCCTCTTTCATGTCGAAATCGAAAACCATACATTCGGTTTCGGCTGCCACCAAGCATCTTAACCAGGGCTAGGAGACAGAGCAAGAAAACAGAGCAGGTAGCTGGACTCTGTATCTTTCTTACAACCATAGATAGGCTTTCATTTAACTAAATACCCCCGAAGAAGAGAAGTATGCATTTTCAACCATGAAGATGTCTTCAGAAGCAGAGGAGGAAGAAGAAGAAGAAGAAGTGAACGACAGCCCGATCGAGCAAGTCCGACTGACGGTTCCGATCACCGACGATCCCACGATTCCGGCCCTGACGTTTCGTACATGGGTCCTGGGAGTGGCGTCCTGCGTGTTCCTGTCGTTCCTCAACCAGTTCTTCAGCTTCAGGTCCAATGCTCTGTACGTCAGCTCTGTTTCGGCGCAGATTCTGGTTCTGCCGCTGGGGAAACTGATGGCCGCTACGCTCCCGAGGAAGCCGATCTTCGTCGTCCCCTTCGCGAAGTGGTCGTTTACCCTGAATCCGGGGCCGTTCAACCTGAAAGAACATGTTCTGATCACCATCCTGGCCAACTGCGGAGCTCATGGAGCTCCGGCACTCGACATCGTTACGTCCGTCAGGGCGTTCTATCATAGGCACCTCAGCGTCTCCGCCGCGCTGCTAATGATCCTGACCACTCAGGTGCGTCAAAACTATTACTTTCTTGTATTGTCGATTTCCCGATTCGTTCTAACACCATTCTGCCAAAATTCAAAATGGTGGTGTAGTTGCTTGGATATGGGTGGGCTGGAGTGTTCAGAAAGTATCTGGTGGATTCCCCACATATGTGGTGGCCTTCAAACCTAGTCCAGGTCTCTCTTTTCAGGTAATTCATATAAGAACTTCTGGTAAATTAAAACTACAATTTTGTTATAATGTGGTTTAACATCTTGTTGGTGAATTGTGGAAATGGAAACTTCAGGGCACTGCATGAGAAGGAAAACAGAGTGAACAGAGGAACGACGAGACTGCAATTCTTCACCCTAGTTTGTGTCACAAGCTTCGCATACTACATATTTCCAGGGTACTTATTCCCCTCAATATCAACCGTTTCTTTCATGTGTTGGATATGGAAGGACTCCATCATCGTGCAACAGTTCGGTTCGGGCTTGAACGGCCTTGGCATTGGCTCGTTCGGAGTAGATTGGTCGACGGTTGCTGGGTTCCTGGGGAGCCCTCTGGCCATGCCATCGTTCGCAATCGTGAACACCATGGCCGGTTTCTTCCTTATGGTGTACATCGTTCTGCCGATTGCCTATTGGAACAACATCTTCGAATCTAGGCGATTCCCTATGTTGTCGCAATCGACTTATGACTATGCTGGCCAGATGTACAACGTCACGAGGATCATGAACACTAGAGGATTCGACATCAATGTTTCGGAATACGAAAGTTACAGCAAGCTCTACCTTTGTGCAACTTTTGTATTCGGCACGGGGTTTGGTTTCGCGGCTCTAATGTCTACTATTACGCATGTCGCTCTGTTCGATGGCAAGTAAGTCGCGCTTAGCGAATTAAAACGACACATATTTTTTCTCTTACATGGAAAAAAGAAAACGCTTGTTCTTATATCCTAATCTGAAAAAAAATATAACTTGATTAGATCGATATGGGAGCACTGGAAGAAGACCACAGGTGGAACGAAAGACGAAGATACCGATGTTCATACGAGGCTCATGAGACGGAACTATGAAGTCGTGCCTCAGTGGTGGTTCATGGTGATCCTGTTTGTATCATTTGCTCTTTCTCTTCTTGCAATTGGAGGGTTCGGTAGAGAGCTGCAACTCCCATGGTGGGCACTCATTCTGGCATGTGCCTTCGCATTCGCCTTCACTCTACCTGCAGGAATCGTCCTCGCAACGACGAATCAGGTTTACATTTATCCAATGCTTTTACTACTTTACTTACAAACAAATGCAGCTAAATTAGTCATTTCCTTACTTTGATCTGGCAGAGAATCTTTACCGGCGTGATAGCAGAGTTGTTGATAGGATACATTTACCCTGGCAAGCCTCTTGCAAATATGACATTCAAATCCTACAGCTTTGTGAGCATGTTACAAGCTCTGAGCTTCCTTTCTGACTTCAAGTTAGGGCATTACATGAAAGTCCCACCAAAATCCATGTTCTTGGTTCAGGTACAAGAAAACTCTCACCATAACATAACCCTTCTCTCCTTCTTGATGTTTTTGTACCATCTAATGGAAAAAAAAATTGGTAACCTCAACAGCTAGTAGGCACTGTAGTTGGCTCCTCCGCCCAATTCGCTACGACGTGGTCACTCATCTCGGGCATCGAAAACATCTGCGACGTCAAGAAGCTACCCACTGGAAGTCCATGGACGTGTCCTGGATACGATTACTTGTACAGTGCTTCGATCCTATGGGGAGTGATAGGACCTCAGAGGATCCTGTCAAGTGGTGGAATCTACAGTCAGATAAAGTGGTTCTTCCTCGTCGGCTTGTTGTCCCCTCTCCCGGTGTGGTTGATGGCTCGAAAGTTCCCCGAGAAGAAGTGGATAAGATCCATACACATGCCACTGATCCTGACGGGTGCTTACGGTTTGTTGCCTGCGCGACCGGTCCACTTCCTGTCCTGGGGAGCTGTGGGGGTGTTCTTCAACTACTATGTTTACAGGAAATACAAAGGGTGGTGGGCTAGGCACACTTACATTCTGTCGGCCGCGCTGGATGCTGGCGTTGCGTTCATGGCTTTGTTGATTTACTTCACTCTTCAGAGCAAGAACATCTATGGAGCGCGATGGTGGGGGCTTGAAGCCGACGATCACTGTCCTTTGGCGAAGTGTCCTACTGTTCCTGGAGTTGTAGTTGATGGATGTCCTGTGCTACATTAAAGGGTTTTAAGTATAGACATTTAAGAGCTTGTGTTATCAGGATTACATTTTAGGGGGGTGATTCCATAGTAAGCAAGTGCTATGTTTTGGAGTCTTTTCATTTTGATAAGTTACAATGAGAGTGAGGAACTTCTATCTTCTCTTTCCCTAATTTAGCTATGGGCTAAGATGACTTTGTAAGCCTGATTTGACACATTATTGTATGCATAGTTGGATTTATGATTTGACATATCGAAGATGAGAAGTCGACGACTCCTCGTGCTATGTGCAAACCGTCTAGAAGAAATCCTTTCGATATTATTAGAACGAATACGCCTCCTACTTTACATGAAAGTATGTGTAATCGACTAATCATGAATTTGAGCATAAAAGCAACAAAAAAAAAACAGCTAAGAATCCTCTAAGAAGGAAAGAAACATTTTCCTATTCAACAATCAAATCAAGCAGGACAGGGAAATCCTTCCTAAGGAGGACAATCTCATCAATGGCTTTCTGCAAATTCAGGGGAAGGGGCAGAGACAGGATCGGAACTGTAGAGCTAGCATATGGCGAAAAAACCACCCATTGGCATCTTTAAGCTCGACACGATCTCTCCGAACCAGATTCCATCCTCTTCAAACATTTTGATTGGAAGAACAACTTACCAATCAGACATGGAGTCTTACTCCAAGCAGCTGACCAGCGAGTTAAGTTAACGTACCAAAAGACAAAAGAGAGTTCAGCACAAGGAGATAGCGAGTGATCATAACATCCATGGCAGCTTCCGTTCAACAGGAATAAGCCGAATGTGGGAAACCATCTGAAGTTTACAGCAACCAGAAACGAAAGAGCCATTTCCCCGCCTCTTGCCTCTGCCGTCTGGAACCATTAATTTAACACCAAGAAGAACGGTAACCAATAAAACAGAGCATGTAACAGAGTTTTAATATCTGGCGTTGTGTGTATAAACCAGAGAACCCAAAAGCAGAATTTTCATCAGAGAGTCGGAAAATGTGTCCTGGACCTGAAATTCCTGCTCAGGATCATAAATTGCCAGGTTCATTATGCACACAGAATCCCTCTAATCAATCTGCTAAACGTTGTTTCTCTGCTTCGTTGTGATTTCCATTTTCCAACTCTTGTGGCTGCAGGGGAACAACAGATCAAGTTGAAAGTCACAGCAAGTGAAGAACAAGAACACGAAGAAGTGAACGACAACCCAATCGAGCAAGTGAGACTAACGGTGCCGATCACCGACGACCCGACCGTTCCGGCGCTCACATTTCGAACATGGGTTCTCGGAGTGACGTCCTGCGTGATCCTGTCGTTCCTAAACCAGTTCTTCAGCTTCCGATCCAATGCTCTGTCCGTCAGCTCTGTTTCAGCACAAATTCTGGTTCTGCCATTGGGGAAGCTGATGGCCGCCACTCTTCCTGCAAAGGCCATCCCGGTCCCTTTCACCAAGTTGTCGTTTTCGTTGAATCCGGGCCCCTTCAATATGAAGGAACATGTTCTGATCACCATCTTTGCCAACTGTGGAGCTACCGGAGCTTTCGGACTTACCGTTGTTACCACCGTAAGGGCTTTTTACCACCGGCATATCAACGTTTTGGCTGCTTTGCTCTTGATCCTGACCACTCAGGTACTGTTAATCTATTTAACTCAGCGAGCCGACGGGATGTACCTTCTCAATCTCCGTAATTTGTATCTCTTCAAATATAGTGAAACTGGTCTCTCTAGTGCATCGATTTTCCAATCCGTTGGCTGAATCAGCAAGGCTCATCTATGAAGATGGTCCATTTATTCATGGTTTCGTGGTTGCAGTTGCTTGGCTATGGGTGGGCTGGAATGCTCAGAAAGTATCTGGTGGATTCCCCGCACATGTGGTGGCCTTCAAACCTAATCCAGGTCTCACTTTTCAGGTAACTGTAGTAATTGTACCAAATGAAAAGTGTAATTACGTGTTGTTGAGATAGGGTATCTCCATTAGTACGATATTGCCTGTTTGATATCTTCTTCAAAAAGTTTCGTACTAATAAGCTTGATCAATTGCCCCATAACACATGTTTCGGACTATTTCCTGATGTGATAAGGAAAACCAATGCAGGGCATTGCATGAGAAGGAGAAGCGCCTGAATGGAGGGAAGACAAGGCTGCAATTTTTCGCCATCGTTTGTGTATCAAGCTTTGCTTACTACGTACTTCCAGGATACTTGCTCCCTTCTGTATCCACCGTTTCGTTCATCTGTTGGATATGGAAGGACTCCATCACTGCCCAACAGCTCGGTTCGGGGCTGAACGGCCTTGGCATTGGCTCGTTCGGCCTGGATTGGTCCACGGTTGCCGGGTTCTTGGGAAGCCCTCTAGCCACGCCGTTGTTCGCAATCCTCAGCACCATGGCTGGGTTCAGCATGATGGTGTACATCATTCTGCCAATTGCCTATTGGCGAAACGCATTCGAGTCGAGGAGATTCCCAATGTTTTCCCAGGAAACTTACGACGGTGCTGGCCAAGTGTATAACGTTACAAGGATCATGAACGAAAGAGGATTCGACCTCGATGTTGTGGGATATGATGGTTACAGCAAGCTCTATCTCAGCGCTGTTTTTGCAATCGGTCTGGGATTCGGTTTCGCAGCTTTGATGGCAGCGATTACACATGTTGCACTTTTTGATGGCAAGTAAGTACAGCTTCTTAATCAAATAAGTTATAACCACATTTCTTGACTTGTACGAAAAGAGTTAACATCTTTTTCTGATTAGATCAATTTGGGAGCAGTGGAAGAAGACTACCGGAGAAAAGAACGACCGATCCATCGATGTGCACACGAGAATAATGCGAAGGAACTACGAAGCAGTTCCCCAATGGTGGTTCATGGCGACCATGATCATACCGTTTGCTCTTTCTTTTCTCGCCATTGAAGGGTTTGGCAAACAACTGCAGCTCCCATGGTGGGCACTCATTATGGCATGTGCATTTGCATTTGCCTTCACATTGCCTGCAGGAATCATTCTAGCTACAACAAACCAGGTTCTCAAATCAGATTTTTCTCCATTTTTTCTAGTACCAATTGACCTAGCTTATTGATCAGAATTCATGATGTTCCTACATTGTAGATGATTTGGACCGATGTCATAGCCGATTTGTTGATCGGATACATTTACCCGGGCAAGCCCCTAGCTAATGTGGTCTTCAAATCTTATAGCTCCGTCAGCATGTTTCAAGCTCTGGGTTTCCTCTCAGATTTCAAATTAGGACACTATATGAAAATCCCTCCAAAATCCATGTTCCTGGTTCAGATAGCTGGAACACTTGTTGGCTCGGCCGCTCAATTCGCTACAGCGTGGGCGCTCATATCGAACATAGACAACATCTGCGACATCGAGAAGCTCCCCGTGGGAAGCCCGTGGACATGTCCCGGGTACGACTACTTCTACAGCACTTCAATCCTGTGGGGAGTGATAGGTCCCCACCGAGTTCTGGACAATGGAGTGTACTCAATACTGAAGTGGTTCTTCCTCATCGGCGCCCTGGCACCTTTCGCGATATGGTTGCTCGCTCGCAGGTTTCCCGAGAAGAAATGGATCGAGTCCATCCACGTGCCTATCATCTTCTCCGGCGCGTACGGAATCCTGCCCGCCAGACCGGTCCACTACTTGTCCTGGGCTGCCGTGGGGATATTCTTCAACTACTACGTCTACAGGAAGTACAAAGGCTGGTGGGCGCGACATACTTACATCCTGTCGGCTGCATTGGATGCTGGTGTCGCGTTCATGGCGGTAATGATATACTTCACGCTTCAGAGCAAGAACGTCTATGGTCCGGTATGGTGGGGTTTGGAGGCCGACGATCATTGCCCTCTCGCGAAATGTCCTACTATTCCTGGAATTTTTGTTGATGGATGTCCTGCAGTTCATATTACTTGAAATCATTTATAAACAAAAACAAGAACAAACTATGTACAAACAACTTTGTATTCCTATAATGTGACATACGATTCGTCCTAGTAACGCGACTTGCAAATGTAGAAAATAAAAAACATGTGAAACATTGCTAGTAAACTAGGCTAGCCAGAGTACTGTTATGAAATGGCAGGGCAGCCCTGGACTTGGACTCCAGGTGCAGTGGGGCACTTGGCCAACGTGCAATGGTCCGACGCGTCGAGCCCCCACCAGTTCGGACCGTAGATGTCCTTCGATTGTAGCGCGAAAAATAGAAGAATCCCCATGAAGGCAACCCCTGCATCCATTGCAGCTGACAGTATGTAGGCATGTCTAGCCCACCACCCTTTGTGCTTCTTGTACAAGTAGTAGTTGAAGAAAAACCCAACCGCCGCCCAACTCCAGTAATGAACCGGTTTGGCCGGCGGCATGCTGGCCGATGCGCCGAGGATCAGCGGCATGTGGATCAGCTTGATCCACTTCTTGTGTGGGAACTTGCGGGACAGCAGCCAGACCGGGACCGGAGCAAGCAAGCCGAGCAGGAAGAACCAGTACTGCTCTTTGTAGATGCCTAGGTCTCCGAACATTCTTCGTGGCGATACGACTCCCCAGATGATCGACGCGCTGTAGAACACGTCGTAGCCGGGACACGTCCACGGGCTTCCTGCCGGCAGGACTTCCAAGTCGCAGACGTTGGGGACGCTCTCGAGTATCCACCATGCTGTGGCGAAGTAGACGCTCGAAGCAACTAGCGTTCCGACAAGCTGCAACATGAACGTTTGTTTTGGTCGGTTCGATCGATGAGATTGTGTGATTGATCTCTAGTTACTGCAATGAATTGAAAGTACAGAGTGTTTAGTTTTGTAATTACTTGAACTATGAACATGGATTTGGGAGGGATTTTCATGTAGTGTCCAAGTTTGAAGTCTTGCACGAAGGAAAGAGCTTGGGACATGCTGATGTAGCCATAGGTCTTGAATGCAACATTGGCTAGAGGCTTTCCAGGGTATGCATAGCCGATCATTAGCTCCGTGATCACGTTTAGCCCTATTTGCTGTAATTCGAAGCAGAATGCTAGGCTTTGTAAGAAGATCACAGTCTAGAAACCAACACGATTGGGAAAGATCACAGTCAATGTCACGAATCGAGGTAGTTAGCGCAACTTACATTGTTCGTAGTGGCCTGAATTATACCAATGGGCAGTGTGGAAACCATGGCCAGGGCACAGGCAAAGATGAGTCCCCACCAGGGAAGTTGCAGTTGCTGCCCAAAACCCTCCACAGCAAACAAAGCCATCGCGAAACTCAATGCCAGTACAAGAATAAACCACCATTGTGGTACTGCATCATAGTTCCTCTTCATCATTCTAGTATGCACATCAGCGAATCGCTCTTTGCTCGCTGCTGTCGCCTTTTTGAACAGATCCACGATCACCCTGCCACACAGTAACAAAACACGAACAAATCGATAAATAACTCGTGAAAGAACACAAGAAAAACATTAAGAAGAGAAAAGACAACTTACTGTCCATCAAATAGAGCAACATGTGAGATGGTTGCAGTAAGAGTAGCAAAACTCAGCCCATACACAAAGGCAAAGAAGATTGAGAGATGGATCTTGCTGTAACCGTCGTAAGCCGACAAATTAATGTCGAAACTCTTGTCGTTGATTATCCTCGTAATGTTATAAGGCTGCCCCGTACTGTCGAATGTATCGGACGAGAAGATGGGGAAACGTTTCGCGTGGTGAACGTTTCCCCAGTAAGCAATGGGCAGAACCACATAGATCAGCAGCACGAACCCAACAAACGAGTTGACGATTGCGTACAGAGGATTGGCAATCGGACTGCCGAGGAAGCTAGCCACGGTAGCCCAATCGAGCCCGAAACTCGCCACGCCGAGCCCGTTCAATCCGGACCCAACCTGCTGCGCGGTAACCGACCGGGTCCAAATCAGGCAAACCACCGATACGGTGGAAATGGAAGGCATGAAGTAACCCGGAAATGCGTAGTAAGCAAAACTGCAAATGAACACGATGGTGAAGAATTGGAGCCTCGTATAGCCACCTTTCGTCCTCCTCTCTGTTTCGTGCAGCGCACGAAACAGCGAGACCTGGACCAGGTTCGCCGGCCACCACATGAAGGGCGAGTCGACGAGGATTTTCCGGTACAGCCCGGCCCACCCGTAGCCGAGCAATTGGGTAGTCTGCGCCAGGAGGAAAGCGGCACCCGGGTTGAGACCCCGCTTGTAGAATGCCTTGATGATTGTGATGATATTAACCGCGTAGACGCCGCTCGAGCCGCAGCTGGCGAAGATGGTGATGAGAGCGTGCTCCTTCATATTGAACGGCCCGGGATTCATCGACCATTTGTAGTCCGAAAAGGGGAAAATTTTGAATTTCCTAGTAGGCAGAGTTGCCGCCATTAGCTTCCCCAGTGGGAGCACCACGATTTGGACGGAGACCGAGCCGACGAAGAGCTGGTTCTGACGGTAGCCGAAGAATTGGTTGACGAAGGAAAGAATTGCGCAGGCGAGGATTCCGAGGACCCATGTCCGGAAAGTTAGGACCGGCTGGGTCGGGTCGTCGGTGATCGGAACTGTTAGTCGGACCTGCTCGATCGGGTTGTCGTTCACTTCTTCCTTCTCGTCGCCTGTCGAAACAAACATCAACCCATTATCAAGTTAACCGTTAATCACAAACCCTTTGAATCTTTCACTAAAATGCAGAGCATTGTTGGTCTCTGTAACTGCTTACCAAGAACAACGCACTGAGGGTGATCCTGTCGAGGGATTCCCTCAACCGAGAAACTGGAAGCCATCCCCGTGACCTCAGAGAAAATTTCTCACCTGATTGCGGAGTAACACAGAGAGACTATCAAATAGTGAATTGGACTTGTAAAGAGATGGAAAAGGTGGGATTTTTTTTTTTTTTTTTATTGCAGCAAGTTTGGCTGGATATGGTGGTTGGAGGAGAGGCGGTGGCAATTGAATCTGCTACATTGTATTTGTCGGGTTGGAATTAAAGTTAGGTCAGTTGTCTACTTGCCTATCTTTCCTGTTTTTGGGAGGGAGATGGAAGCCTTGATACATGAGTTTGATTCGGCGATTTTAGGAAACTGACCATCACAGAGAATTGACCGCCATTTATGTCATCGAGGAGGTGCTCTCTCACAAACGTCAAAAGGCCCACGTTTAAAACCCACCCACCCACAAAAACGAACCAGCTTTCGATTTTTTCTTTGGTGTTTCTTGGCGAGTCTGTACCACATTTCCGTCCAATTTCATATGCTCTGTTTTCAGCGCAAAAAAAAAAAAACAGAGCAGTTGTAGTAAACCTCCCTTTACCTGTAAATCTCCGAGACTCTGGTGACCTTATCTGCAGGGGAACGTGGTGATGCTTGCGCCCTCGTGCTTTCTGATTGAATAATGGCCTTTTTGTTTCGGTATCTAGTGCGTAAACACAGAGCCTTGCGCCAGGAAGAGGATACACTTGCAATTTGTTTAACATACAAACAACAAGAACACAACAGCTTATGGTATCTATCATCCGGCTGCTTACAGCAAACTCTGAAGACAAAATTCCAGTGGTAGACAATTCCACGAATCTTGTGTAACACAACCTGCCAAGATTTATCTTTAGGAACAAGAAATTCCACGCCATTCCAACGACATAAACAAGAAATTCCAGGTGTTCAAGCGATAGATTTTATAAATAAAATGTCACCATATTTACTCACTCAATCGTTGTAGAGCGTTCAATGCGCGATTTCGACGAGCATATATTTTATGAACGCGTTTTCATAGATGTACTGTGAGCATAATAATTGGGTTGATTAGTCTGAGATCGAGGAAAGAAGTTGATTAGTCACGTTTTCTTGACTGGAAATTCCAATTTCCACAATGCATCAGCATCAGCATTCAGCTGGTTGTGGCTTCTCCCTCTTCTATAACTACACTCATAGCTGGATTTCAATCATGCTTAAAGTAATGAGATAAACTGTGGTTTACTGCTTCTAGATCGTGTCTAATCATCAGTTTACAAAGTCTAGTCTCCCTCCAAAAAGTCTTAATTACTCTGCGGAATTGTTAATGTATTGATAACGAACAAAGAATTGGTTTATTGGTAATACTACTAGCCTTGAACCTAAACGTCGTTTTGAAAAGATCTTAAAGTTACTTTCTTACTCTTTTATACTCTTCACCCAGCAAATAAAAAAAAATCACCTTTTTCTAGAGCACCCTTAAATCCTAAATGCTCTGAAAATGAAAAAAAAAATTACATATAAATAAGCGTTGGCTAATTTCTTTTAGTGAAATCATGTCTAATGCATTTGAAAGTTGAGAGGATTTGGAATCAAATAGGAATGACTGGCTAGTGGGAAGTAAGTGACAACAAATCCGGTGAGTAACCTAATTGGTTACGGACTATACAAATTCTTTTTCAATTAAATTAAATTTAACATAGTGTATCTCTTTCGTTATAAGTTGCGTCCAGTTTTTCTCATGTATAAAAATTATTGAAATATATTATTAGTCTATACCATGATGATAATGTCGCTTCACAATTCTTTTCAAATCTGTCTATATACTACATATGAATGATGGGTCAAAGATAAGAAAGAAATTGTTGGGGGTGTTACTAAATACTCCGTTCACGGACTAAGTAGTAGGGCGCACAATCGGCGATGCGCCATACGCGCTACAGGTATATAAGGGATTGAAGCCCTCCAAGGGGGGGGGGGGGGGGGGGGGGGGACTTCCACTCTCTCCTCACTTTCCACTTTCTACTATCTCTCTACACTTTATCTCTCTATCTATTCTCTCAACTCTCTCCACAAACATACACTGACTTGATCGTTGGAGCTCAATCCGGGGGGCATCCCCGGTCTTTTTCATAGGTTTCTTCCCTCCCGACGAGATCAGACGTACAGATCATGAGTCAACCCCACTCCAACAAATATCATTGTTCATACCGGAGCTAGATGGAACAAACAATTGGCGCCCACCTTGGGGCTTGACTGGTACTTTCTGTTCATCTTATTTCTAAAAGGGGAGAAAATCTGTGTGAAGAAAAAAGGGTAGAAGATTCGTCGGAGGAAGCAAAGAAAAATGCTAGCAACAGTTGGAGGAAAAGGGGAAGTAGTCAGCTCTTCCTCCATAAGGAACCGACAACATCATTGCTAGGAGGGACGAAAAGAAGACATGGAAGAAAAGAAGAAGAAGAAAAAAACAGTCCCAGGAACCAACAGAAAGTTCAAAGTCTGTCAAATGTTTGGAAGGGACACGACTCTTCTTCAAGCCAACTGGAAGCATCATCAACATACTGTCAATCTCCATCTCAAAAGCCAAATCTACTTGTTTTCGGTAGAATGACACGCAAATCGAGAAAAATAAAACTTCATATCCCGGTGACTTTCACTTGCCGACGGTGATGGGGTGCCAAGGTTTGGACAGAGCAATTAACAAGAGGAATAGCAGACAAAGGAAACAGAGGGTTCAGATAAGAAGAAGGAAGAAAAGGGAAAAGGAAAAAGAAAAAAAAAACACAGCAATTTCACATTTGCTTTCCCTCGACTCACCTCACGACGTCCGTCTCCGAAGCGTGCTACGGCCTCGTCATCCTCCTGGCAAGCTCTATTAATTGTCGTCGCCGCGCGTTACCCTCCCGCCACAAATGACCGCATCGATGGCCGTCGCTACACCCTCCGCCAAAGTCAAGACCGCCAAGGCTATAATCCAACAAACGGTTGTTCACCCTCCGCGCGTTCCGCACTCACTCCGGCTTCCGCTCCCTCACTCTCCGCTAGGGGTGAACAAACACACCCGCAAACCGACTCACCCGTCCAACCCGACCCAACCCACCCGTATTTATCGCTAAATCGAAGATTTTGGGTTGGGTTAGGGTTTTCTTTTGTACAACCCGCCTCTTTTGGGTTGGGTTTGGATTTTGGATTACACAACCCGTAGAACCCGACCCAACCCGTGTTCCAATTATTGGTATGAGTTCGTATTCAAAAAAATATTTATGTCGTATATAGTCATACTTATGAGAAAATTAACATATTTCGCCATGTTTTTCTCTTTAAGTCTCACTAATCTAATGCATTCTTCGACTTAAAGTTTAGACATATATTTAATATAGCTATGATTCACGTAATTTTTTTTCTTTTGTACAATTTTAAAAGAATATCATATTATGAATGCGTTCATTTGTAACCTTTTTAGCCTATTTCAACAAATGTCGTGAAAAAAACTAGACATAAGTCGAAGTAAATCAAGTTTTATTAAACTTCAAACAATATTTGTGAATTTTGATACCTTTCACCTCGGTTTATTCGTTTGAAATTTTTAATTTGTTATAAAATATTTTTATGATGTAGAATAATTACATATTTTGTGTTGGGTTGGTTTTTACTTAAAAATATCGCCAACCCGACCCAACCCAATTAGAAACAAACCGTAGGGTTTATATTTTTTTGGGTGGGTTTGGGTTTCATATTTCCCAAACCGTAGTGCATGGATCGGGTGATTAAAATGTCTAAACCCGAACCACCCGACCCATGTACACCCCTACTCTCCGCGCAACCCCGCGCTCCCCGCTTCTGGTGCTCGCCGGGAAAGAAAGGAGCCAGTCGACGCGGCGAGCATCATCACACCGCCGCCGCGAGCGCGTTTGAAGCGCCGCGCTCAACTCCGCCCAAAAAACTTCCGGGAGTCGTGTGGTTTGCACTGAGCGGAAGGAAGAACTCCGCCCTCTTCCACCGCCGCGCGCCCAGTGATTCATGGGTCCGCCATCACCCTCAATCTTCACCGCTCTCCACCTGTCCCGCGTCTCCGCGCCGCATAACTTCGGCCCAACGGACAGTGGTTACTTGCCCACATCGGCGTGGCATATTTATATTAAACTGATCTTTCCGCCACCTACAAGGTCCGCCACACAAGTTCGCGGTCCGCGCTAGCCTCACCAACATGCGGTCCACTTAACAAAGCTCGCGGTCCGCGCTAGCCTCACCATCTCAGCCGAGACAATTCATTATCGTCAGGGCAGCCATCCACCCGCTCATCACCATCGGTGCCAGCGATGCGCTTTTGGTCTTCCGCCCCGCCTCTAAATAGAAGTTTATTCTGCGGAGATCCTTCCCTTCCCTGCTGCACTCGCGCTCAAAAGGCTAAAAAAAAAGGTACAATAAAAGCCCGCTTTAAAATTGTCCACAACCAGCCAACCAGCTCGCGACATGCATCACGCGGAGCATCTCACAATGGCGGCCCAACATCACTCCGCCAGCCCGATGCAGTCCCGCCAGTCCACCTCACCGCATGTTCAACTCGCGGCCCAACACCACTCCGCCAGCCCAAATCTGCCATCTGATCCGCCTAACAAGCCTGCACCATGACAAAGCGGCCCAGGTCGTTCGTCCGCGCCCATCCGGTGCGCCAGCTGCCCTGCCACTAGCACTTGAGCCCGCTTCGGCTCCCCAGCCCAACTGAGCCCACAGGCGCTGAGCTCAGTAAGAAAAATATTATCATCGCGGCGAGAGCTCGAACCCGCGTCACTCCTCCGCTAGACAAGCAACATCACCAGAAGGCTACATGCGAACCTTGTGTTTCAATGGCTCGGCGCCTGATTTTTAACTACTCGCGCCCACTCAGTTCGACAGAACAAAAAATAGCAATAGTCATGAACTATTCGCGCCCACTCAGTTCGACAGAACAAAAAATAGCAATAGTCATGAACTATTCGCGCCCACTCAGTTCGACAGAACAAAAAATAGCAATAGTCATGAACTATTCGCGCCCACTCAGTTCGACAGAACGCAAAGTAGCAATAATCATGAACTATTCGCGCCCACTCAGTTCGACAGAACAAAAAATAGCAATGGTCATGAACTATTCGCGCCCACTCAGTTCGACAGAACAAAAAATAGCAATGGTCATGAACTATTCGCGCCCACTCAGTACGACAAAACACAAAATGATCAACTCGCGGCCCAACAACACGCACCATCAAACAAAAAAGCTACCTTTGTTAATCGAACTCGCGTCACTCCTTCGCGTGACAAGCACCAATACCAGTAGGCTACATACGCGCCTTGTGCCAAAATAGTGCGGCGCATTCCACTTAATCAGTATCCTGCCGCCTCTCCAATTTAAAGCTAAGTACTCTATCCCTCTATCATTATTAAATATTGAAATATTTTACTTTCATGAGCGTTAATAGCGCTAATGGGGGGCAAGACGCAAGAAGTTGGCACCGCGTCAGTCAAACGCGCCACCAGCTGGGGGGGCAACTGGGGTACATAGGGCTCCATCCAAAATTACCAACGAAGATTTTAAAAAAATAAAATAATAAGCTAGTGATGAGTTAAGACTCACCACTAGCTTGAGGGGCAATTGTTGGGGGTGTTACTAAATACTCCGTTCACAGACAAAGTAGTAGGGCGCACAATCGGCGATGCGCCATGCGCGCTACAGGTATATAAGGGATTGAAGCCCTCCAAAGGGGAGGACTTCCTCTCTCTCCTCACTTTCCACTTTCTACTATCTCTCTACACTTTATCTCTCTATCTATTCTCTCAACTCTCTCCACAAACATACACTGACTTGATCGTTGGAGCTCAATCCGGGGGGCATCCCCGGTCTTTTTCATAGGTTTCTTCCCTCCCGACGAGATCAGACGAACAGATCATGAGTCAACCCCACTCCAACAAATATCATTGTTCATACCGGAGCTAGATGGAACAAACAGAAATCATTAGTTGAAACCCTAGAACCTAGTAGCTGCTGGCTCATCTGATATCTCCATTTCCCATACCTAGCTCCCAGAATCTCCGACCAAGCACTTCACGATAAGACTCTTTTGTGGACTATGGTAATTGTAGACACCACATTTTGTCCGGGTCTAAAACTTCTATCACTACATTTGAAGGATTGGAGAAGGATTTCGGTTTGAGTTCCAATGAGTTAAAGTATTCGAGTTTGACATCAAGAAAGCGCACAACAAAGCATCATTGAAGAATTTGAAACTTGATACAATCATTCAAATGGAATACAATGACTTGGTTTCATATGGGATTTATAAAAGAAGCTCAAATACAAGTGACATAGTCGCTAAGAGGAGATTGACCGGCACTTGAAGCCTTGAGGCCCAGACCAACCATTGACCTGCAAAAACAAAGACAAAATCAGTCAGAACAAACCCAAACTTGGATTCAAAGTCCACAAGTTCAAATCAAAATATATGGCCAAGTTCGGCCCAAAAGCAAGACTAGGCAAAGCCCATTTTGAGCCCACACAAAGAACAGCTCGGCCCACAAATCAAGGCCCAACTCATGTGCAAACCTTATCCTGAACCAGCCCTGACACGTCAGAACCGACCAAGCAAGGTGGAGGCTCATGAGGCAGCCTCAAAACCCGACCAATCAGAAAGAACCAGCGCATTTTGAGCCTTAACAAAGACGAACGACAAAGCAACACGTGGCATGCGATTTTTGCTATAAGAAGAGCTCTTCAGCTCTTGAATTGGGGGGGAGGAGAAAAAAGACGAGAGAACATAAAATGGGAAGGTTTTCTGGTTCTTTCTTTTGGTTTGGAGGAGTTGATTTCAGTTCGGAGGTTTGCGAGATAGGAGCATAAAGCGGGGGTTCTTAGAGTCAGAAATCCCAACAAGGTTAGTGTTCGTAATCTCGATCTTCGTTTTACTAACAATCCATCTGCTTTGTTGCTCATCTCCATCAGCTTTATTTACTTAATTGAGTTCGTTTAAGTTTATCCATCGGTTCAGTTTCTATTTAAGCAATATACTACTACTGCAATCTGCATATATGCGATTTATTTCAATTGAGCACAGTTTATGCAGCAATAAACTTGTACCCCCTGTCTAAATCCGTTTGCTCAAGTTACCATCATTAGCCTAATCTTTTGGTAAAGATCATGTTGAACTTTAGTCAAATTTCAATTTCTTTTAAGAACATATATATAACTTAAACCAACATACACTTTCAATCGCCAAGATTTCATAAACAGAATGATTTTCGTTTTAAAACCAAATCGAACAAAAACACCATAAACACACTAAAGTTTCAGATTTCAAACCATTGCAAAATCACAAGCAGAGGCAGTGATTTACAATTACCAAAAATAGTGATTTTTGAACTTCTTAATTACTTTCCCATAAATAAATTCCTTTCTTACCAAATTCTAGCATCCAGGAGTTACTTCTAAAACCATCCACCAAACCACCAAGCATGAAAATATTCGAGATCATCACACATACAACATATTTTCAAACCACAGATCTGTAGACTAAATCTAAATGGCAACACAATCCTTTTTTTTTAGTTTAACCTCCCCAGTCATACTAAGCTGAGTTTAGAAACCTTACCCAGATCTGTCCATTTCCAATAACTGCATCAAAACAAAAGTAGAGGTCAGAATAGATTAAAGAGGTAATAAACCAAAATAAAATAAAATAAATAAATAAAATTCTCACCTGACTTCGTCGGCTGAACTTTGCCGACGGAGATCTCGGCGACCAAAGAGTCCCTCATCCTCCACCCGACTGAAATAAAATTTTTATTAAAACCCAAAATACGAAATAAAAAATACGAATAAACCCAAAAAAATTAGTCCGAACCTACCGTCGACCGTCCCTTGGTCTGGACGTCGCCGCCGGTCTTCGCCCTCCTTCACCCCTCGTCCAACACCAAAAACCCAAACAAAATTAAGATTAAAATCACGTCTTGTGTGAAAAAAATTAGATCTAAGCGTGCATGTTTAAGAGAAGCTCACCGAAGAGTTAACCGAGAGTAGAAAGAGGTAGATCGAGAGTCCCTCCTCGGTTTTGGATCGATCTCCGAAAGAAAAACAAGAAAAAGGGTTAGAACCTCATTCAAAAACCCAGAAATCAAAAGAAAATAGACTTGCATGCAACGATCTTACCTAGATCGAAGGTCTCCCGCTCGATTTTTAGCGACCTACGTCATATCGAGGAGAGAAAGGGTCGGCGGCTAAAGGAGAAGCTCCAAGGAGTTTCTTCACCCGGGTCGTTTTGCTGGCGGCGGCATAGGAAAGAGGCTAGGGTTTTTGCTTTCTGGGATAGAGAAGAAAAGAGCACGAGAGGTAGGAAGAAGAAGGGGGATCGGCGGTGAGAGGCTAGAGGTGAGAGGAGAGAGCGGCGGCGACGAGGAACCAGATGGATTTCTGGTTTGGCGAGAGGAAAAGAGGAGAGAGAGAGGGGGAAGAGGAGGAAGAATCGAGAAGAATGAGGTAGAGAGGGGTTCGGCCGCCGCTTTGGTTTTGGTCTCAACTAGGGTTTCGATTTAGAGAATTTATACCCACCCATAAATGACAAAAATGCCCCTAGGGTTTTCAGTTTATTACGCGGCCCTGCCACCGCGTTTTTGGGCAATTACAAAAATGCCCTTCCCCCTTTTGCTGCACCAAAACCATAAATAAAAAAAATTTTCAACCAGCGTTGTTCGAACCCGCGTCCTTGTGTGTCAAGACACACCGATTAGTTAGCCAACCAGTTGGGCTACTGGCTCATCATTCATCACTTTAATCATCCCTCTTAGTTTTCTTTGTTTAAAGTTCTTAGTACGAAATGAATTGCGGATTAAATTTATCTCGTTTCTTTTCAATACGTCACAATACTTCCTAATAACTAAAATACTTGCATTTGTTGTCATAACCTCATAATAATCTAAATGAATTTTTAATAACAATATTATAATACGAAATTCACGATCAGTGGAACGTGATTACAATTAAATTTTCAAAGTCCAAACGAACTACGTGGACTTTGATCCCGTCTAACGGGTACGTAGGCAACCGATAAGGTTCGAGTCCAACTAACCAATTAACTTTATCTTTTACGTCAGTGGGCGTACAATTATATTACAATTAATATGATTTGATATTTTTAAATGGTCCAGTGGGACCCTAAAATTACAAAAATCATTACTAAAATACACCCAACTCGCATAAAAACTTATCGACTTAAGTAGTACCGATTTAGGGCGTTGTGGGGGTGTTGCTTAACTTCCCTACACGTAACCGTACTCCCGAACCCAGAACTTCATTTTCGCAGACCATATCTCGGTTCTGACCCTAAGGTTAGAGTCGATCCTAAGAGTGTTCGATCCACTCCAACTAAGATCGATGGCGACTCCCAAAAATGCCGACGCGACGACATTCGGACCCCCCGGACGGGACGGTTGCGACAGTTGGCGACTCCGCTGGGGACTTCGAGAGTCGAGCTACACTTATTAAGTCGATAAGTTTTCTTATTTATTTTTTTTTTTTACGTGTTGGGTGTTTACTACTTATTTGCGCAATTATATTTTCGCAAATTTAAATTATGCATTCATGCACAAAAGCTCTATGCCCGAGCTATCCCTTTAGAAAATCGAAAGGAGTACCGTGACATCCACAGTAGTGGTAGTCACGCAAAACTTTCCAACCAAGTTGAACTCGGATCCGAGGATGATCTCGAGGTATCCAGCCAGTTCGAAAGAGCTAGGGCGGGATACAACTTGAGAGCCAAATCCCTAGGAATTCCTTAACCAGCATATAGTAAACTTCGAAGCTACCCTCGACCATCCAAAACAATCCCCAAAGCCACCCTAAAACCATGTCGGTACGCCATCCGAAAACCCTAGGTAAACCTAAATAGGGTAAAGATGTAATGATATATGTTTGCTTATCTAAATGTATGTTTACTTACGACGTAATGATATGCGTTTTATCTTTTGCTCGTAAAACTGTGTGATTGCATGAATGAAAAATGTTTTCAAAATTAATAAACATCATTCTCTCATAAGATTTTCATTCACTCATTAACAATTTATCATAAAAAGATAAAAATGCATGCATGATGAGAAATAAATTTGCATTCATACATCATTAACATTTGCATAAGCATCATGCATACATACCCATAATAAAAATGAAAAATAATTGGTCAGTTTTAAGATGGTTCAGGGTTTCTAAAATCATTCATCCACGAGGAAAGAGAGTCAAGTCTTTAAGTATTTGACAAGATCCAAGGTTGAGCTCATCATGGAGGCATTCCAGAAGAAGATCGGCGATGTTGAAGGAAAGTTGACCGGATTCGATGAAAAGCTATCTGGGTTCAATCAAAAGCTAGAAGGTGTCGACGAGGTGAAAAATCAACTAAATTTGCTTATAGGGATGATGTCAGCAAAGAAGAAAGAGGTAGTAACCAATGACGAAGAAATGTCAGTTTACAATGACGATAATGGCAAGCCACATAATGGGGGCAATTCGAGCAAGAAATTCATCAGTATACCCATAAACGAGAAGCTTGATAAAGACAAAATTGGATCATCAAAACTTGATGACTCGCAAGGGAGACGGAAGTTAAAAGAAACTGTGATCGATGCCACATCAAAAGAAAAACTTGAACGACTCGATGAACGAATCAGAGCTATAGAAGGAACGGAGTCATACAGGCCCACAGATGCATCGCAATTATGTTTGGTCCCAAATGTGATGATACCTCACAAATTCAAAATGCCAGAATTTGAAAAGTACGAAGGTGCTACTTGCCCCAGAAGCCACATGGTTATGTATTGCAACAAGATGGCTAACCATATTCGGGATGAAAAATTGATGATACATTGCTTCCAGAATAGCTTAAGCGGTCCAGCTCTAAGATGGTATATGCAACTCGAAAGATCAAAGGTGAAGAGATGGCAAGATCTGGCTGATGCATTCTTCAGACACTATAAGCATAACCAAGATTTAGCTCCAGACAGGGAGGACTTGCGTAATATGGAAAAACATGAGAAAGAATCTTTTCGCGAATACGCCCACAGATGGCGAACAAAAGCCGTAGATGTTCAACCTCCTCTATCAGAGAAAGAAATGGTGTCAATCTTCTTCGACACACTCAAGCCTCCCTACTACAACAACATGGTAGGAATAACCATGACTAACTTTATCGATCTTTTGATAATCGGTAAAAGGATAGAAAAAGGGATCCTGCAAGGCAAGATGGAAATACCAGAAGGCTCCGCGAGACTAAGCCGGAAAAAGAGAAAGGAAGAAGAGGTATATTCATCCCACAAAGAAGCAAAAGAGAAAACACGAAAAAGCAATTTTCAAAATAATCAAGCCCTCCCATATGTTGCAACTACCACACCAATATTGCAACCACCAAACTTCATGAAATCAACGATCCAACATCCCACACCAATACCACGACAAGGTGCCAATCGAGATGTTAGTATCACAAGGAAAGCAAAAAGGGTATTTGACCCCATCCCGGTCACGTATACCGAACTCTTTCCTCGATTACTCCATGATCATCTAATCACCCCCATTCCGGGCGAGACTCTGCAACCTCCATTTCCAAGGTGGTATAGGTTCGACAAGCATTGCGATTACCATTCGGGAGTCCAAGGGCATTCAGTGGAAAATTGCAACGCTCTGAAGATAAAAGTTCAAGACATGGTAAACGCCGGATGGTTGAAGTTTGAATAAGAGGAGATCGTTTACACGTCAACAACAACCTGCTGCAGACTCATGGAAGTCAATAAGCATAACCCCAAATAAATATCGAGATAGCTCGCCACGATAAAAATGTATCACCTTTTGCTTTCATCATGAGAAATAAAAGGTTACTCATGTTTCTACCTTCTCGGAGCATTTCGTGATCATTATCAATCTCGATTTTGGATTTCGCATCAATGGTCCCTATCTTTCCAAGTAATAAAAATACATTTCACGAATTTTGACTTGAATTCTCTGAAATAAATCATAAATCAATTTCATGTGTTCAAATTAAGCCATGGGATTATCATACCAAACAACTATGAACACCCTACTGGTGTTGAGAGATTACGAACACCCTACTGGTGTCACGATTTTGAACACCCCACGGGTGTTGAGAGTACAAAATGCCAACTTATGTTGAGTATATAAACACCCCACTGGTGTCCGTAAATCATGTGAGATGATAGTCAAGGGATGTAGTGGGGATACGACATCAGGCTATTTTAAGAATCCTGTCACATTTAGCCGAATCTCGTCACCAAAATAGTGTTTGAAAAACTATCCAATTAGCCCAGCCATCAAGAGAGACACTCATGTTGTCAGCCATCAAGACAAAGTCATAACCCTTTTGTGATCGTGCCCAAAAACACAAAGTTCAGTTGAAGACTTAGTGAAACACATAGGGGCATAACAAAGTCAAGCAAGTCTCACAAATGTGAAAATTTCAAAAGTGAAGCAACAACAAAAAAAGCATTGTGGGACTTACAACTAGATGCCCCTTTCTATGTTATCTAAAGTCATAACCACTCAGCCAAGAGATCTTCCAACCAATATCCAAGGAAGAAGCTCAAGCAAAAGCTTACGTGATAAGAAAAAAAAACCATGCAGTCACTACCATTACACAAAAGAACTCCTCAGCATACCATTCTGGGTTGGAGCAAGAGTTCATTTGCTTCCTACTCATTCTTGCCTCTCAAAACCAATATTTTAAGAAAAGAGGGCAATCCAAGCTATAGATATACTCTCTGGAAATCACCAACATTTCCAAGAAAAAGAAAGACTTCCTCGATGAGAGAAACTACAAACCTTATACGAATCCCCTATTCCCATCAATTAGCCACATATCTTTGGGGGCAAGCCAAAATTTCTCGACAAAAGTCATGAGATGGCCAAAATCTCTCAAAGATCTTCCTTCTATCATTGTCTCAACCCTGCTACAGGACAGTGAAAATTTCAGGATAAGAAGATCCCACAATCAAAATCAACCAATAACCTCATTTCATGAAAAATCATATACCTCCACGACGAGACCATATGAGATCACCTAAATCAACCACACAAAGCTCTCTTGTTAAGAAAAACCTTAACCTCAAGCTCATGTGGCCGTCAACATAGACAGAGTCATCTCATGGTGACAGGAATCTTGATAGTAGTCGAATTGTCGTAAACTTAAAGCATCCATAGGAATGAGTGAAAGTGAAAAAGAGGTCAAGGACGAGAGTGAGAGATCACATATATTCTCATGGCTTGATTTGCACTCTTATTGAAACAAAAACAATTATGAGCATTATGAAAACAAAATTTATGGCAAAAGTCACATGAGAAAATGTATTTGCTCAATTTGCACACACTACCTTAAACAAGAGCTTTACAATCTAAAAATGAGTTTTCACTTTGTTACTCCAACAAAGTTATTTTCACACGTTGTTGCATTTATCCCAAGTCGAGGATGATAAAAATCACTCTTCGTTCCGGAAGATGGAAAATGAGTAAGATATCCTTGGGGGCAAATTGGGGGTAACTTAAAGAAAGTTCAAGGGACTAAGTAGCTAGACTACTCAACTTTCAGCCCCCTATTTATGAAGAAATTTTGAAGAACTCGGAGACACTCAAGTTCCATGAGACCAGGTGGTCAGCTAAATTTTTCTTGGATGACATACTGACAAGAAGAAGCACAATATACTCTGTCACCAAGAAAGACAACCTCATAAGAGACCCATGTGACCTACATTGGGCATCAAGAAAGAAAGACAGAACGACATGGTACCTCAGGGTTCCCTATATCCGAGATAGGCTCAATCAAAAGTATATTATGAAAAGCCAATCCTAACAAGACATACCTCAAGATGATAGATCTTCTTAACCAAGCAAATATCGCTTACATTGCAAAAAATACCACCAAGGGCAGTGCCCCCTGGCCGAGCTAATTATTCCAAACCCTAAGCCTAAGAGGTTGGGTTTCCCAGATATCATGCACCAAAGCAACAAAGTACCCAATATCCCTACCTCTGCACCATAGAGGCGGATACCCAAGAGCTCTCACTATCGAGTTTCGATTTCAATTAAGGATCAAGTCTTCCAAAGACAATGACAAAATTCCTGGTGGATGATCGATTTAAAGAAACCCAGGACCAACAACTAAAACAATGTATTTTGCATTCATGACATCATTATTTAACATGATACATCATAGTGTCATTTCTAAAAAAACATGTGCATCTTTACTTTACACATGCATTGAGCATCTCATCAGAACCTCAGAAGTTGTCTGTTTCAACTTTCAAAGTCTACCAAGATCCAAGAAAATATCGCATCTAATTTCGTACTAGAAAACCTGAAGTCCCCGCGTCGGCGAACGCTATATAAACACGTCTCGCGTTGGCAAACGCTATACAAAACACGTCCTCGCGTTGATGAACGCTATATAGAAGCACGTGCCCGCGTTGGCGAGCGCTATATAAACACGTCCTCGCGTTGGCGAGCGCTATATAAACACGTCCCCGCGTTGGCGAGCGCTATATAAACACGTCATCGCGTTGGCGAACGCTATATAAACACGTCCTCGCGTTGGCGAACGCTATAAAAACACGTCCCCGCGTTGGCGAGCGCAATATAAACACGTCCCCGCGTTGGCGAGCGCTACATAAACACGTCCCCGCGTTGGCGAACGCTATAAAAACACGTCCCCGCGTTGGCGAGCGCTATATAAACACATAGACCATCTTGGCAACTTGTTCCGTCGACTATGACGGACACAAAAAATTACATGATAAATTTGTTTCGTCAACTATTACGAGTAAAGCAAAACTTGTTCCGTCGACTATCACGGACATTACAAAAACTACCTAGCCAATTTGCTTCGTCGACTATCACGAGCAAATTAAAACCCCCCTACTAAATTCGTTCCGTCGACTATCACGGGCAATTTAGAAATCCTAGTCAATATGCTTCGACGACTATCACGAGCAAATTAAAAAACCCCTTCTAAATTTGTTCCGTCGACTATCACGGGCAATTTAGAAATCCTAGTCAATATGCTTCGACGACTATCACGAGCAAATTAAAAAACCCCTTCTAAATTTGTTCCGTCGACTATCACGGGCAATTTAGAAATCCTAGTCAATATGCTTCGTCGACTATCACGAGCAAATTAAAAAACCCCTTCTAAATTTGTTCCGTCGACTATCACGGGCAATTTAGAAAACCTAGTCAATTTGCTTCGTCGACTATCACAAGCAAATTAAAACCCTCATGATAAACTTGTTTCGTCGATTATCACGGACAATTTAAAGAACCTAGTCAATTTGCTTCGTCGTCTATCACAAGCAAATTAGACCCCTGCTAAACTTGTTCCGTCGACTATCACGGGCAGGGCAAAAATTACCTTGTCAATTTGCTTCGTCGGCTATCACGAGCAAATTTAAAACCTCCTTCTGAAGTTGTTCCGTCGGCTATCACGGGCAGTTTAGAAAACCAAGTCAATTTGTTTCGTCGGCTTTCACGAGCAATTGAAATCCTTCCTTCTAAAAGTTGTTCCGTCGATCATCACGGGCAACCTAGAAAAAACTTCACCCACTCTGCATACCGCAAGGGGGAACCAAAATCCCAAGTCTGCTCTACCGCCATGGGAATAAATCTATACCCACTATGCTCACCACACCGGGCAACCAAATTCCAAAGTCTTCCCTACAGCCACGGGAACAAATCAACAACTCACGGGAGCTGAGGAGCGCCCCTACCATTCAATACCTCACGGGAGCTGAGGAGCACCCCTGCCAAATCAATACCTCACAGGAGCTGGCGAGCCCCTCTATCAGTCAACAACGTACGGGAGCTGAGGAGCGCCCCAACCATTCAAAACCTCACAGGAGCTGGCGAGCCCCTCCATCAGTCAACAACGCATGGGAGCTGAGAAGCGCCCCTACCATTCAATACCTCATGGGAGCTGAGGAGCGCCCCTACCATTCAATACCTCATGGGAGCTGAGGAGCACCCCTACCATTCAATACCTCACAGGAGCTGGCGAGCCCCTCTACCAATCAACAACGCACGGGAACGTCATGATCTGCATTCGTGACGCAAACAACTACAAGCAGTACTCACAACACTCATGTATCACTTTCTGAATATATAACAAAATCGACATCAGAGTTTACAAAATATGGTGTCTTTATAAGAACTTTGTATAACTCTTTATCCAAAGAGATATACAAAGGGGGGCAACTGTAGACACCACATTTTGTCCGGGTCTAAAACTTCTATCACTACATTTGAAGGATTGGAGAAGGATTTCGGTTTGAGTTCCAATGAGTTGAAGTATTCGAGTTTGACATCAAGAAAGCGCACAACAAAGCATCATTGAAGAATTTGAAACTTGATACAATCATTCAAATGGAATACAATGACTTGGTTTCATATGGGATTTATAAAAGAAGCTCAAATACAAGTGACATAGTCGCTAAGAGGAGATTGACCGGCACTTGAAGCCTTGAGGCCCAGACCAACCATTGACCTGCAAAAACAAAGACAAAATCAGTCAGAACAAACCCAAACTTGGATTCAAAGTCCACAAGTTCAAATCAAAATATATGGCCAAGTTCGGCCCAAAAGCAAGACTAGGCAAAGCCCATTTTGAGCCCACACAAAGAACAGCTCGGCCCACAAATCAAGGCCCAACTCATGTGCAAACCTTATCCTGAACCAGCCCTGACACGTCAGAACCGACCAAGCAAGGTGGAGGCTCATGAGGCAGCCTCAAAACCCGACCAATCAGAAAGAACCAGCGCATTTTGAGCCTTAACAAAGACGAACGACAAAGCAACACGTGGCATGCGATTTTTGCTATAAGAAGAGCTCTTCAGCTCTTGAATTGGGGGGGAGGAGAAAAAAGACGAGAGAACATAAAATGGGAAGGTTTTCTGGTTCTTTCTTTTGGTTTGGAGGAGTTGATTTCAGTTCGGAGGTTTGCGAGATAGGAGCATAAAGCGGGGGTTCTTAGAGTCAGAAATCCCAACAAGGTTAGTGTTCGTAATCTCGATCTTCGTTTTACTAACAATCCATCTGCTTTGTTGCTCATCTCCATCAGCTTTATTTACTTAATTGAGTTCGTTTAAGTTTATCCATCGGTTCAGTTTCTATTTAAGCAATATACTACTACTGCAATCTGCATATATGCGATTTATTTCAATTGAGCACAGTTTATGCAGCAATAAACTTGTACCCCCTGTCTAAATCCGTTTGCTCAAGTTACCATCATTAGCCTAATCTTTTGGTAAAGATCATGTTGAACTTTAGTCAAATTTCAATTTCTTTTAAGAACATATATATAACTTAAACCAACATACACTTTCAATCGCCAAGATTTCATAAACAGAATGATTTTCGTTTTAAAACCAAATCGAACAAAAACACCATAAACACACTAAAGTTTCAGATTTCAAACCATTGCAAAATCACAAGCAGAGGCAGTGATTTACAATTACCAAAAATAGTGATTTTTGAACTTCTTAATTACTTTCCCATAAATAAATTCCTTTCTTACCAAATTCTAGCATCCAGGAGTTACTTCTAAAACCATCCACCAAACCACCAAGCATGAAAATATTCGAGATCATCACACATACAACATATTTTCAAACCACAGATCTGTAGACTAAATCTAAATGGCAACACAATCCTTTTTTTTTAGTTTAACCTCCCCAGTCATACTAAGCTGAGTTTAGAAACCTTACCCAGATCTGTCCATTTCCAATAACTGCATCAAAACAAAAGTAGAGGTCAGAATAGATTAAAGAGGTAATAAACCAAAAAAAAATAAAATAAATAAATAAAATTCTCACCTGACTTCGTCGGCTGAACTTTGCCGACGGAGATCTCGGCGACCAAAGAGTCCCTCATCCTCCACCCGACTGAAATAAAATTTTTATTAAAACCCAAAATACGAAATAAAAAATACGAATAAACCCAAAAAAATTAGTCCGAACCTACCGTCGACCGTCCCTTGGTCTGGACGTCGCCGCCGGTCTTCGCCCTCCTTCACCCCTCGTCCAACACCAAAAACCCAAACAAAATTAAGATTAAAATCACGTCTTGTGTGAAAAAAATTAGATCTAAGCGTGCATGTTTAAGAGAAGCTCACCGAAGAGTTAACCGAGAGTAGAAAGAGGTAGATCGAGAGTCCCTCCTCAGTTTTGGATCGATCTCCGAAAGAAAAACAAGAAAAAGGGTTAGAACCTCATTCAAAAACCCAGAAATCAAAAGAAAATAGACTTGCATGCAACGATCTTACCTAGATCGAAGGTCTCCCGCTCGATTTTTAGCGACCTACGTCATATCGAGGAGAGAAAGGGTCGGCGGCTAAAGGAGAAGCTCCAAGGAGTTTCTTCACCCGGGTCGTTTTGCTGGCGGCGGCATAGGAAAGAGGCTAGGGTTTTTGCTTTCTGGGATAGAGAAGAAAAGAGCACGAGAGGTAGGAAGAAGAAGGGGGATCGGCGGTGAGAGGCTAGAGGTGAGAGGAGAGAGCGGCGGCGACGAGGAACCAGATGGATTTCTGGTTTGGCGAGAGGAAAAGAGGAGAGAGAGAGGGGGAAGAGGAGGAAGAATCGAGAAGAATGAGGTAGAGAGAGGGGTTCGGCCGCCGCTTTGGTTTTGGTCTCAACTAGGGTTTCGATTTAGAGAATTTATACCCACCCATAAATGACAAAAATGCCCCTAGGGTTTTCAGTTTATTACGCGGCCTTGCCACCGCGTTTTTGGGCAATTACAAAAATGCCCTTCCCCCTTTTGCTGCACCAAAACCATAAATAAAAAAAATTTTCAACCAGCGTTGTTCGAACCCGCGTCCTCGTGTGTCAAGACACACCGATTAGTTAGCCAACCAGTTGGGCTACTGGCTCATCATTCATCACTTTAATCATCCCGCTTAGTTTTCTTTGTTTAAAGTTCTTAGTACGAAATGAATTGCGGATTAAATTTATCTCGTTTCTTTTCAATACGTCACAATACTTCCTAATAACTAAAATACTTGCATTTGTTGTCATAACCTCATAATAATCTAAATGAATTTTTAATAACAATATTATAATACGAAATTCACGATCAGTGGAACGTGATTACAATTAAATTTTCAAAGTCCAAACGAACTACGTGGACTTTGATCCCGTCTAACGGGTACGTAGGCAACCGATAAGGTTCGAGTCCAACTAACCAATTAACTTTATCTTTTACGTCAGTGGGCGTACAATTATATTACAATTAATATGATTTGATATTTTTAAATGGTCCAGTGGGACCCTAAAATTACAAAAATCATTACTAAAATACACCCAACTCGCATAAAAACTTATCGACTTAAGTAGTACCGATTTAGGGCGTTGTGGGGGTGTTGCTTAACTTCCCTACACGTAACCGTACTCCCGAACCCAGAACTTCATTTTCGCAGACCATATCTCGGTTCTGACCCTAAGGTTAGAGTCGATCCTAAGAGTGTTCGATCCACTCCAACTAAGATCGATGGCGACTCCCAAAAATGCCGACGCGACGACAACGGACCCCCCGGACGGGACGGTTGCGACAGTAATGGTAGCCCTAAGTTGTTGGGCACTGCTAATAATTAATTAATTAATTGATTATCATAGTTTCAGTTATGCATATGAGTAGATATGACAAATGAATTGAATGACGGATTGGGATTAATAGATTGAATTAAGGGGTCATTTGGAGAATAAGATTTGGGTTATGAACATCAAATTCACGGGGACTGAAAATTCGATTGTGAAGTTGTGCATAAAATTGGTTATGCCTCGGATATTTCACCCACATTAATTGGTGAGTTCTATTTGATGAATTTCATAATCTGTTATTAGAGTTATTTCCGGTTTGCGCTAATTTGATTGTCTATGGTCCTTTAAGTAGGGGGTGTGCATCAGTCTAGCCCGTCCAAAACTATATCAGATCGAGACAAAATCGGGGCAAAACCGTAAAAGAAAATTGAGAAACATAACCACATTGAAAGTGCATTTAATATGACTCGATCTAGTTAAATTTTGGTTCGGAGCATTTTCCCCCCTTAAATATAAAGAGATTCATGGAACAACAAGAATCCAACATTTATTCGATCGCAGGACTTGACCAAGCTAGGGTTTCCGATTATTAGGGTTAGAACCCCTTAATTACGGACAAAGGTTGGGAGAATGACAAAGATGCATGTATTATCCATCATAGCCCAATCCGCCACTCATTACTCAACCACTCATTCGGTGTGAACCTGATCCCATACCAAGATCTCCATTCATAAGTATTAATAATCGGGTAATGACTATTTATTAGCCAAACATTTTTGAAATTGTTTTTTATTAGTCAAACATATTGAATTACTAATAATTAGCTAAACGTTAACATCCAGTTAGCAATTTTTGTTAGTAATATTGACTTAACAACATAATACTGACTTGGAAGAGACACATGGAGGTCAACATTTCAACATTTTAGTATTTTATCTAAGAAATATGTTACAAAACGTTTAACTGATTCTTAATATTTCAGTAGATTTGGCTAAAATAAAAGAATCCGAAAAAATATTTGGATAATAAATATGCATTACCCTTAATAATCTCGAACACGGTAACCAAACTACGTTCTCGGACCGTTAGTTTTCTTTCTCCGCGCGTACCAAACCCAAAAGATATAACTTTTTCTGACGCGTTAAAAATCAGTCCATCCTACAATCACACAAACCAGATTTTTTTCCCAGATTTTTTTTCCTAGTTGGCTTGTTCATTCCTATTTACAGCTGTTTGAAAGATTAATCTCCCATCAACCACACAACTTCATTTTATGGGGTATGATCCTAGACGCTTTTAGCGTCTGTCTTCCTGAGGAAAAAAACAACAACAACAAATTCCTAAGAAATGCAGAGAAATAAGGTAAGTATGTTCAAGGTAAATGGAAAAAAAAAAAACAGATATGGAAGGTGGATTAAATTGAAATGAGCGCACCTAGAAACGTTACTGCTACAAGTTCAGGTGCATGCTTATATATATATATACCTCTCCAATCTCCATCCATCCCTCATTGTCTCACTCACTGTCTTTTTACCTCATTCTGCATAAACAAAAACCAAAGAGGTAGTGACACTAACAATGGCGGGTTCAAAGCTATTTACAGCTTTTGCGGTGGTGTTCCTTCTCCTGGCGACCGTGGCCGTCGAGGAGGCCGTCGCTTCGCCGCCGCGGCGAGAAGCGGCGATCGGCAACCCTGGTGGAGCGATTCGGTGCGATCCCAGGTGCCTGAGAGCCCACCCCAAGGACCCTGCTGAGTGCTGCTCAGTCCCTGTTGGGGATAATGGGAGATGATGATGATGATGGAGAGATCGAGCTGGCTGTGCTTTGTGCTTCGCTTCTCATCATGGTGATGTAGTGAGGCAAAAAAATGGGGGGAGAGAATAAGGAAATTGGAGAGGAGGGGAATGGTTCTGATCACATCACATGATCGTTTCTCTTGATTTCCTCGTGTAAATTGGATCGATCTATTGAATGAAATACGTGTGTTATTATACGTTCATTTCCGCCGCGAGTAAGATTTAAGGCCCTTGTTTGCTTCATGGAATTTATCATGGATTTAGTACTTAAAAACCAAGTATCATGGACATTGTACACAATCCGTTATTTGCTTAATGGATTTAGGAGGAATAAATCCGTGGACTCCACGGACTTGAGAATTCCACCCCCCCAAGAGGTGGGATTTGAGTTGGGATTTGGGGTACAAAGTCCATGATGACTTTTTTACAATTTTAACCCTGCTTATTTTCACTAATCATCTGGTACTCATCCTCTTTCATTTACTAATTACCAACTTGAAGTGCATATTAATTTGCATCCAATATTTATTATTATTCATTGCACGAAAGCACTACATGATTAATCACAAAGCATACTTTGTAATATTGAAAACCTTAAGGAATTGTCTAATATAATTGTCTATAATATGATGTTGTTATTGATTAATGATGTTCATTTATTCTGATTGTGGTAGTGGGACGAACCTATTGGATGACACTTGTTTTAAACAAAAATTATAATGTAAATATAAATAATACTCAATCAGGACACTAAGGTAAATTCCTAATACAAGCACAAATATAATAATGTCAAATCCATCATGAAATCTAACAAGCAAACGGTGGTTTGTACCAAAAATCAAATGGGGCAATTCCATCATATATCCATGGTTTTGGAAAAACCCAAGTTTTAACCAAAACCTTCATTTTTCAAATCCATGAAGCAAACGAGCCCTTAGTTCTCGGATGGTTGGTTCGGAGTAATAGATTTGCGGTTGAGGGTCCTGATCTAGCTCTATTATATTATACGATTCATAAGTGGAGAACCGAAGGAGCCGCCCGGTTTTATTGATAGATTCATAATTTAGATATAAAAAAAACAGTTTAAGAAACAAGTAGGATAACATGAATCGAGACCTACCAACTCCAATTACTGATTTGGATTTGATAAAATTTTCATATGATTTATTTTATTAGACGGTGGTGAATTGTTAGAACTTCTAGTCATGGATGATATGGGTTTTGAATTGTTTTGAGGAATATCAGCAACCCACATGCCACATGAGTGACAACGGGGTATTTGCATATTAACCATCAAGGATTTTGTCGAGGCGCAATGTCCGACGTTGTGCTACCGTTATCGAGAAGACTTGGTCTCCTGTATCAAAGGTGCCTTTTTTCATATGATTTATTTTATTAGACGGTCGTGAATTGTTAGAACTTCTAGTCATGTATGATATGGGTTTTGAATTGTTTTGAGGAATATCAGCAACCCACCAGCGGCGGATCCAGAACACAGAAGAGCACTGGGCCGAGTTTCATTAGAAAATTAAATAGTAAAAAAACATAATGATTATAGTTTTTTTTTTCAATGTAAATTGTACACGACGGTATTTTAATTTAGTGATGCATCAATAATGGAGCCTACATCCATACCAATAGTATACACTGTTTCAAATAAAATACTTGAGCAATCGGCAAGAAATTCATCGCTCATTTTGTTGAGCAAATTAGTTCTCATATATTTCATTGTTGAAAAGGTTCTCTTCGTAGTAGCTGTTGAAACGAACAGCATTAACACTAGACAAATCAATCGACTAATCAATTGGCATTGTGTGTCAATCCCTGCATCCACCAACTGCTCTAGTAAGTTTTCAAGGGAACAAACCTCATATTTCTTTTAGTCTTTTACGTTTTAAACTTCTAGAATTTTAGGTTTCATTGTTTTTTTTATATGCATAATCTTTGGAGCTAAAATTTAAAGGCTAAATTTAGAGTAGTGATTTGAATATGGTCATCTGAATCATTTTTCTAGTTATACCCAATTTTATTATAAAATCACACTAAACCGAATGCCTAAAATCGAAAAATTCATAAGGACTATACTAACTACGGATCCAGAGGAGGGCTGGGCCGGGGCCCGGGGTGGCCACCCCCTGGATCCGCCACTGCAACCCACATGCCACATGAGTGACAACGGGGTATTTGCATATTAACCATCAAGGATTTTGTCGAGGCGCAATGCCCGACGTTGTGCTACCGTTATCGAGAAGACTTGGTCTCCTGTACCAAAGGTGCCTTCGGGAACGAACACCAAAAAGGCGGTACTAAGATTCGAACTTGAGACCTTGTCACATCTCAAAACCAAAACCCAATCATTTACCAACTAGGCTGTCTTACCATCGGCATCATTTATTATTATTAACTGGCAACTTAATCATTGATCCGCTAAATAAAGATTAGATAACTAAAACAAAAGAAAATATCTATTCTTTGAGATCCTTCATTTTTTCCATTCGAGCGAAAATAAATAAAATCAGACCAATTACTTAAATATCCTTCTATTTATTCCTAAATGTCCTAACTATTCACAGATATGATATGATAATTTTCCCCCCTTTAACGTATTCCCAAAACAGAGAACATGACCCATTTTTTTGGTGTTGCCCATATATGTTGAGGGAATTACTTGCCTTGTCTAGGAGGTAAGAGGGTAGTGAGAAGAAGATTAGGCTTTGACTCCTTGGATTGAAATAGTGGAGAGATGGGCTTGACCTTTGACTCCATGTGGACCGTAGGAGTTCCCGTATTAGGCTAGACGGGCTGAAGCCCATAGTTAATAAAACGGGCTTTACTAAGGGCCCAAAACTGGGACTATCCCCGAGCACACTCTCTAATCTCTATTCAAGTTCAAATCTCGGAGCTAAGTTTTTTTTCTTTTCGTAATTTTGATCATGGTTCAAATAGGCACGCTTAATCTTACGCTTAGGTACGCCTAGGCGCAAGGCAATGGCAAAACGCCTCGTTTAGGGATTTCGCGCCTAATTAGATACCAGAACACGTTAATGGAGTACGGCGACATATAAGTCTCTCCTAAACATTACTAGATGGAGCTAAGAAGTCAATATTAAATACAAAAATTAACATCAACTTTGAAATCAATTAACTATTGCAATATTTTCAATAGCTCAAGAACTTTGTGAACTATTGAGCTATGATTCTATGAACTCGTAAGCTATATTCCTGTCATTAAGTGTTGAGTAAGTTATTAATCATTTTAACTGAAGTGAGGAAGTGTTGTAGATTATTATTTCATTCATCATGCACTGCGCATAACTATTTTCTTCCAACGCCTAGGCACGCTTAGTCAACGCCTAGGCGCAAGGCAAAGGCCCAACGCCCACATTACGCCTAGCGCCTTTTTGAACCTTGATTTTGATTAAACATGGATAACTATTATTTTGGATTGAAATCGATCACGCTACAAACGGCCATACTTAGAGCGTTGATTCGATCTTAAACGGTTCCTAAGCCATGAGAATATATTTAGAAAGGCTTAATGAAAGCCGACTCATATAATTATATAATGGAAGACATTCTACGGTTGGTAGCAAGTACGTTAGATATAATCTCATATATTTAGTGATGGAGGCAGAATTTGAAACTATCCCTATCCTCTTTTTGTATTATAAATATATAATAAAATTAATAATATCAAAATAATTTATTTTCATATATAAAAGATAACAATGGCTCATACAATTAGTATTTTCATAAACAACCATGACGAGATTTCATATTGGGTGTTGTGTTCCATCTTTAGTATAAACATATATTGTTTGCCTCCGCCTGTGCTCATATTAATACAAGTTACATGACGAAATTTCGTAAGTTCGAAAGTATTATTAGGTACTTTGTAACAAGTGTTGAATATTCAAACTATAACCTTATTTTTTATAAAGTTTTCTTAATTTCATAAGAACTTATTAGGAATAAAATTTAAAATTTATTCCTAATCAAAAATATTAATTTAGTTTTATAATTAAGAGAGTAACCATATCGGTTGACTCAAACGATTCATCACCATTCACCCAACCTGTTCATTGACCGCAAATTTTGTAATCCAACCAAAACCAACTCATAAGTCGTAAACTGCTCAGCAATCAGTACTAAATGGGGACTTAACCGACCCGCATCCCAACGGGCATGCAACTGACCAACCCGATGGTTCACCAATCCAACCCAACCCGCCCTTTAACGCCTCTGTTCATTTGGTCGCCACAAACAGCGGAAGAACAGAAAATTCATCAGCTCTTCCTCCTTCCTCTAGGCAGCTACTGTCCAGACTCCACACACCAAGACAAAAACGCTTCCCATCCCTCTCCAAACAATGGCTGATGCGAAATCCAAGTTCATGGAAGTCTATTCAATCTTAAAAACGCAAATTTTCGAAGACCCTGCTTTTGAATTCGACTCGGCGTCTAGACAATGGGTGGACTCTGTAAGCTTTGCTTCCTCTCACTGTAAATTACTGTGATTTTCCTCGCACCCTGCGTCAAGTTTATGCCTTTCTTTCTTCTCCGCCGCTTTTGAGTTCTAATGTACTGCATAACGTATGTATCTTTCACCCAACTTTGACAATGGTTCTAGTCTTTTGAACGTGATCTAAACGGGCCGCATTTGGATTGAAAACCCAGAAAAGGGTGTCCAAGTTCGATCCTTTTGATAAACCAACATCAATTGAGTTTTGGCTGCAAATTGGTACCCTCTACGGTCAGATTGATGATCCCTAGATTTACGATTAGGATCCAGCATAATCAGTAGTCATTGCGCGTTTGTGATGATGTAAAGTTAAGTTTGTGATGTTGATTTCTAAAATATTTAAGTTTGTAAATGTACATTCTTCTTTCGCTGCAGGTGATGGACTACAATATACCTAAAGGTACAGTCAACAGTGTTAGTTCCTCTGCATTTGATCAGTTCAAAAGGTTTGCCATATACAGGAAGGAACTTGCAATGTTGTTTGTTTGGTACACACAGGCAAGCTAGTCAGAGGGCTTTCAGTTCTTGGTTGCTACAAGACATTGAGGGAAGGGCAAGAATTAACTGAAGATGAAGTCTTTCTCGCTTGTGTACTTGGTTGGTGTATTGAATGGGTAAATAGTTGTGTTACTACTACTCACTGCCACTTTACCTTGATTGACTGAGTGCCACGCTTGAGCATGATTGCCTGTAAATTTTTACACTTGGGCATTTTTTTTCCCCCAGTTTCAAGGATGTGCTCTCATTATCGATGATATAGTGGATCGCTCTCACATGCGTCGGGGACAACCGTGCTGGCATACATTACCTGGGGTGTGTTGATACGCTGGACACGAATCCTTTTGCTATTGTCTTGATCAGTTGGAAATGCCAACCATCTGACTTGTTGTTGCCTTTACATGCATAGGTTGGTATGATTGCTGTAAATGATGCTCTAGTTCTCCGCAACCATATTGGTAGGATGTTGAAGCTTTACTTCAGAAAGAAGCCATACTACGTGGATCTGGTTGAGTTGTTCAATGAGGTAACGTGATCCCCGCAACTGTTTTGGGTGAGGTTACAGATGGTATCCCATCTTATTTTGAGGTACCACTTGATGTGGTTTGTTTACTCATCCTCCTCCCCTGTGTACAGGTTGAGTTCCAATCGATCTCTGGACAGATGATCGATTTAATTACCACCAACGACAAGGATCTAGCTAAGTACTCATTGACATTGTAAGTGTTGATTAGTACCTGAACTAGCTTCCATTCTGTGGAGAGTTGAAAAATGTGACATCATCAATGCCTCTTGCAGATATAACAGGATCACAGAGTACAAAAGCGCTTATTACTCGCTTTACCTGCCAGTAAGTTGCAAAATCTCAGCTTCAGTTCATGCACTTCTGCAGCTACTTTAAGAGATGTGCTGATCGACTTCCTCTTTTCACCCCAGGTTGCATGTGCACTGATCTTGGCAGGGGAAAATATCGAAGACCATTCAAATGTGAAGGGCATCCTAGTAGAGATAACGGCATATTTTCAGATACAGGTGAGTAACTAACTAAATCCATGTCATTCCTACAGTTGCAAAGTCTATTTACTGAGTGGTTGTGTACAACTCTTCCTTTTGTTAGAATGATTATCTGGATTGCTATGGAGACCCCAAAGTGACAGGCAAGGTAAGGTTCTCATTGCTATACATGCTCTTCTTTGCCATCCCATCTTTCATCCAGAAGCAGTATTATGAGGTACTTGGCATCTTCTGCACAGGTTGGAACTGACATTGAAGACCGCAAGTGCTCATGGCTGGTGGTCAAAGCACTAGAGCTTGCGAACGAGGAACAAAAGAAACTGTTACAAGTAAACCTATCAGACTGCATAAAGATTCATGCATTCTTCTAATACCTTTAATTCCCATGAGACTCAAGAACCAGTATAATTTGCGTTGCTTGCCAGGAAAACTATGGTCAACAGGATCCAGCCTGCGTCGCCAAAGTGAAAGAACTGTATGATCTCCTTGATCTTCAGGTGGGTGGATCACTTCATCCAGCCTTTCATCAAAAGAAAAAACAAGTAGGTAAACTGTGAATGAAACATTTTGATTTTGATTATGTGGGGTTCAATGCATGTACCAGAGTGTGTACTCAATGTACGAGAAGGAGACCTATGAGAAGCTAAGCAAGTGGGCTGAAAGACACTCGAGCAAAGTGGTGAAGGGACTGTGGATGAGATATGCTGAAGGATATGTTGAAGCTGCGAGGAGGGTTGATGGCAAGTCATAAATGAGTTTGTTTCTCCAACTGTTACTGATTCATAAAAGCCACAAGTCAAAGGGAACATGGTTGTTCATTTCATCTGGCTTATACCAAAGCCAGCTAGTTTCTTTGGTCGGTTCGGTCGAAACCGACTTGAATTGATACCAAACTAAACTGATTGGTGTTTGCCTCGTATCTCCAACTGAGTTCTAACAAAATAGTAATTTGGTTGAAACTGTTCAAATTGGATTATTATTTAGAATATGATCACTTCTCCTATGCTATATAGCATTTGTGTTTTAATGTACAATTTAAAGTTGTATCATAACATTAAATGTATAAGGTTAGGTTGTACCATAAAGCAATTTGTATAATTATGTTATGGTACAACTTTACAACTTGAAGTTGTACCATCACATAAAGGTACAAGTTCAAGTTGTATCATAAAAGAATTTGTACAAAAAATATAGGTACAATCTAAAGTTGTACCATAACGTAAATGTACAATTTTAAGTTGTACCATAAAGACAAAAATCTATAGCACCAATACTATATAGCATTGTAAAATTTCTCTAGGAATAGATATAGCATCCCTAGCATTCATTTTAGGGTTAGTTGAGCTCCATGTTATATTTAGGGGTTGCTATTTCAATCCATGAAAGGAAGAAGCTTTCAATTAATCATGTTATTTATGGATAATTTGTGATTTGCTTCAATTTTCTTGAGTTTTCTAGATTGGTGTTGAACAATTTGTATAGTTAATTTGTGATTTGCTTGAATTTTCTAGAATGGTGTTTTATATATGGATAATTTGTATTGAGAGATTGATATTTGACTTTAATTTTGATAGAAACTTGTTATTGTATATTTTTTACGACAAAAACCCGTGGATACCCATGAACCCACGGATACCTAGCGGGTTGGGGTTGAGTTTTTCAAACCCAGTGGGTTTTACCCCGAGTTTTTTTCACGGATAAACCCATAGTTTTGGGTTTGGCAAAACCCAACCCAACCCGACCCATTATCATCCCTAGTTGCAGGCGAATTGACAAAATAGTAATTGAGGGGCTCATTTGTTATTGAGATATAGTATAGGAGCTTCTTCCGTTAAAATTATAATATAAGGGCTTATTTGTTATCTTTTCATAGTAGAGGGGCTTGTGGAGTTATTAATCCAATAAAGTTTAAAAGATGAGATCGTCCAGATGATCAACCACTAGGGATGGCAACGGGTAGGGTAGGGTGCGAGTTTACCCTATACCAACTCCTAACCCGCCGGGTAGAGCCTCCTAAAATACCCGACCAAATAACCACCGGGTATGAAAATGAGATAACCATACCCTACCTACCCACTGGGTAACCACGGGTATTCGGGTAACCATGGGTACAAATCTTAAAATATGAACTTATGCACATATATGCACATACATACTGTTGTCTATTAAAAATTCTCAATACTTGTAACTGTTATAGCTTCAACAATCTACACAAATAAAAACAACAAACACATAATAATTGTTCTTGCTTCTACAATCCACACAAACAAAAACACAATACATCATATTTGGTCTAGCTTAAACAATCCACTCATAAACAAAAACAGCAAAGACAATATTAGAACCAGACCACATCAAATGTTCACTGCTTAACTTATGCTTCATGACATCCATCAAGGCATCATTAGTAGAACAATTATCCAAGGTAATCGTAGATACCTTTGTGTCAATATCTCAAGCAAGTAAAGTTTCAAGAAGAGCCTGAGTAAGCACCTCACTTGTGTGTGGGCAAGGAAAATCGACTGCTGGGTAGGGTTAGGGCTAGGGAAATTGACCCTTTGATTAGCGGGGCGGGTATAACAGGGCGGGTATTATCAATTACCATACCCGTACCCTATCCTTTATTTTGAAACCGGGTATTACCCGTACCCGCCCCTTAACCCGTCAAAGCGGGTAATTACCCTCGTTGACCAGTTACGATCGGGTAGGGTACCCATGATTACGGGTTGGATTGACATCCCTATCAACTACGGTATCAAATCCTACTACACTACTAGTCTACTATTGAATTATTGATATTGAGGTCTCCAAGAAGATTAGATTTTGTGGTCTCGACTAGCAGATTTGGCTGTGGGCTAATGGCATTGGCAGGTGAGGAGAGCAATGAGGCGGCCCCAAGACTAAGAGCTGTTGTTTCTTTCTCAAGGACTAAGGAGCAATTATTATAGATAATTGAGCCCACAATTCAACTAATACCTACAATTTTTGGCCCATTGTGGCCATATTATAGTTGAATTGAGCAGCACACAAATACCTCTGAGCATGCTATATTGTCGGTCCAAACTTTAATGAGACAGCTCCTCCAACGTAGCCAACCTCGGAATTGCGAAAGATGGGGACAGTGAACTACGGTCCTACGGAGCTTATTCCTTTACCACCAGGCACCATGCTGATCTTTGAGTTGTAGTATTACGAGTCCAAGTTATAGCGAGAGCGACTGTGACTTCATTGGGCGACGCATATGAACTCAATCTCTCTCTCCACTTATTAATCGGTGAACGGGTAGTGAATAGTGACGACTGGTTTTGGAATAGAGATTTGTCAGGATTGAATAGTGACGACCGGTTTTGCTTCGATTAGACGAACCGACAACATAATATAAGAAATAACCGACATCAAACGATAATTTTCTTGTAGTGTTCTCTTTCTAATTTCAACCAACATGTAAACAATTACACGTAGAGGTGCCAAATGGATCAGATCCATGAATTGGTGTATCCATGGATCAAGTGGCTTGCTGGATGGATTAATCCATAAATCCAAAAGACATCCAAACCTTGGGCCAATATGTAAATTTTGAAAGTTGAAGTACTAACATGTCGTAATGAAAAATTTTAGGTACCAAAATGTAATCTTACAAAGACATTTTTCTTCTAAAAATAAAATTGAGGTACCAAAATATAGAATGTAAAAATTATAGGTACTAAACTAAAAAATTTCCATTTGGATCCATGGATCAATTCGTGAATCCACCAATCCAATTGGATTTGGATCAAATGGATTAGATTAGTTGGATATTTTAGTGGATGGATTGGAATGGATTCATGAATATGGATCCTAATTATCACCTCTAACTACCCTTATACTGACATTACATAAGTGAAAAACTATGATAATAAATTACTATAGTTAAGAAAATTAGTTCAAAACAACACAAATTCATGAAAATATTATATGTGTATTAATAAATATCAAATATGTTGAGAAGAATAACAAACAAAATACATATGCATGTATATGTTCAAGCGTGTTCGGATTCGATATTGAGAAAACCAAGCACACTCATTACTCGCAATCCTATAAGGTTAAGTCGAATTCAAAATAACCACGAGTATAGATATTTTTATTATTAACTATGAAATGCCAGTGTGTATATAATGGGTGTGATAACAAAACCGATCACAAAACAAAATTAAAGAACCTATCCCCTTGCATTTGCTCCACTGCCTCTCTCTCTCCAAAATTCCAAAACTAATCGCCCAAACAACTATTCCTAAACAAATCACCATTACAAGGCATAATTTATTAACCACAGACTTTGCCTTTCCCAACAGTAACCAAGAGCAATAACTTGCTAGCTAGCTTGTGGCGATATGGCTAGTCGGGAGATGAAGGAACTTCCACCAAAGGAGGTGTTTTGGCACGACGAGAAGATGCACCAAATAGATGGATTCTGGTACCTCGACTCGCTCATGGAATCCATAGCCGCATTCAGGTCACAATTCCAGCCGAGAACCGACGACATCCTCCTGACTTCCATCCCCAAAACAGGAACCACATGGCTCATAGCTCTCTGTCACAGCATCCTTCACCGCCACGACAACGAAGAAGAAGAAGAAGACAGTTTGATGAAGATGAATCCCCACGAGTTGGTTCCAACAATGGACATCTCTTACCTCACCGACCAAGTCCAAGAGCATTTGAAATCTGACCACACCACCACCACCACCAGCCCACGTTTCCTCCACACTCATCTGCCTTACAGCTGCCTGCCTGAGGCCGTGAGGAGCGCCGGATCCTCGTGCAAGCTCGTCCACGTGGCACGAAACCCGAAGGACACCGTGGTGTCGATGTGGCATTTCTACAACAAAATATTTGGGAGCGAAACGACGCCCGACGTCACGATGGAGAGCGCAGTGGAGGGGTTCTGCGGCGGGGTCATCCCGTACGGGCCATTTTACGAACACGTGGTGGAGTACTGGGAAGAGAGCAGGAGGCGGCCCGAGAAGGTGTTGTTTCTCAAGTACGAGGAGCTGTGCAGAGCGCCGAACGAGCATGTCAGGAGGCTGGCTTCGTTTCTCGGGAAGCCTTTTGGTTCGGATGAAGATGGAGATGCGGAGGTGGAGAAGGTGTTGTGGCGGAGCAGTTTGAACAGGCTCAAGGAGTTGGAGGTTAATAAGAGTGACGAGGGTTTGGAGCTAGCACCCATCATACCCAAAAGCTCCTTCTTCAGGAAAGGAACCGTAGGGGGCTGGAAGAACTACTTAACGCCCCAAATGGCTCATCGCATTGACCTACTCACTGAGCAAAAGTTGCAGGATACCATACTCTCTCTTGATGATTTCTAAAGAGTGATTCTAGTAGAATTCGGGGTATCAAATTATTACATCTGAATTCTTCTTTGTTGTTCATCTTTTATTTTTATGTTTTCTATGTTTTTCAATGAATTTGGTTATTGTCACTTTTTGTGTTTTTTTTTTATATTGAATAATAATTGAAGTTTGACCGATGCATGAAGACTAGAATCCACCCATATACATAGAAATTAAGGGGTTGTTTGCTTGTTGGATTTTAGAATAAAGGTTTTTAATTTTTAAAACCTTACAATTTGTGATGGATTTGTTGCATTACGGATTTGAAAGAGTCCATTGTTTGTGTTGATGATTTTTTATCATGGATCCTGACTCAATGCCAGTTGAAGTGATATGTTTCTTCAATGGTTACCCCGACAAGAGCTCTTTCCCGTCTGACTTCTGTGGCATTTGTCCTTTCCCCAGCTTTCATTTGTAGCATCTTGTACCAAGGGCCCCACAGATTTGCCTTCCATCAACCAAATCCAAACAAAAGGTGGGATTTATGAATCCATGGAGGGCCACGGATTTGGATCTAAAAAAAAATTCAAATTCGTGGAGCCCACAAGTTTGGACCTCAATTTTTTGTTACAACAAACAATGGAATTGGCTAAATCCATCATCCTTGCAATTTGTGTGGCAAATCCATCAACCAAATCCAACAAGCAAACGACCCCTAAAGAATGTGTAATGGTACTATATGTACACCCCTTCGGGAGAATACTAGGGAGTGTGACAATCATTAAAAAAATATCAATTCGAGGTTTGCAGTTAATTGGAGGTCATGTTAGATCCTATTTATACAAAACCTAATCCTATGTATTTGCCCATCTTTCCACTACAGTCGCCTCCCCTCGCCCTTTCAACCATCTCTCTTCCTCCCTCTCCCGCTTTGACTTTACCTCCTAGATCTGACTGACCACTAAATCGATAAAGAAAGCAATGTTGATGAAGAATCGTGAAAAAGGTTTTAGTTCGAGAGAAGGACTTGCTAGTGTAACTTAAAGCAATGGAGGAAATGACTATCAATCATCACAGTGGCGGAAGTTATAGATTACAAAGACGATATCGAGGAAATCAAAAAGACGGTTGTGGGTTCCTTGACGGACGAGAAAATTGTGTATGCATGAGTTTATAAGAAAAAAGTATTGATTATTTTATAGCAATAATAATGATTATTTGTATACTAAAAATATTGTGATAAAATAGTTATCTCTTAGTTGTGATTTTATAGTAGTGATTTCATAGTGGTTATTATACAACGCAGTACCTATTTTTCATGCTAATGATGTTTTGTACAAGAAATTCTCAGATTAGGTTAGTTTAGGGACTGGAGAAAGGGAAAGGAACCCAAAAACGCCTCCACTATTAGCGACTTATTGAAAACGCTCCTTCAACAATAATGAGCAGCACAATTTGACCGACAGGTAGGATCGCCGGCAGAAGCCAATCGCGTGTTGTCTTAAAATTCTCTTCCCTCCGCCGTCTCCCGGAGCTCTGCCGCCATCCGTTCCCACCTTCTGGTTCTGCTGCTCAGCCAGCACTCGGTTTCGGTTGATCCCCAAAATTCTCCAACTACCATCAATAAAGTCGTCGACTTTGCGTAAATCTGCCGTCGATCCGGCAAATTTACCCGGAACCCAGGTGAGTAAAAGTTGGGGCAAGTCGCATGGAGGCGATCCCACCAACCTCGGCGGCCGCCGGAGGTGGAGGGCCTGCCCCTTTCTTGGTGAAGACGTACGACATGGTGGATGACTCCTCCACCGACGACATCGTCTCGTGGAGCTCGTCCAACAATAGCTTCGTGGTTTGGGATCCTCCGGAATTCGCCAGGCGCCTCCTTCCCACCTACTTCAAGCACAACAATTTCTCTAGCTTCATCCGCCAATTGAACACTTACGTAAGTCACTCTGCTCCATTTTTGCTCTTCCTTCTCTTTCTCGCGTTATTCCCTAATTTTAGTCTGTCAATTGGTTGAATCTTTCAGTTTCCTGAATGGTTTCAATTGGGTTTCATTTGTGTTATTGTGATTTCCCATGTGATTCTATATGATTGTTTCGAGACAGCAGTATTTCTGTGATGGCTTGGGTTTTCCGGATTCTGAATGTTCCCAAAAAAAAGAAGCTAAATTGGGAATTTTGTGACAGGGATTCAGGAAGATTGATCCTGAGAAATGGGAGTTCGCCAATGAAGAGTTTATCAAAGATCAGAAGCATCTTCTGAAAAATATCCACAGGCGGAAGCCAATCCACAGCCATAGCCACCCTCAAGGTGGTTCTTTGGATCCTGAAAGGGCAGCATTTGATGATGAGATTGAGCGGCTCTCCCTTGAGAAGGCTCAGCTGCAGGCTAGTCTTGTAGGGTATGAGAAGCAGAAGTCAACGGAAAAAGCTCAGTTGGAAGATCTCACGCAGCGGGTGGATACCCTTGCGCAGAGGCAAGACAGTTTGTTATCCTTCCTAGAGAAAGCTGTTCAAAATCCTTCCTTCGTTAAGCGTCTTACCGAGAAGATTGAAGCGATGGATGTATCTGCTTACAGCAAGAAGAGACGCTTGCCTGAAGCTGATCAATCAAGGCCAGCTGTTGACAGTGCATTTGACTCTAGTTCTAGACCAGAGTTTGGAAATGCCATCAATCACCAAGATTTCTCCAATAAGCTGAGGTTAGAGCTATCTCCTGCTGTCTCGGATATTAATTTGGTATCTCACAGCACTCAGAGCTCAAATGAGGACCGGGCTAGTGCACAAGGGAAATTTAGCGAACTAGAGCCGCCCAAAGATGGATCATTGAGGACACCTGGTTTGCTATTTTCAGCACCAGAAACCTTAGACCTTTCAGATACCGGGACTTCATGTATGTTTATGGTTGATTCAGCTTTCTCAAAGAAAGTTTCACCTAGTTTGAGTAGTTATGATGAAGCTGACGGTCATATATCATGCCACTTGAATCTCTCTCTGGCATCCTGTTCCTTGCAAGTAGACAAGAACCATTCATCTAAAATGGCTCAAGTAGGTCATCAGGAAGTCAGAGCATCTCCAGAGTTGAGGTTTAATCATGTCAAGGATAAAGAATCGGACATGAGGTCTGTACCAAGAAACCGAAGCATGAGTAGTGATGAGAAACCAAACATAGCGTCTGCTGCTCCAGGTCGTGTGAATGATGTGTTCTGGGAACAGTTCTTCACTGAAAGACCAGGTTCTTCTGACAATGAGGAGGCTAGCTCTCATTATAGGGCAAACCCATATGATGAGCAGCAGGAAGACAGAAGGTCGGGACATGGATCGTCAACAAACAACAGGAGAATGGAGCAGCTGTCTCTTTGAGCACTTGTTGTAGAGGCTGTTTCAGGTTTGTAGACTTGCCTCATTGTGTGTTATGATTAGGTTCTGATATCCGTGATTGGAGATAGGAACCCTACAAGTTAACATGATGCTGGGTTTCTTTTCTCGGTATCCTTTCAAGTGCCTCTCGTACTATTTTAAGACTGGGAATGCGGCGTTGTTGCTGTATTGCCTCGGAATGGTTAATGTTAGATATTATTCATCGTATCCTAATGGATCAGGAGTAATAGTCGGTCATCCTTTCTGGTTTTCCTTGCTGCATTAGGATTTCAACAGAGTTAAAACCTGCTGCTCAGCTAGTCATGGATCAATATTATCTTGCCGGGGGATTAGGCAACCCCTTGCGCACACTCCTGCATCCTTGAGATTGACATTAGTATGTCCTCGTTGACTACCCTCTACAGAGTTAATACGAGAAGCCTCGCCGATGTCCCATGTTGCTGAAAAACATATATCCTCGAAGAAGTCCCTCTCACTCCCACATTCCCTTGAACTTGACATGAATTGATCATGTATTGTTTAATAGGCTTGTTGCTGGAAACTGTGGCATCCCCATTCTTCAGAGTCTGCAAGTTGATTATTGTACAAGTATCTGGTGCTGGTCTTGCTCTGTAGTATTCTGTTGTCCAGTTTGAGTTGCAAGAGGGTCGGAAGGAGATCCGACCATTAATTTGTTATGTACTTGTATGAATTACTCTATGTCTGTAATGAGATTAACACATAAAGTTGATCTCTTTTCATTTTTTTTTCTTTCCGTATCCTTTGTATCCCCCTCCGGCGTGCCCATCGTCGCTGAGATTCATTCGTTGGGCTAAGTATTTTTGTATTATGAGGGCTAACAGTTATTAACTCGGCCCATCCGATTCATACAAATCACTCTCACTGTCACAATCAAACCCGAAAACCGGTGCGGTGACCTCCTCACTCCGATCAAAATCCCACATCACCTCTCAAAGTCAAAAGCAGAAATCCACTCGGAAGTTATATTGGAAAGGATCGAGTTTTGCAGTCCTATCTTCTTCTTCTTCTTCTTCTTCTTCCTTTCGTTGTAGAACAGAGTCCTCGTATCAAATGGATCAGGATGAAACGCGGAAGATAAACGTCGAAGTGCAGACTCCGGTAATAATATCAAACCCCCTGAATAGTCATATTCAAATCTTTCTGCCCAATTACTGATCTGATGTTGTTCTTGGTCTTGGGGATCTGGGTTTACTCTGTCGATTACCTAATCTTGGATGTTGAAGACCGGTAGGCGATACTTCTTCAGGCTTAGTCGGAGCACCAAGCTGTGGAAGCTGATGGCGGCATTCGCTGATGGGCTCGGGATCAACGTCAACGATGTCCGTCTTGTTCGATGGCCTCAATTTGCGTCATTATCAGACCCCTCAACAGGTCATTTTACCAAAAGGGGTTCTGTTTAGGTTGATGTTATCAGTGTATGGAAGTGGTTGAGTACGATTTGATTCGATAATCGTGATTTGGTCAGACCAAACGAAGAGATCAAGACATATTATAATGCGGTCTTTAATCAAACCAAATCATTGCTAACGGTATATAATTCGAATTAAATTGTACAATCGGGTACGATTTTCGTTGAGAATTTATCGGACAAACTAGAGAATTTTTCAGGGAGATATATGATGCGCCGAAAACGAAAATTTAACCGTTCTACGTAATTACAGTTTCACTTTCCACCCTCAAAAGAAAATTTAAACTTGAAAATCAATTTCATTTTTCTATCATTCTATTGGCGCGGTCTTTTTTTTTTTTTTTTTTTTTTTTTTGACGAAACGATCCCTTGCATTTAACAAGAATACCAAGTTACAGATGACCTAGCTCCCGTCGAAGCCAGGCACAAAAATCAAAACCATTACAACTCGTAGGAAACAAAGACAGGGCCTTCTTAGCCACCAGATGGGCTACCCTATTGTTCTGCCTACCCATAAACCTAATCTGAAACCCAGGAAGCGCAGACAAAAGATGACGAATTTCCTCAAAGATTGCCCCACCAGCAGCATCAGCGATGCTCCCTGTGTTGACCTTGTCAATGACAACCTTCGCATCCCCTTCCATCCCAGCCACAAACCCAAGTTAGCGACACCACCGAATAGCATCTCGTAACGTGGATAACTCTGCTAACATGGGGTTCAAAAGGCCATTATACATCACACCCTTGGCTACCAGCACCATACCCGCTGCATCGTGCAAAACCATTCCACCTGCTGCATGGGACCCCTCACGGACTGCTCCATCAAAGGAACAGATAATTCCTGTTGACCAGGGGGAGTCGGTATTGGCGCGGTCCTATTGGGCGAAAGTTAATCAATTTTCATTTTTCTTATCGCGGGAATTATTATTGAGTTAAATAAACCAGTACACCGGTAAAACTCAGAAAGAGAAGAACCATTTCCACTTCCAGAAGTGAGAAAAAAGATTGTAACTTTCTGATCACTAATTTTCCCGAGAAAATCACCTGTCGGCGCCGGAGGCTCTCTCCATCCCCTTGAAGCCAGCTATCCTATCCTATCCTCCCTCCTGCAGTCTGATGTAGTCACTCCTAGGTAAGCACCACTGTCCTTGGTCAGTGATCATTTCTATACCGCGATTGAATTGGGAGGGCGGGCTAGGTCGAGATTCTCTTGGTCTATCCCAATGTTTTGTGCCTCCAAGTTGGAATTCCATCCCAGTTCGGATTTAGGGTTTTCAGCGCTGTTGTTGGAATCGTGGAATTGGGGTGGTGATGATGCCACCAAAGAGAAAGAAGTGGACGGAAGCAGAGGAGAAAACCCTAATCGCCAAGTACGGCGAGATGGTCTCCGATGGTACACTTGCCAAGATGAAAACGCGGGAGAAGAAGTTCAGACCGATTGCCCTGTTTGTGAACTCGGTCCACCATGCTCGCGATCCGATTGCCCATCCTTGGCAGTGGACATGGAAAGATGTGTCCACTAAGGTCCAGAACATGAGGCATCAGTACTTGTTGGTTAAGCAGAAGGTGGTGAGAAATCCGGAATTCTCCATGGCCGTGGATGGTGCTGAAGCTGGCGGTGGCGGTGTGGGAGAATATTCGGAGGGAGATGAGTTTGACTGGGTGGAAGGCCTTACTCACTGGTCCAACTTCCTGCTCTACAAGGGAGTATTTGGGGATTTGCCCATTTCTTATGGAACTAATGGGAATGAGTTGATGGGAGTGTTGAGTGAGGACAGGGAGAATGGAGGAGGGAGAGGACTTGGGGTTTTGTTGGGGGGTAGTAGGAGAGGGTTGGACATTGTAGAGTTTGGTCATTTGGGGAATTCAGCGGATGGAGGTTTCGGCGTGATTGATGGGACTGAGAATGGGGTGCTAGGTTTAGGGTTTGATTATGAAGGAGAAGAGCAAGATGAGCATCATTACAACGGCAATGGCCGGGTTAGGGAGGATATGGATGAAGGTTTCATTAATGAAGAAGTGGAAGTGACTGCTCCCAATAATAATACGAAGAGGAATAAGAGGAAGAAGAAGGCATTGAAGGGATTGGAGAAGAGGCTGTTCAGTTTCCTTTCAACCCAAGTAGGGAAATTGAGAGAGATCGAGTCTAGGTTTGAACAACGGGAGGTGGAGAGGGATCGGGAGAGGCAACAAAGGGATATTGCACGAATGGAAAGGCAGCAAGAGCTGGAAAGGAAGTTGGAAGAGAGGGAGAAAGAGAGAGAAGAGAAGGATAAAAGTAGGGAAAACTTAAGAAGACAGAGAATGCAAGAATGGGAGGCAATGGAGAAAGAAAGTGAAGAGAGGGATAGAAGGAGAAGAGATGAGGAGGTTCTTGAAGAGAGGGAGTGGGAGGAAAGGATGACCAGGAGGGGGTTGGAATGGAAGAAGAGGAACGATGGGATGTTAAACCAGCACAGAGAAGAAATGGGGCAGCTTCAGAGTCGGCTTCTCCACGAACAGCAGAATCTCACGAGCCAGTTGCTGGGGATCGTTGCACATTGGGGTGGTCACCCAACCGGACTCTCAGATCACACGACGAGTGCTAACAATCATTACCTTACCCACATTATGCAGAACCTGCACCATGTGAACGGGATGGTTCATGGGGACACCAGAGTAGATGAAGATGCTCAAGATGACCAATTCATTGTGGATGGATAAACTCGATCTAGTTCCTGATGATCCCATTTAGTGAGGAGCTGACACAAACTGGGTCCACGAAGTGTAGAAAAAGAGTTGAGGGAGAGACAGAAACTGATGATTTGTGAAATGCAACAAATTGTTCCTTGTTTCATGTTCTATTGTATTTGATTAGATATGGCTGTATAAATCATCTGGGTTTAGTGCAAAGTTTGTTATATTATACCATCTGTATCTCTAGCCGTTTCCATCTAAATAAAGGAGGTTTTCTTTTGACTGATGTTCTGAATCCCCTTTTTTAGCAGCTTTCTACAACACTATGTGGCCTAGAATTGAGCCTGGCTTCTCCTTTGGTTCGGAATCCTATATTTTTTGGATTACTTTGAATGCAGAATTTGAATGGTGAGTTTGGAGTACCAAATTCACCATAAGAGGGTGTTGTTGAATGAAATTTCAACTAAAAACTCACCAATTTATAAGGGTATGAAACATCAGAAACTCCAAAAGAATCGAAAAGTCATCTCCACATGAAGCAGGGGGGAATGAACAGATATTACAGAACAGAACCAGAAGTATATTATAGAACTCTCCCTAAAATCCCTAATCGGCTAATCTTATATCATCATCTAAGGTACCCCAATTGCTCTCCACCTTCATATCTTGGAAATCTGTCTAACTCAGCTGGGAAAAGTGGAGAAGAAAAGGTGTGGCTTTTTAAAGTTTCTCTTTGGTCCCAAACCAGGGCTACCATGGCTTTAAACTTCTTTGGTCAGTTTGCTGTGCAACCCACTTACTTGCTCTGTACAACTGCAAGAGATCAAAACTCAATTCCCCTGACTCCGGAAAACCCAGTAATCCTTTTTCTCTGCTAAGCAGCAGTTTCTGGGGTTCTGTTGTTTGTGTTTCCAAATACAGGAGCTTCCTCATCTGGCTTAGGAGTGGCGTTCCCCATGTCTTTTGTTCTATGTAAGAGAAATGTGCCAGACAGGATTGTGATGAACCCACACAGTTCTGTAGCAATCTGTGACGCATTCTGCGAGTCCCAATCCTGGGTTAAAATATTTTTTCACCGAAGGGAGAGAAATGAAGTGTACTGTTAGATATTCTGGTGAGTGGTGATCACCAGCTTTATCGGCCATGCGAATACCAGTAAAATATACCTTAAACATGATCATGCTGGCTAGGATGGTAAACGAGGTGAACATCACATAGTAGACTGGAGAAATAACAGCCGTATTGAAGGTGTCCAGTGCCTGCACAGATAGAATTTGTGATTCCAAGCATAGATGTGCATATAAGAGGCTTATTCAAGCAGAAAGGGCAAGTTGAAAGTTACCTTATTCAAGTAGTTGATTTGAAGAAGACAACAGGTGATAACGATTAGGGTGAAGATCCATGTCTGGAGGTAAACAAACTGATTCATCCCAGAAAATGAAAGCTTGAGAGCAATGCTAACAGCTTTCACACTCATAACCTGTATAGAAAGAGACTGTTACCAGAAGGAAGAAGAAGAGAAAGCAGCAGCAAATAAGCACATCGCACAGAGAGAAACCTAACCGTGAGGGAACCCATGAGAGAGCGTAGAAAATGAGAACTGAAACTGCAATCACAGCAAGAGCTGCATAGACTAGGAAACCTGTCCAAACGAAAGAGATTACTCAGATTCATAATTTCAGAAACCTTTGAGAAAGAAAACCTAAGATGGGTAGGCATTATTAAATGTTACCTGGTTCTGTAGCAAGGTGCCAGACTTCTCTGACTGAAACAATATTTCTTTCATGTGGAGCGTGGAGGACGATGGTTGTGGAACCTACCACGCAAAGTACACATCCAAGTACACCAAAGATGTGCGATTTCTCCTTCAGAATGAAATGTGCTAGCACTGCACTGCAAAAATTATGGTTTCCATCACAACCCAATTCCTTCACAGGAAAAGGCAACCAGAAGGGGCTTTTTCTTTGGACATACCTGAAGATAATACTTAAAGCTCCCAAGGGAGTCACCAGAATTGCAGGGGCAAATGCATAAGCAGCAAAATTAGCTACCTCCCCCAAAATCACTGTACATAATAAAGAAAAGGAAGCAAGGTTATTCAGAAAATTTTCAGCTTCCAGATTGGTTTATATTATAAGATGTCAAAATGAAGTAGGGAGCTTGTGAAGTTGTGAGGGAACTTACTAGTAACCATTCCAGCCCACCATCACGGTTCATACAAGTAGGAATAGCCTCCCTCACCTATAATGATAAACCAACCAGTTACTATAGGATTAGATCCCATCATAGTTCTACCACAGCACTGAAAGAAAGAAACAAAATTTTAATGGTTCAGGCCAGCGGGAATGAAATAGAAGAACATAATCTACACCTGCCCTGCTTCCAGTGTCGCCAGCCTTCTTAAGGCCCTTTTTCTTGACAATGAAGCTGGAGCCAATGAAAATGCTGGAAGAAACAGCCAGTACAAGTCCATGAAAGTTATCCCGTGATATCCCCATCGATCACACAGGAAAACCTGGGCTGCCACAAGTGCCAAGACCCCCAATTCCACTTCTTTAAGAGAACTACAGCAAAGGACAAAAAATAAAAATAAAAACAGAATAACCCCACAAAACAGGATCAGAAAACCAAAGCCATTTGTTCAATTTGGGGTATTCTCATAACCGCTAATGTGGTCATCAGATTGAAACTCACTGAAAATCACAGATGGGTTCATGAGACCAACCTGTCGTGGCACCTGCAATGGGAGGGAGAAGGCAGAGGAAGAGGAGCTAGTGCTAAAGACGACCCACCTCCATGGCCGAACGAGGTGAGAAGAGGGATTGTTCGAAGGAGCCAATCAATCGTTCCTTTCCTGATTAATTGGTGATTGGGGAAAGGCCGGGAGAAGAAACGAAGAAAGGGTTTGTCCTGAGATACCCAGAAATGGAAACTGCGCTCAACCTTGATTGCATGGGAAAGGGAAGGAGAGGACGTACCAAAAGGTAATTTTGATTTTTGAGATGATATTTACTGAATGTATCATTTAATTTTGTATGCTTTTAGAAATTTTAGGTACCAAAAGGTAATTAAAAGTAAGTGAAAATTTGGGCGATTTTTTGGAAAGACCATTTTCTTTGGATTTTGAAGGCTACAGATCACGGATTCGGCCCGAGACTATTCTTCAACGATGATTAAGTCCATTAAGCACCGATTTGGGAGGATTTATTCCGGGTAAATTTTTGGCAGATTGCAAAGGGGTACCATCACAGATTTTGGTCGATTTTTCCGAAATGCCATTTTCTTTCGATTATGGAGGCTACAGTTCACGGAATCAGGCCGAGGCTATTCTCCATCGACAATGAAGTCTATTGATCCTATTCTCCACGGAATGATAAGTCCATTAAGCACCGATTTGGGCCAATTTATTTTCGGATGGCATTTTCGTAATTTTGTGGGCGTCGAAAGGCCATTTTCTTTGGATTTTGAAGGCTACAGATCACGGATTCGGCCCGAGACTATTCTTCAACGATGATTAAGTCCATTAAGCACCGATTTGGGAGGATTTATTCCGGGTAAATTTTTGGCAGATTGCAAAGGGGTACCATCACAGATTTTGGTCGATTTTTCCGAAATGCCATTTTCTTTCGATTATGGAGGCTACAGTTCACGGAATCAGGCCGAGGCTATTCTCCATCGACAATGAAGTCTATTGATCCTATTCTCCACGGAATGATAAGTCCATTAAGCACCGATTTGGGCCAATTTATTTTCGGATGGCATTTTCGTAATTTTGTGGGCGTCGAAAGGCCATTTTCTTTGGATTTTGAAGGCTACAGATCACGGATTCGGCCCGAGACTATTCTTCAACGATGATTAAGTCCATTAAGCACCGATTTGGGAGGATTTATTCCGGGTAAATTTTTGGCAGATTGCAAAGGGGTACCATCACAGATTTTGGTCGATTTTTCCGAAATGCCATTTTCTTTCGATTATGGAGGCTACAGTTCACGGAATCAGGCCGAGGCTATTCTCCATCGACAATGAAGTCTATTGATCCTATTCTCCACGGAATGATAAGTCCATTAAGCACCGATTTGGGCCAATTTATTTTCGGATGGCATTTTCGTAATTTTGTGGGCGTCGAAAGGCCATTTTCTTTGGATTTTGAAGGCTACAGATCACGGATTCGGCCCGAGACTATTCTTCAACGATGATTAAGTCCATTAAGCACCGATTTGGGAGGATTTATTCCGGGTAAATTTTTGGCAGATTGCAAAGGGGTACCATCACAGATTTTGGTCGATTTTTCCGAAATGCCATTTTCTTTCGATTATGGAGGCTACAGTTCACGGAATCAGGCCGAGGCTATTCTCCATCGACAATGAAGTCTATTGATCCTATTCTCCACGGAATGATAAGTCCATTAAGCACCGATTTGGGCCAATTTATTTTCGGATGGCATTTTCGTAATTTTGTGGGCGTCGAAAGGCCATTTTCTTTGGATTTTGAAGGCTACAGATCACGGATTCGGCCCGAGACTATTCTTCAACGATGATTAAGTCCATTAAGCACCGATTTGGGAGGATTTATTCCGGGTAAATTTTTGGCAGATTGCAAAGGGGTACCATCACAGATTTTGGTCGATTTTTCCGAAATGCCATTTTCTTTCGATTATGGAGGCTACAGTTCACGGAATCAGGCCGAGGCTATTCTCCATCGACAATGAAGTCTATTGATCCTATTCTCCACGGAATGATAAGTCCATTAAGCACCGATTTGGGCCAATTTATTTTCGGATGGCATTTTCGTAATTTTGTGGGCGTCGAAAGGCCATTTTCTTTGGATTTTGAAGGCTACAGATCACGGATTCGGCCCGAGACTATTCTTCAACGATGATTAAGTCCATTAAGCACCGATTTGGGAGGATTTATTCCGGGTAAATTTTTGGCAGATTGCAAAGGGGTACCATCACAGATTTTGGTCGATTTTTCCGAAATGCCATTTTCTTTCGATTATGGAGGCTACAGTTCACGGAATCAGGCCGAGGCTATTCTCCATCGACAATGAAGTCTATTGATCCTATTCTCCACGGAATGATAAGTCCATTAAGCACCGATTTGGGCCAATTTATTTTCGGATGGCATTTTCGTAATTTTGTGGGCGTCGAAAGGCCATTTTCTTTGGATTTTGAAGGCTACAGATCACGGATTCGGCCCGAGACTATTCTTCAACGATGATTAAGTCCATTAAGCACCGATTTGGGAGGATTTATTCCGGGTAAATTTTTGGCAGATTGCAAAGGGGTACCATCACAGATTTTGGTCGATTTTTCCGAAATGCCATTTTCTTTCGATTATGGAGGCTACAGTTCACGGAATCAGGCCGAGGCTATTCTCCATCGACAATGAAGTCTATTGATCCTATTCTCCACGGAATGATAAGTCCATTAAGCACCGATTTGGGCCAATTTATTTTCGGATGGCATTTTCGTAATTTTGTGGGCGTCGAAAGGCCATTTTCTTTGGATTTTGAAGGCTACAGATCACGGATTCGGCCCGAGACTATTCTTCAACGATGATTAAGTCCATTAAGCACCGATTTGGGAGGATTTATTCCGGGTAAATTTTTGGCAGATTGCAAAGGGGTACCATCACAGATTTTGGTCGATTTTTCCGAAATGCCATTTTCTTTCGATTATGGAGGCTACAGTTCACGGAATCAGGCCGAGGCTATTCTCCATCGACAATGAAGTCTATTGATCCTATTCTCCACGGAATGATAAGTCCATTAAGCACCGATTTGGGCCAATTTATTTTCGGATGGCATTTTCGTAATTTTGTGGGCGTCGAAAGGCCATTTTCTTTGGATTTTGAAGGCTACAGATCACGGATTCGGCCCGAGACTATTCTTCAACGATGATTAAGTCCATTAAGCACCGATTTGGGAGGATTTATTCCGGGTAAATTTTTGGCAGATTGCAAAGGGGTACCATCACAGATTTTGGTCGATTTTTCCGAAATGCCATTTTCTTTCGATTATGGAGGCTACAGTTCACGGAATCAGGCCGAGGCTATTCTCCATCGACAATGAAGTCTATTGATCCTATTCTCCACGGAATGATAAGTCCATTAAGCACCGATTTGGGCCAATTTATTTTCGGATGGCATTTTCGTAATTTTGTGGGCGTCGAAAGGCCATTTTCTTTGGATTTTGAAGGCTACAGATCACGGATTCGGCCCGAGACTATTCTTCAACGATGATTAAGTCCATTAAGCACCGATTTGGGAGGATTTATTCCGGGTAAATTTTTGGCAGATTGCAAAGGGGTACCATCACAGATTTTGGTCGATTTTTCCGAAATGCCATTTTCTTTCGATTATGGAGGCTACAGTTCACGGAATCAGGCCGAGGCTATTCTCCATCGACAATGAAGTCTATTGATCCTATTCTCCACGGAATGATAAGTCCATTAAGCACCGATTTGGGCCAATTTATTTTCGGATGGCATTTTCGTAATTTTGTGGGCGTCGAAAGGCCATTTTCTTTGGATTTTGAAGGCTACAGATCACGGATTCGGCCCGAGACTATTCTTCAACGATGATTAAGTCCATTAAGCACCGATTTGGGAGGATTTATTCCGGGTAAATTTTTGGCAGATTGCAAAGGGGTACCATCACAGATTTTGGTCGATTTTTCCGAAATGCCATTTTCTTTCGATTATGGAGGCTACAGTTCACGGAATCAGGCCGAGGCTATTCTCCATCGACAATGAAGTCTATTGATCCTATTCTCCACGGAATGATAAGTCCATTAAGCACCGATTTGGGCCAATTTATTTTCGGATGGCATTTTCGTAATTTTGTGGGCGTCGAAAGGCCATTTTCTTTGGATTTTGAAGGCTACAGATCACGGATTCGGCCCGAGACTATTCTTCAACGATGATTAAGTCCATTAAGCACCGATTTGGGAGGATTTATTCCGGGTAAATTTTTGGCAGATTGCAAAGGGGTACCATCACAGATTTTGGTCGATTTTTCCGAAATGCCATTTTCTTTCGATTATGGAGGCTACAGTTCACGGAATCAGGCCGAGGCTATTCTCCATCGACAATGAAGTCTATTGATCCTATTCTCCACGGAATGATAAGTCCATTAAGCACCGATTTGGGCCAATTTATTTTCGGATGGCATTTTCGTAATTTTGTGGGCGTCGAAAGGCCATTTTCTTTGGATTTTGAAGGCTACAGATCACGGATTCGGCCCGAGACTATTCTTCAACGATGATTAAGTCCATTAAGCACCGATTTGGGAGGATTTATTCCGGGTAAATTTTTGGCAGATTGCAAAGGGGTACCATCACAGATTTTGGTCGATTTTTCCGAAATGCCATTTTCTTTCGATTATGGAGGCTACAGTTCACGGAATCAGGCCGAGGCTATTCTCCATCGACAATGAAGTCTATTGATCCTATTCTCCACGGAATGATAAGTCCATTAAGCACCGATTTGGGCCAATTTATTTTCGGATGGCATTTTCGTAATTTTGTGGGCGTCGAAAGGCCATTTTCTTTGGATTTTGAAGGCTACAGATCACGGATTCGGCCCGAGACTATTCTTCAACGATGATTAAGTCCATTAAGCACCGATTTGGGAGGATTTATTCCGGGTAAATTTTTGGCAGATTGCAAAGGGGTACCATCACAGATTTTGGTCGATTTTTCCGAAATGCCATTTTCTTTCGATTATGGAGGCTACAGTTCACGGAATCAGGCCGAGGCTATTCTCCATCGACAATGAAGTCTATTGATCCTATTCTCCACGGAATGATAAGTCCATTAAGCACCGATTTGGGCCAATTTATTTTCGGATGGCATTTTCGTAATTTTGTGGGCGTCGAAAGGCCATTTTCTTTGGATTTTGAAGGCTACAGATCACGGATTCGGCCCGAGACTATTCTTCAACGATGATTAAGTCCATTAAGCACCGATTTGGGAGGATTTATTCCGGGTAAATTTTTGGCAGATTGCAAAGGGGTACCATCACAGATTTTGGTCGATTTTTCCGAAATGCCATTTTCTTTCGATTATGGAGGCTACAGTTCACGGAATCAGGCCGAGGCTATTCTCCATCGACAATGAAGTCTATTGATCCTATTCTCCACGGAATGATAAGTCCATTAAGCACCGATTTGGGCCAATTTATTTTCGGATGGCATTTTCGTAATTTTGTGGGCGTCGAAAGGCCATTTTCTTTGGATTTTGAAGGCTACAGATCACGGATTCGGCCCGAGACTATTCTTCAACGATGATTAAGTCCATTAAGCACCGATTTGGGAGGATTTATTCCGGGTAAATTTTTGGCAGATTGCAAAGGGGTACCATCACAGATTTTGGTCGATTTTTCCGAAATGCCATTTTCTTTCGATTATGGAGGCTACAGTTCACGGAATCAGGCCGAGGCTATTCTCCATCGACAATGAAGTCTATTGATCCTATTCTCCACGGAATGATAAGTCCATTAAGCACCGATTTGGGCCAATTTATTTTCGGATGGCATTTTCGTAATTTTGTGGGCGTCGAAAGGCCATTTTCTTTGGATTTTGAAGGCTACAGATCACGGATTCGGCCCGAGACTATTCTTCAACGATGATTAAGTCCATTAAGCACCGATTTGGGAGGATTTATTCCGGGTAAATTTTTGGCAGATTGCAAAGGGGTACCATCACAGATTTTGGTCGATTTTTCCGAAATGCCATTTTCTTTCGATTATGGAGGCTACAGTTCACGGAATCAGGCCGAGGCTATTCTCCATCGACAATGAAGTCTATTGATCCTATTCTCCACGGAATGATAAGTCCATTAAGCACCGATTTGGGCCAATTTATTTTCGGATGGCATTTTCGTAATTTTGTGGGCGTCGAAAGGCCATTTTCTTTGGATTTTGAAGGCTACAGATCACGGATTCGGCCCGAGACTATTCTTCAACGATGATTAAGTCCATTAAGCACCGATTTGGGAGGATTTATTCCGGGTAAATTTTTGGCAGATTGCAAAGGGGTACCATCACAGATTTTGGTCGATTTTTCCGAAATGCCATTTTCTTTCGATTATGGAGGCTACAGTTCACGGAATCAGGCCGAGGCTATTCTCCATCGACAATGAAGTCTATTGATCCTATTCTCCACGGAATGATAAGTCCATTAAGCACCGATTTGGGCCAATTTATTTTCGGATGGCATTTTCGTAATTTTGTGGGCGTCGAAAGGCCATTTTCTTTGGATTTTGAAGGCTACAGATCACGGATTCGGCCCGAGACTATTCTTCAACGATGATTAAGTCCATTAAGCACCGATTTGGGAGGATTTATTCCGGGTAAATTTTTGGCAGATTGCAAAGGGGTACCATCACAGATTTTGGTCGATTTTTCCGAAATGCCATTTTCTTTCGATTATGGAGG